GCATGGCGGCATGGCAGCATGGTCTGCCTGCGTGGCACTCACTCACTCCACTGATTTCCAGCGCATGTGCGCCATTCTTGCCTTGCCTTAGGGGATGCAATGCACCATTATGTCAGCACCCGAGCCTGAGAACTTCACACTTCTTGTCCGTTGCGGGACGGACCCGAAGAGGCCCGGAGGCCCATGCGGCCCGAAAAATTGAGTACGTATCTCTGGGAGCTTCTATTTTTGATGCGACGGGAGCTTCCAGGTTCCCATGAAGCTATCGCAAGCTATCCCAAATATTAGTTCGGGATACACATACAATCCGACCACCAACTAAGCTACCCAAGATTCAGACGCAAACCTGCAATGCTCGCATAAGGTAGTGGCGAACTTCAAACAGTGTGAACCTACTGTTCGCCCAACCCTACCCCTCCAATCACGCACACCTAGAGAAGCTTCATAGCCACTGGTCGACCGACACGAGTCCTGCGTAGAGGAGGGTGTACAACATACGAGCCAAGTAATTCTACCTTCAAAACTCCAATCACCTTGGAGATTCGACCGGCCACTCCAGCGAGAGCGTAGAGCCTGTCAGTCCCCGAACAAACCTGCAAAAGACAGCCACTACCATCGATTATACCTCGAAACGATACCCGCCTCCCCCAAAATGGCGCGCGTACCGACTCGCGAGCTGGCCCGCTACCTTTTTAACGGCCAACTCTCCCGCCAAGGTTGTTTAGCCTCGACCCGACGACCATACACCCGCCTGCCGGCCTGTTCCCTCCCAGCCTTGTCATCGGCACCTCGGTTTGGAGAATCGAGGGCAACATACGCTACAGCTCAGACCGCGACGGCAGCATCGCAAGAAGCGCCGCCGGTACCGTTGAGAAAGAAGCTCAAAGAAGAGAAGAAGCAGCTCAAAAAGGAAACAAGAGGCCAAAAGCCAAAGGGAAGCAACCAGACAGTCGAGGGCTGGGAGTTGACCGTCGGCATTGAGATCCATGCCCAGCTCAACACGGCACGGAAGCTCTTCTCACCGGCCGCGACATCATTCAATGACGACCCAAACTCCCACGTAGCGCTGTTTGATGTCGCTATGCCGGGCTCGCAGCCGAGATTCCAAAAGGAGACCCTCATACCAGCCTTGCGCGCGGCGTGTGCTCTCAACTGCGACATTCAGCCCGTCAGCCGCTTCGACAGGAAACATTACTTTTGGTGGGACCAGCCGTCAGGGTACCAGATTACGCAGTACTATGAGCCTTTTGCTCGCAATGGCGAGATCGAGCTCACTGCCAGAGACGGCATTGCCGCCGAGGATGGGGAGAGCGTCACAATCGGCATCCAGCAGATCCAGATGGAGCAGGATACCGCCAAGACGCTGGCGCAGCCCAACGACGTCTCTTGGCTTGATTTCAACCGCGTAGGCATGCCTCTGATTGAGATTATCACGAAGCCTGAGCTTCACCACCCTCGTACTGCCGCCGTGTTCGTCCGCAAGATCCAGATGCTGTTGAACGCTGTCGATGCCTGCGTGTCCGGGATGGAGACGGGCGGTCTGCGTGCTGATGTGAACGTCTCGGTTCGGAGGACTGGTGATCCGAATACCCCGCTCGGTACGCGAACGGAGATCAAGAACCTGAGCACCATCAAGGCTGTTGAGGACGCCATCATCGCTGAGCGCGACCGGCAGATCAAGGCGCTTGATGCGGGCGAGACGATTGCGAGCGAGACGAGAGGCTGGACTCTGGGCTCAAAGCATACCCGCCGTCTGCGAGGCAAAGAAGGCGAGGTGGACTACCGCTACATGCCGGACCCCGATCTGGGGCCTTTGGTGATCGGTCAAGATCTCGTGGACCATATCAGGGCCTCCGTCAAAGAGCTACCTGACATTGAGCTGACGGAGCTGATTGAAAACTACGGCTTGACGGCCAAGGACGCCGTATCCCTCATGTCACTCGACGACGGCGGCAGACTAGAGTTTTTCTACAAGGTGGTTGACGAGCTCCGAGGTCAACTTAAGAGTGCTGGCCTGGAGACCAAAGTGCACGACTACGCTTCCCTCGCCGGCAACTGGATCCTCCATGAACTCGGTCGATTGACAACAGACAAGGCCGACCCGGAAGCCGCTCAGCGAACATTGGCGATTTCCCCAGACGGTTCTTGTGAAGCCGTGCCACATTCCGCACTGGCCGGGATCCTCTTCCACCTCCAGAAGCGGGATATCACAGGCAAGGTCGCCAAGGAGCTCCTGGTGGCCCAGTATCTCGGCAACCTCGACGAATTCGACTCTGTCACAGACGCAATCACGACACACGAGCTTTGGTTCAAAGAGATGTCGGAAGCAGAGTATCGACAGCTCGCAGAAGAGGTCATTGAAGGGGAGGATAAGGTCTTGAGGGAGTTCATGGATGATAAGAAGAAGTATCCTCAGGGCAAGCTCATGTACCTCGTCGGCAAGATGATGCGCATTGGCGAGACGGAGCGGATCGACCCCTCGGGCGCCGAGAAGGTCATGCGTCAGCTCATCAAGGAGCGGATGGGCGCGCGTCAGGACTGATTTCTCTCTCTTTTGAGTCTCTTCTCTGCCTGCTGGAGGGGAATATTTGACCCCATGTACGTGCATCTAGGCACGCTATATTGTACAATGTATCATAACATCATAAAGTTTACTCGATAATACGAGTGTAAGATAGCAGGGTATTTCCAGCCTCCCTTGTCCCTAGTCCCAAGAAAACTTCACTTTGGACTACTCGTTGACGCCGCCGGCCGAACGTCTAATTTGCTCGGCATGAATCCAAAATTGATATTCTCCCGCTCCCTCACAAACCGCTCGATACGCTCCTCCCGGCCCTTGCCAGCCACAGCCTGACCCTGCCGCCTAAGCGCCTCGCTGATGTTGGCCTCGTGCGCATTCTTCTTCTCGAGGAACGTCGCCGTGCTATTGTCCATCCTTGTCGTCTGCGCCACCGTGCCGACCGCCAACGCGGCGAGGACCAGCGCGGCGAAGCTGGCGTTGGACATGTACATTGGCTTCTGCCTCTCGTTCCCACCATTGGCCTGCCGTTCGTGCCACCGCTCCCAGTCTTCCCAGGTCGCGTTCATGGCGGGGGAGTCAGCCCCGTTTCGTGCGTACCCGTGGCGCCATGCTTTATCGGCGCGGCGGTAGACTTCGTTAATGTCTTCTGGTGATGCTCCTGTCTTGCCGGGGATGTGCCAGCCGAAGCCCCAGGCGTCGTAGGCGCGGCGCTTATCCGGGGAGCTGAGGATTTCGTTTGCGAGGACGATGAGGCGGTAGCGTTCTAGGCGGGTTGCTGCGGGCAGGGAGTCGAGGGCTGTGGCGTGGTGTTTGTCTGGGTGGTATTGTTTTACGAGCTCGGCGAAGCGGGCTTTTGTGTAGGGTGCTGCTTTGTCTATTGCGAAGATGTCGTAGGGGGTGGGGTTTGTGCAGGTTGGCCATGGGCTGCCGGTGCTTTTGCTGCCTTTTGATGATCCATTGTGAGGGGGTTTGTGGTTTACTGTTGCGTAGGATCGTGAGGTTGAGGGTCGTGTGCTGTGTGAGGCGGGGTGTTCGGAGGAGGATGGTCGTCGTGAGGGTGGTGACGTTATGGATGTGTGGTGTGCGGGGACGGCGAAGAGGTTCAGGACGTTGTTGCTTGAGCAGATGGCGAATGCTGAGGATGTCTTGAGGACCATGACTGCGGTTAAAGGTGTAGTTTGTTTAGGACGAGAGTCTCAAGGAGTTTGAGGGGGAGGGATCGAGGACGAGCATCTTTTGAGGTGTTCGGGGTTTGTATAGAGAGGGCTCGGCGATGTAAGTGGCCTGGCAGTGAGAGAGTTTGGACGCCGGTGGTTCGACTTGCACCAGCGGCTCGTCCAATTGACGCATTCGTGCTCAGCGCTCAGACTCCCAGCTAGTCTTCCTCCCAGGGCAGTCGAGTCACTGCCAGTGCTCCTCCCCAAGCCGATCCGATAGCTCCGCTGCAGGAAACGAGTGGAGCGGGGATGGAAGAGTACGTACTCCGTACAGTGCAGGAGACTTGGGATCAGACCAATCGGCTGATGGAAGGCTAACCGGGGTGAGCTCGGTAAGAGACGAATGGGATGGCGGAAGAAGCTCTCGGTGAGCTGGGTCGGACCAATGTCACCACCCATGATCCAAGACCTACCCTGACACTTTCCGCACTTTGATCATTGTGCTGAGAGACATTGGGCATTTTAAGCTTATTACACATGTTTGCACCAAAACGAAACTTGATAGAACTACTCTTAACAATCAGCAAGAGCTCCCGCGAGGCTCCGACCTGCTACCTCCGTAAGGTACCTACCTACCTTACCTGATGTAAGGGAGTACCTCCTCCGGCAAGACAGGTCACGTGTCCCCACCTGCAGCGCTAGACCAGGAAGGCAAGGGGTCCCGCCCCGACGACACAGCTGATGCGCACCGAATGTACTGGGACTGGGGGATTCACCACCACAAACTTGCTTCCAGGTCCCAGACGACTCCTCCTCCACACAACCACACACAACCACACTCCTCTCAACCACGCAAACCCAACCATCCCACAATCCTCTTCGCGCTGCACCTCGTGGACGAAACACATTTTACGCTGTTTCAGTAGCCCGAGTCATCAACAAACGACACAAACATTTCGCAATCGCGCAACCCACGAACAACGCACCACAATCACCAACCACCAACCACACCCCTCGACTTTCCTGCACCGAAACTCTGCCCGAGTCCCGGTCATCCACCCACACTTCCAGCCAGCTTCCCCCCCACGCGACAAGTGACAATCCCGCGAATATCGAATATTCCTCAACGACAATTGCCCTTTTTTGTTGTCGTCGACTTCCACATTACCTGTCTGCATCCTAATACCTACCGAGCACGACTCGCCCCTCGATACACATCGCGAAGTGGGGAAAGCAAAGCCCTTTCGCGCAACAACCCTCAACGACCGCATTGCACCCTCTTCTCTTGCCATTAGGCACATATTCCATAAACACACATTCAAATGGCGGAAGCACTCGCAGACAAGCTCAAGGCGACAAACTTGAGGTTTGCCCCCCTCCCCGCCAACCTACCGGGAACCCATGGTTGAGGGCATGTTGGACTGACTTTCGCAGCGATGGTGCCGCATCAGATGACTGGAAGAAGAGCTTGAACCTGCCTGCTAGGGACAACAGACAGCAGACTGAGGTATGTAATGGCAAGACCAAGCCACCTTCCCCTCGTCACTACCTAGGAGCCCACCTTCTCACAAGCTTTTTCCCAGGATGTCACAAACACGAAGGGTCTGGAGTTCGAAAACTTCCAATTGAAGAGAGACTTGTTGATGGGCATCTTCGAGGCTGGTTTCGAGAAGCCGTCGCCCATCCAAGAAGAAGCCATCCCCGTCGCCCTAACCGGTCGTGATATCCTCGCCCGTGCCAAGAACGGTACTGGAAAGACTGCCGCCTTCGTCATCCCCGCCCTCGAAAAGATCAACCCCAAGGTCTCCAAGATCCAAGCTCTCATCCTCGTCCCCACTCGCGAACTCGCCATGCAAACATCACAAGTCTGCAAGACTCTCGGCAAGCACCTCGGAATCAACGTCATGGTCACTACCGGAGGTACTGGTCTCCGAGACGATATCATTCGCCTCCAGGACCCCGTTCATATTGTGGTCGGTACCCCCGGCAGAATCCTCGATCTCGCGGGCAAGAACGTCGCCGATCTCAGCGAGTGCCCCATGTTCATCATGGACGAGGCCGACAAGCTTCTCTCCATCGAATTCACCCCTGTCATCGAGCAGCTTCTCCAGTTCCACCCCAAGGACCGCCAGGTCATGCTCTTCTCCGCCACCTTCCCCCTCTCTGTCAAGGACTTTTCCGACAAGAACATGGTCAGCCCGTACGAGATTAACCTCATGGACGAGCTCACCCTGCGCGGTATTACCCAGTACTACGCCTTTGTCGAGGAGAAGCAGAAGGTCCACTGCCTCAATACCCTCTTCTCCAAGCTTCAAATCAACCAGTCCATCATCTTCTGCAACTCGACCAACCGTGTCGAGCTGCTGGCCAAGAAGATTACCGAGCTGGGCTACTCATGCTTCTACAGTCACGCCAAGATGGCTCAACAAGCAAGAAACCGCGTCTTCCACGACTTTCGCAACGGCGTGTGCCGTAACCTCGTCTGCTCCGATCTTCTCACCCGTGGTATCGATATTCAGGCGGTGAATGTTGTCATCAACTTCGATTTCCCCAAAAACGCCGAGACCTACCTGCATCGCATTGGTCGCTCTGGTCGTTATGGCCACTTGGGTCTGGCTATCAACCTCATCAACTGGGATGACAGATTCAACCTCTACAACATTGAGAAGGACCTTGGAACAGAGATTCAGCCCATCCCTGCTAGCATCGACAAGTCTCTCTACGTCTACGAGAACCCCGAGTCCATCCCGAGACCCATTTCCAACTTCCGCACCGGCCAGCCTAGCCAGGGCCAGCCGCAGCAGCAGCAGCAGCAGCCCGGCCAGATCCAGGGCCAGCAATTGCCCCTCCAGGGTGGCCCCGCACCGGGCAACTGGCAGACTCAGCAACCCCAGCAAGGCCAACAGAACGGATACCAGGGCGGCGGCAGAGGCCGTGGCCGTGGCCGTGGTGGCTACCGTGGTCAGAACCGTGGCGGCTATGGCGGCCGGGGACGTGGTCAAGGCCAGGGTCACCCCCAACCCCAAGGACAAACGTCTTAGGGTTCCACCCATCTCTTCTCTTTAGAAAGGCGTTGTGGCGTATGCAGTCGCGACGGAACACGCGACTGCGTTTTGTTTGGATTGTACATAGTTCCTCTTCTTTTCATTCTCTCTTGATTTTGGAGGCGACACGGCACGATTAGACTGGGTCGGGCATCTCATCCATGCTCATCATGAGCTTTTAGGTCCCCCTCACCACTCACGATCACGAAACACGAAAAAAACACACTCGATCAGACCTATACGACTCGTCGCTAAGCAACAAAAGCTTCGTCACATATTCTCAAACTTTTGGCCTGTACCATACCCCAACGGATCTTACTGGTCTTTTGTTTGGCTTCTTTTCTTTTTCCTTCGGCCTTCTGACGACGGGCACTTTCTACCCGGACTGGAAATGCATGCTGTCTGGAGACGACAGAACGAACAAGACGACAGGCTGAGCCATCGAAAAAACCAACATTAACCACGGGGCGTGGCGTCTAGCGTCAGACGAGCCACCACACCCCTGGCATGGAAATAACCCGCTCCCATCTTATCATGTCATGTGCTTCTTCAACGACGGCGTTTGGGGGGAAACAAGCGGCTGAAACGGTATCAGCCCGGAACGGCGTTCGCATGGATGGCGGGCCACATTTGATTTCTGGTGGACAAAAGGGGAGTTGGCCCTCGCGGTCGAGGGCGGCAACACTACGGGATGAGGGCGGTTCGGTAGCTCATCTCTGGTTTATGCGTCGCGGTGTCTTTTGAGTATTAATCAATCGATCGCGGAGACGACTGATGTTGGGATATGACACGGAGGGCGACGGGGTGGCTGGCATCCAACGGCGTCTGTCGGAGCACGATTCTCATCATCGTGCATTTTCTTTGGCAGGGGAAGATTTGGTTGGAGGCCCTCCGTCCGGGGTAGGAGGAGGAGCGTTTGTCGTCGGTCGACCGACAAAGCCAAGATACTGCTTCTTGGCTCCCGAACTCAAAACGGAGGTTTCGACATGATCCGTTACGCATTCTACGCCTATGCCCTGCTTCTTGCGAGAAGGCAGGCTCGACGAACGACCGCAGAAATACCCGAGTATCATTACGCTTTTTTTTCGGCTCTCTTGGGCCCAACCTAACCCGGCTCTTTGAGTGTCTTGTCTGCCTTGCGAGGTGGCGCAGGCCTCAAGGATGAGCTGGCTTGGCTTGGGTTGTTGGGAGAGCGAGCGGCCTCTTTTGGTACTCACATCAACAAGAAAATAACGCAAAAAAAAACCGTTTTGGGAGAGAATCGCTGGATGGGCTGGATGGCTTTCGGACTGGTGTGGTCTTTAGTGTGGTACATACTGCCTATGGGCAGCGTGTCATGGACCGGAACTGGTGGGCTAGATAGTTGTCTGAGCATTTGGAGTGGCAATCAAGGCACAATTCTCTCTCATGATCATTTCTTCCATGATTACTGGTGCAATGTGTGTTTACGTTCTCACTGAACCCGCAGCTCAGAGGTTCAGCTCAGAGGTTCAGCTCATCTGGTCGTCGCGCAGGACGATCGACGTGTCTACTGTGGTGTAGGGTGCCAGTTGACTTGTGTGACGGAAAACCAAAGGTGGGCAAGAGGGCTTTTGAAATCCAGGTTCATCACCGGAGAGCTGTTGAGTAGTCCATGCCTTGGGAGATCATTGTACGTGGCAGTTTTGAACTTCTTCGGAGGAAACGCCAAGATCGATGATGTATACCTAGGTCCGGGATTGCATCCTATGAATCTACGCTGTGATGGATCCTTCTCTTGACGATACAAGGAGAAGCGGTCAGCCGGTACTAGTCTGGTCCGAATATGTGTCTGGAGGGTGGGCTGTTGGTATATAAGGGCCTCATTCGTGCCGTTGATGATGGGGCTGTCAGAGTGTTTTGGGATCTTTTCGATGATCGTCCAGTATGGTGTCGCCAAGATCATGCTGGGGTGCAAGTCCACGACCATGACCGAGGTCCATCGGCGTTAGGATTCGAGTATGAGTCTATATCATTCACCGATGAGGTGTCTTTGGATCGCGGTCGTCTTCTTGTGCTTATTCGACATGCTAGATGCTGGAGATTATGGGTGCTGCTAGGGGTTGAATCTGAGGATTGGGGGCGGCTTCTTTCTGGAGGACCTTCGAGAGGTGATGTCGTAGTTGATGGCGTCACGTGCAAGATCCTTCCACCTATTCAACTTGCATTACCGGATAACACCAACCACGGCCCACGGCGCGGTGTCTGGTCTCTCTGGTGTGCGGGCTGCTGAAGGCTATTTTATAGCTATTGATCTGCAGTCTAGACGGCCAAGTAGCAACCCCGGCTCGGGTACGGAGAGTACACCTTCAAGTCTGAGGTTCTTGGAACCCAAACTCTGCAAGACACCCCTATTAGCACCGTGACAGGGCACCAGATTCCTCACCTCACCATCAAGACAGGTAAAGCGATCATATTAGAGCATATCATAGTCACTGCTTGTACGCGCCGCTACCTAGATTTCCTGCACGGGACATCGGAGCTCGCAAGGAGCACTTTTGCTTGTAAGGCGAGGGATCTAGTTTTTAAAAGCGCGGGACGCGTAACGTATTTCGGGTAGAAATGCGTGGTTCACGCCCGTTGTCGTCAATCTCCGGACCCTGTGAAAGCCAAATAACCATTGGAAAGGTCAAAGTGGCACAAAAAAGTCCGGGTTTTGGGAGGTTGGTCACGGTGGTCACAGTCACGGTCATGTAGCTTGGCGCTGTTGCGAAGCGCGAGTGACTTACCTCTGGCGCGCCCTTCACTAGATCTGGCTTTTGAATTGTGATTCGCGGAGTGAGGCGCTCGATGTCTTGTTCGGCATCAGCTTGGTAGGCAAGGAAAAATAAGGAAGAGAGAAGGGGAAGCTTGGGGACGGGTTGCGGTATTTATCCACCCGAATTTTTCGTATCCATACCTTACCTGAATATGCATCTATCCGCACGTCCCGCACTGGCAATTTCTAAAGCGATGCGATGGATCCCGATTCCATTCACGGCTTAGCCTCGCTTTTTGTGTGCTAACGTCGTTGGATTTAATGCCTATGTCAAACTTCCTATCATTGGACTCGCCGTTTGCCGCCCGTCTATCCAAGAATGGTAGAGAAGATGTCGTACAAAAACGGAACCGTAATTGCCGGCCAGCAATTACGCCTTATTTACCACAGAAGAAAAATACCAATAGTTAATGAAGTTGTAATCCGCTGGTTATCGATCAGATTCGGTGTATCCAATCACCGTCACCGATCGTTTGAAGAGCGGGTTTTGATATTTCCAAAGCCGCTCCCCGTGTCCCTAAGTAATCATGGCGCGCATCCCGTTTCCGAACCGAGAACCCCTTAATTAGAGATTCGTATTCTCGCCTTGAGCGCACCTGTGCCTCCTAGACTTTACACAAATAGGCAGGGGTCATGTCCAGAATCTACCTCATTCCAGTTGAGCAAGGAAACCTGGTTCTCACTCTTTGGCTATAATTATACTAAATGACCGTCCCATGGCTGTCCTGCGATGGGTAATGAACATACCGATCTTCATCCATGGTGCAGGTACTGCGCTGGTCTGAAGTCTTGTTTTACAAAATGACATTGGTAGATGCTAGGATGTGCTCCAGATGTGTAGGGCCACAGGCGATGGGGATTCTGCCTTGATGTCGCGTTGTGCTGGGCAACCAGGCTTTCTTACTTGTTAGTCTGCAGCTGTGATTCGCTGAGCAGGAAGTACGCCTTGTGCGCACAGCATTGCCTCGATGCTTCTCTAGCCGCCAAGATGCGGCCCAACCGAAGTGTGGCCCAACTCTCTCAGTGCCAGCCTGATCGATCTTTTCAGGTATCTGGTGAAACTTGACAGAAACCACAACAAATCCAATTGATACCAAAAGATATGGTAAGTAAACCCGTTCGCCGAAAGAAGGACTTTGGCGCGGCTTCTCTCTGCTACAACAGACTCACAAATGGAAATAGGCAGAGGCGATAGGGACTACCGCGAGCGTTGTCGGCCTCGTTGGTGCGCTGCTGAAGACTATTCAAGAGATTCGGAAAGCCCGAGAGCGAGTGAAGAACGCGCCAAAAAGGCTCGACGAGATCTCCTCGTCACTCCAAGTCACGTCGCAGACGGCTAGTCTCGTCAGAGAGGAGCCCAGACTACAGACGCCTTCGGTTGTTCATCAGCTCGGGATACTAAATGCAATCGCGGAGGAGCTGGCACAGCTTGTAAAGATACTGGAGAAGAAGAGCCGGAAAGGCCCGGTTCGGAGTTTCTTTAGTACCTTGAAGACACAAGATGCGGATGAGACTGAGCTGGCCAACATTTCGAACCGTTTAGCCAATGCCACGGCGGAACTAGGCACTCGAATATCCGTCATTCACGTAGGTCTGACGGGGAACCTAGAGGATGGCTTCAGAGTCATGCTCAAGCTTCTTGAGGACACCAACTCAAAAGTGTTCCAGGTGCTTGGTATAAATCTTACTCTTGTTGACCAACTTCGAAGCAGAGGTTTTACAATTATTAGTACGTATACACCTTATAAATCTGAAATTTAAAGAAGACCACTCCACCTAATCATATTCCGCACAGGGAATGGCGCTATCCTTCTCGGGTCAGCAGATATTCGATCCTTGCGATTGGAGAATGAGCTCCCATCCCAGCAGCATATTTCTGATGACAGTAAGCACGAATCTTGGTCGCGGTAAAGGTCTGAGGCCTGAGCTGACAAATTGTCTTCAGGGAATGTAGTGAACTTGACGGAGTTCGATGACTCTGAGTTTCTTTCCAACCTATCTTCCATCCATCCCAGTATAGACGCAACATCTTTTCTCCAGTTTGGATACCAGACCTCGGCAACATCCTTTGAGTCTAGCAGACTTGCCAGTGATCTTCAGGAAGAAAAGGGAAAGCCGTTTATCTTCGTTGACGATGAGACTGGACTGGGCCATTCCATGTTCTCATTGTCGGTTCTTAGGCCTGTTAGGTATCGTCGATATGATATCACGGCTTACTTCTTTTGCAAAGATCCCCAAAACGGCCCAGGATCCCTCGTCACAACGTCAACCATTCTCGGTGGATTGGCTTACGTCTTTCTTTCCAATTCTGACACGAGGCTTCTCACGCAAATGAATCGCGCGTTTGGGCACGAGCTCAAAACACATAAAGCCGAACTCTACCGAGCCGGTCTATTTCATCGCATCCTAGGTGAAATCTTTCGATATGCTGCTTGTCAGCAAAGACGCCCTCTTGTGATTGTAATCGACGGAATAGACTTCGAAGGCAGCTTGGGAGACTGTGCAGACTCAAATATCTCTCGCTTGATAAACCACATCCAGCAGCTTCAAAATGTGAATCCGGAAACCTGTCTGAAATGGGTCTTGACCGGAAAATTCTCGGACACCTTACGAAGACGGCTTATGGAGTTAGCACCGGGTGCAGACACCACCGAGATTATCCTGAAACCTGACGATGTGGCAGCAGCTTTTGGACTCCAAGAAGCAATTCACACAGTTGCAAAGACAGCAGCAATTTGGGGCGATTCTATGGAATACGGGGTGACGGCTCAAACAAATTCTACAAACGATGACATCTCGTGGTTTCGTTATTGCAAGTTAGCACAGTCGTGGTGCGCGAAGCCAACAGAGACTGAACACGATTCAAGAGTGTTGTGGCTTCGGAAAGGTCTTCACTCATTTCCGGCAGCAAATAGTATCGGACTTCAAGCAGCTTCAGGCAAGCTCCTTGGCAAGGAAGAGTCACCGGTTGTGGCGTTTTTCTCCTTTGCGACATTTGAGGCCGGCGCGAATTTATCACCAACATCTCGTCATGAGCAGATGAATCAAGCACAAGTTGTTTGGTGCATGGTCGCACAGCTCCTTCGTGGCCAATTTGGGCCCGAGTCTTCGCTCGCTGAGATTCTTGTGCGGCTTTCTCCAGTAGCAAGAGAAGCTCTCAATTCAATCTGCTCGGCCATCGGGGAGTCGGAGAGTCCTTTCAAATCCAATGCTGCTGGCGACGATCCTACTTCGCCTGTGCCGTATTGCATCACTTCCTGGTATCGTGACATCAGACGTCTCACTTGGGATTATTTTTCAAAGGTTGCTACTGTCATGAGCGCTTGTCTGGAGGATATCACGAAGGATGGCAAATGCGTCGTGCTGATTCTCGACGGTCTTGAGCTTCAATCCCAGAATGCTCGTATGAGACTGCTTACATATATCACCAAGCTTGGCCATGGTGTCAGAGCTCTTCTTTGCATTGATGATACACGGAAAGTCAGCACTGGACTCGAACCAAGATGGGCGGAGGTCATGTCGAATGCTCTCATGGTGGACGAAACTACGGAGTGGCGAGGTATGCATCCCTGGTATTTGAGTGTTATGCAACGAACTTGGAGCCCTAACAGCATATAGAGTGCTTTGAAAGCCTCCGTTTCGATGGCATGCACCAAAGGCGAGATCAAATCGCAGATCCCCTGCCTGCAACCAACCAATGGCTCTGGGAAACCGAAGAGTTCCAGGAGTGGAAATCTTCTGGTAAAATAATGTGGATAATGGGTGAAGGGGGATGCGGCAAGTCGGTTCTAGCGAAGAACATTCAACAACGTCTTCAAAGGGATGTTCAAAACGGCGATCTCAATGACGATTCATTCGTATGTGACTGGTTCTATTCAGCCCGACGGCCTGATTTTGGCGCCAAAGATGCTTCAATGCTGCGCGCTCTGACTTTTAACATCCTCAGCTCAAGCAAGACGACATTCGGACCTGCGACAGCTATCTATCGGGCAAGATTTGATGCTGGACGGCAGGATGACGACTGGTTGCTGTCGGAGCTGTTTGACCTTTTCACGACACTCGCGCTCAGCCCTTCAACGCCCCCAACACTCGCAGTGATAGACGCGTTAGACGAGTCAGAGAGCGTGACGGGATCTTCAAGTCTCAAGTCGAAGCACAGAAGTTTCGACTTGCTGCAGATGTTTACCGAGATTGCAAATTCCCGGAACAGCCGCGTCCGCTTCGTCTTGCTGAGCAGGCCTGAGCCCGTCATCTCCAAAAGCCTGAGTAACTGCTTGAAGATCAAGATGGAGCAGTACAACAACCGGGATATTTCCATCATGATTGAAGACGGTATCGAGAAACTTCGAGTGGCCTGGCAGGATGCCCTCTCCTGCGACTCTCAAAACGACGACTCGACGGATTCCTACGAGGACTTCGACGCCTCAAGTGATTCGCTGTCTCATGAGAGCCAGCCATCTAATGACGACTTCGAGACACAGGAGGCAACACTTCGCAAAATCCGCGCGCACCTAAAAACTCATGCAAACGGCGTGATACTCTGGGTTATCTTGATGATTCTACAACTTTTGCGCTTGATCGAAGATGAGAGAGGGTTTCCAGTCCAGGAACTGATGGACTCGCTGATTGCGTCACCACCAGAAGTTGAAGAAAATTTTATCAACGTCCTCGAAGGTCTCAAAGGTTTAAGTACGGCCCAAGAACTGTCAGAGACCAAAAGAATTTCAGAATGGATGGTTGGGTCTCAAAGGAGGTCGTCTCTACGACTAACAAAGTTGTGGGAAGTAATTGCGATACCAAACCAGCTGGAGGCCAAAAAACATGACGAGTTCAGCCATCAAAATATCGCTTCACGCAGGATGGTACTTGGAGACGACGGCTGGCCAAATTTCTGTCGCTTCATGCCGATGTACTGTGGTCCGTTGATAGAGATTATGGATGATCGGCAAAGGTTCAGACTCGACCGACGGCATAAGATCAGGCGCGCGAAACCAAATTGGAGAATCAGCTATCGCATCAAACAGTCAATTCATTCCTACAGACTCCAGGCCTCAGCGGGGAATTTTACATTGATGCAGCAAGTGCCGAAAGAATGGTCACAAACCAAGCGTACCGTTACCTTGGCACCCGTGCCTCATCACCCAATCAAGTGTCTAACCGGAGCGCCGCAGAATGTGAGAGGGACCCGATTCTGGCGCTGGAACTGGTTGTGGCACCTTTCGACCGCTGGCGAAATTCGCCCTAGACGTTATCCCGAAGTCTTGCCTGAAAGAAGACATCTTTCAAACGTTAGGGACGGCTGATACAGATGATCATCATGAGCTATGGACGGCTGGTACAGATGGCTTTACACCTAGAGACTGAATAGCCATCTGGTGGCTTGCAGACATGTGCTTTACCCCAACGTTTCCGGGCACGAGCCTGGAATCATTCATCTTCTTCTGCTGCGTGCAGGGCCAAACGCAGGCTTTGAAGACTTTTACATCCCTGAAAGATACATAGTCTCAAAAGCATGCGAAAAGATTGATGGCAAGCGGTAGATATTGCCAAATTATTTGCGGCGCCGTCAAGGCTTTCATGAAAGTTCGAGATGAACGCGACTCTTGTTGAACACAACATTGGAGACATCACGAGCTCTCTGCGAAGCGAAACTCAAACAAAAGTTACAATACTGCAGTACCCGTGTCGCAACAAACGCGTCGAGAGGTCAACCAAGCCATCGGGGGAACATTGAGAACCTACAAGATTTCTGCTCTGGCTATCGGAGCAAGAAGACCAACTACGAGAGGCTATACAGAACCATCGTAGTTCTGGAAGAAAGCTGTCGGAGAAGTCTGAGAGGCTTGTCGGCTGTATTTAGATCAATCAAGCGTTCCAGAAGAGAATCCTTTTAGTTGGGATCGACTAAAGATCTCAAAGTCTTGTTCGCTGTGATAGATCAAGCTTTGCTGCCCAGAGAGATCCTACTTATAGACGACCTCCTTTAGGGCAGACCACAACAACCTGAAAAGCGGGATCAGATGAAAGATTTCTCGCAGAAAACTTTGAGAGTTCTTTCTGAAGAACTTTCGTAACTCTCTGTCGAGATACTAATGTGACGATTCCCAAAGCTATGAGGCTCAGAAGACGTTTCGGGGAGACAAGACTGACAAGCGTTGAACTCATGGAGCGGCGGAATATAGAACAGCAAAGAGCCTTTTGATCAATGAATGATAGTGGTTTAGGCTTGGCCGAAAACAGACTCAGCTCATTGAGTGGCCTAAATGGGCTCAAGAACGAATGGTATCCTCTGACCTTGACCGTAATAGCTCTGTCTAAGTCTTGCAATGACGACGCGCCATTGAAGCGGCATGTTCCGGACATTCCCTACAGTGAATTCACCTAAGAGAATCCAAAGATAGGTTCAAAACTCTTAAATATGGCTGGCGAAAGGAGTTCCGTACCACAGTCAAGTATCTTGGGTACACTTCTTCCATTATTCATGTGTGACAAACTCTGTCAAAGTAACAAAGTGTGGCCTTTGGGTTTCCTTCGTTGAGTTATAATGACTTTCCGGTCCAACAAATCAAGCAACCCATCTTTTAGACCTTACACCTTGTGGTAAACTGTGCATTTCAGTTCAACGATTTTCTCCTAGGAAAATATCTAGGGCTCCTTGTTCCTGTCTTATGGATTGAATTGTTCTACCTGTCTCATGATGACTTGAAAGTGTTGTTTTCCACGTGTAGCTGTCTGAAGGTCTGGTAGTTGTATCCGCCCCATGGAGAATGACCAATCTCGCCCCTTCATTTTGTGAAGCATCAATAGACCTGCCCTGCTGATGAAGCCTTCCTGATTCAAACCGCCCCATAAACTCTTGTCAGCCTTTTCTGTGCTATATTCAAACAACATGCCAGCCTTGGTAAGCTTTGGCATTTGCACTCGCCACATGAAGCCTAGATCGTTGTGCGCACTCTGTAAGTTTCGGAAATTATGCCCGACCTTGTGGAATTTCGGCAATTGGACCTGCCTCGTGAAGAAATTGAGAAGACCCAATGATTTGGAATAGTTTTCAAACTAAAAAGTTTTGATAGTCATTCTAGCCTAACTAAGATTTCCTAGTTGCACTTACTCTTTGAATTCTCGAAGGGTCTGCTCGTCTGAGAAGGCCTTACCAGTTGCACTCGCCTCGCATATTCTTAACAGTTGTACCCGCTCTACAAAGTTCTGGAGGCTGTATTTACTTCGAGACGTTTTGACAGCTGCGTTCGTCGTGTTTGTAACCTTTGATTAGTTGTTCCTGCCCCATGGAGTGTTGAAGGTTGTACCTGCCTGCCCAGTTTTCACCAGTCCTACCCGCCTCATGAGACTTCAAAACGTTGACCCGGCCTCATGAAGCTCTTGTAGCCCCATCCACCTCATGGGTTCCTTCCTCTTCACCCTCTTCCAATTATACTCCTCTCAGGTTCTTCTCTTTTTACAATATTCTTCCACCAAGCATATTCTTGGTGGCCAATTTCCAGTCGCCGTCAGCAACATCAAACACCATAACCTAGGTGAGTAAACCCATGTCACCTACGCCATCGCGATACTTGAGAGTACTTATGATTCTTTTCCCAATAACTTCATCTCCTCTCTACTGGCGCCCTCGATTTTGATGGAGAAAACCACCACAAGCTGGGCTACAAAAAACGGGTCGTCCATAGGTGCTCGAGTCTCTTGGGTGAGAACCTGAGCTGATCATTTTACAGCCTCCAGACGTCTTGGCAGAAACTTCGCATACCATACGCAGTCACTACAACAGTAAGTCAGTTGTTCTATATGTCTTCGTTCATCTCCGCTTTTGCCGGGGTTCGCCAAAGCCGGCTCTTTTGGTCTGCTTTTGCGTGACGACAGCGCTCTCCTTCTCGACCATCGACAGCGTGCTTCCCGATCCGAAGCAACGGACGACACCAATATTCACTGACTTTTAATTCCCTCCTTGATCTTTCCCGGTTCGTTTCGAATGGCGGAAAGTAGCTGTCAGTCGCGCCTTCTAAGTTAGTCTCCAAGAAAGAGCAAGGAAACAGAAGACAAGCGCGCTGTACAATTCTCTTCTGGTGCCTCACTCGCTCTTAGTCTCACCCTCATTTTATTATCTCTTGCCTACATCTCCGCTAACTTTCACCAACAGTCCGCTCGAGCTCTTGCCATAAGCATCAGTAGCAATGTCTCGTCAAGTCATCTCCAAGCCGACCATGGGTCCGGCTCGCCGCACCCGCGCTCACAGTCAGACTCTCATAAACAGTGCCGGTGCCGCCGCTGCCGTCAGCAAGATGACTGGCACTGCGATTCCTAACATGAAGGGATCGAACACCTCGCCCACTGAGCCCCAGGCTGAGAAGATCAAGAAGGTCGAGAAGGCCAAGCAGATTGCGAAGGGCAAGAAGGTCCAGAAGCCGAAGCCTCGCTTCGACACCTTCCACCCGTTTCCCCGTCTCCCCAATGAGATCAAGGCCATGATTCTGTGCGAGTACATCGACTTCGAGCCTGCCATCATCTACGCTAGCTGCGAGGCGAACAAGAACGTCCCGGGCCTCATCGACGTCAAGACTGGCAAGGACGGTAGACATTCAAAGTACAAGTGCATCGCCGAGCTCACCAAGGGCATTCCCGACTTTAAAGCCTACATCGAGCGCCAGATTGGTGTCTCATTCCACGACTTGTCCTACCGCCCCAAGGAAGGCGTCCGCAAGGATAAGGATCTCATGGTCCTCATCTTCAATAAGAAATGGAGCACCCACCTGAGCTGGTACAGTTCTTCCCGGCGGATTCTCAATCGCGAGCGGTTTGTTCCTGATATCGAGAACATTGGTGTCATGTACGATCCGAGCCGCCTTCGCGGCATGGAGAGGGTCGATGGACATAAATCTTGCCCTTGCTCCATTACTGATCTCGGCATGATGATCATGAACCTTCGTGACATCAGAAACTTCTACATTCTCGTCAAGCTGCGCGGCCGCAGTCAGTCTGAGCAGAAGCAGTGGATGAAGAAGCGGCTTCGTAAGTGCTATCGCAGCTGTGCGCGAGCCCATTATTGATCTCACTTGTACTAAGAACAAGACTACAGGCATTGCGAAGCGTCCCAACAAAGATCTCGTAGTCTTCGAGGACAAGCAGAGAACTTGGGTGGAGATCACTCGGTCCACCGCTAGACATCAGGGAGATGGTTCTCTTCTGAGAGATGTAGCCAATTTCGTCAGGCAAGTCGAGCGTCTCTACCGTTCAATTTGCACCATGTGTAGTGGACCTCCTAACGTCCGATTCCGCATCCTGGTGGCGTCACATTTTCTGAACAAGACCCTGGGAATTTGAGACTGAGACCCGTCACGAACATTTCTACCTCGAAGGATCGAAGACAGCGGAGTGTTTGGCGAGGAAGCAATGAAGAAGGGATACAGCAGTATGGTCATGGCTTTCATGAGAATCGGCTTTACAGATGAACAACGCAGTTCATAAACAAGGCCTCAGCTCATGTGCATTCGGTTTTGGGATAGGGTATGAGGCAGGAAGTGCAATTACCTCAGCTTAGAGATCCATATCATTGCAATTCGAGGAAATCACAGTATACATGCTGCAGTCCGTGACATGGGGCCATTGATCGTCATTCTTGCAGGCATACAGCGCTGCGATGGAACCTTCTCAGTTCTCATGCATGGCATTACATAAGTGGGCATCCCTCGTTACTGTTGCCAAGCGGTGATCATGGTCCAGTTGCTGCTGGGCATCTGGACCTGCATGGTGTGAGGGCTCGTGACAGCTTCACATTGACTGGCTATCGTGATGTGAGATCCGAAAAAGAAGGGTACTCTGTGAAAGCTAAAGATACAGCTAAAACCCAAAGACAAAGTGGACCGTCGTTCATTCGGGTGAGATCCGCCCGCTCGGCTCGGCTCCCGATCGGCGGACCCTCGAAAAAGCGCCTTATCACGCGCAAATCCCTCCGCCGAAAACGAAAAGATCTCGGCCCCGAATGCTTATCCCAGTGACTTCGATTTCCGGTTTAAAGCCTTGCCTTAATTGTCTTGGGGCGGCATCGGAGCATGTCGCTGGGGTGGAAAAGCGACTAGGGGACTGACTAATTCCAACGGCGATATCGTCCGACGCAAACAGCGATAACATAAGAGCCAATAACCCTGTTACTTTGGTTCACTTCGCACACGTCACTTCGGTCGAATTATTTTGTCTGTCAGTTCGATTCTTGATTAAGCACATGGGCCTGGATCTAAACTCATTTTGTATACAGGTGAACGATTTTTGCCTCTTATAATGAGATTCAATCCAAGACACAACGACAATGACGACTTCGAATAAACGCCCAAGTAGCGAGCCGCAATGGCTCAAGACATCCGTCGATGTTCTCCAGGCGATAAAGCTGGTATGTCCAACTCACACATTCATTCTTCTTCTATAAAAGTAGCTCACTCATTTCGTACAGGCTGCGTCCCAGACGGCTCCGAAACTCCTCAGTTCATGGCTTTACGTGCCCGCGGGCATCATGGTCATGCTGGCCGCTTGCTTCGGCGTCAGCGTCTTCTTTGACGCCGTCGGTGTCTCATTCCCTGCCTCTGTGGCCTGTCTGATTTTGCTCTTCTTCGGGCTCTTGCTGTCGGAGCTGGTAGTGGGAAACCACAAGACGAGAGCAATCGTTGCCGTCGTTGACGTGCCAGTAAGTTTTTGCAACGCGATCGAAAATGTCGGAAGCTAGTCGCTAATGACTCCCAGGCGCGATGGTCTCTCCGTTGGATCAACATCTTCTTCACACCATCATTCATCATGTTACCCTTGAGTCCCTCAATCGGCATCGTCGAAGTCATGAAGATTATCGCCGTCTTTAGTGAGTTCCCCTTCTTGAATCCAGTGCTTCCATGAACCTGACACCCCTCAGTCATCGGCTTCATCGTCATGATGGCCCTCGCCGCGTACCTCACCCGTGGCCTCCAACTCCTACTCGGCTCATCCAAACGCGCAATGACAGAACGCGCAGAAGAAATGGGCAACGAGACCGACGAGATTCCCTTCGCCGACACCCCTCCCCGAACCGACTCCGTCCCGGGCTCCCGCACCATCTCCGCAGCCCCGTCCTCGCTCTCCCTCAATACCCTCGCTCCGCCGCCGCCCTCTCAAAACGCCTCACACAACTTCCTCCCATCAGCAACATCATCTCCCGCGAGAGTCACCGAAATCAACGTCGATATCCCCTCCTCTCCGCCAACACCGCCTCTCCCATCACAGGACCCCATTCCTCTGCCACGGTCCCAGCTCTGGGCAGCCTGGATCTGCGGTCACCTCAACTGGGTTCTCTACGCCTCCATCTTTACCTTCGTCGGTATCCCACTCTACTATGCAACAGGCTACGCCATGCCCCTTCACCTCAGCCTCATCCTCCTCGTCTACTTCGCCGCCATGTCCATCCCCGCAAACTGGAGACAATACCTCCACCCCGTTCTCGTCACCGCCCTCTTCTCCGTCCTCGGCATCTGGGCTCTGGCTGCAATTCGAGGCGCCGGCCTCTTTGAAACCCTCCGATCATTCCGCACAGGAGCGAATTACACGTATCTCTGGCTCCACGCCAAGAACTCGGAAGGTCGCCTACCCGGCGCCGGCGACATCTTCAGCACCGTCCTCGACGCCAGTATCGTTTCTCTTGCGCTGCCCATGTATCAGTATCGCCGCGAGCTGAAGCAGAACTTTGTAGCAATCGTGTTGCCCAATATCCTCATGTCGATCGGCTGCCTCTTCTCGTATCCCAAGATCTGTTTCGCTATCGGCATCAGCGCAGAGAGGTCTCTCGCATTTGCGTCGCGGAGCCTGACGCTTGCGCTGGCTCTCCCTGCAACGGAGAACCTGGGTGGTGATTTAAATACCGTGGCTGCGGTAGCTATCATGAGCGGTATTGTCGGTGTGCTAGTTGGCCAGCGGATGTTGGCCTGGATGAAGATTCCAGAAGGTGAGAGGCTGCGTACTGTGAGCGATGAAAAGAATGAACATGAGCAGCTTACAGAGAAACAGATGACTACATCACCCGCGGCGTCACACTCGGAGCCAACTCCTCAGCCATTGCCACCGCCCTCCTCTTACGAACCGATCCCCGCGCCGCAGCGCTGTCTAGCTTGTCAATGAGCTTATTCGGCACCATTACCGTCCTGTTCACATCCATCCCGCCCATCGCAAGCGTAATTAAGTCGCTGGTAACCTGATGTTTTTGAGTATTGCTACAGCATCGACTAATTGGAGTCTACACACCCCAAGCCCAGTCTACGCCGGAATGCTAGGAGCCAAACCCCTCCACAATTCGCACCTGGCACCGCGTCCGCCCTCCCACGAATCCGCAGGGACAACCCGGATATCATTCAGCTGTCCCGGCGCCATAAACTGCGTGACCCGCGCCCCCCACGAAGTCGTAAACTCGTACGGCACGCCGCCCGTCTGGTTCAGGTTCACCTGTTTTGGCGCCTCCTCCGTCCAGGCAGGCCACTGGCTCGCTCCATTCTCCGCACCTACGTCGATGCCGGAAGAAGCTCCGTTGGCGATCTCATTGCTGATAGAGGGGTCGTTGCCCGTGATGAAGTTACCCCAGATCTTGCGGAAGGCGAGGACGATGTCCGGGCCCTGGTTCGGCGTCGCGGGGCCAAAGTAGCCTGGGATGTCGGCCGTGTGCCAGGCAAAGGGAACGGAGTACTGGTAGTGCCACGACGACTTTGGCGATGTGAAGGCGTCGGAGAGCCAATAGCTAGGGCACACGAATGTTGCCTCGGCGTAGATGTTCTATTCAAATGGTGTCAGAGCAAGGACCACAACACATGGCGACGGGATGAGCTTAATGCTTTCTTACATTTGCTCTCTGTTGCTGCCCGGTCCCAGACTGGCTCACGTCAAGGGCCGTAAGCCCCGTCGACCCATTCGTCTCGAAGCGAGTATCGTTCGCCCCTGTCTTTGTCGGATTCGCGGCAAGGATCTCGTCGATTTGGTCCGCTGAGAGATTGGGGAACTCGAGCTTAAGCCAGGACGTCAAGTCTTCGACGCTGACGATGTTGGGCGGGGTGAGTAGAGGTCCTTCATTGGCGTTATGCTTGCAATGCTCGTCAGTCGCCGGTCGAGAACACATGGAAAGGAAGCGGAGCTTGGGGGGTAAGATACTCACACCGACGAGGAGACGCTCTCCATTCACTCTCTTCTGCTTCATCTGCTCAGTTGGGAGGTTCTTGATGTACACGCCGTCCGTCACGGGGTAAAACGCCCTATCGCCCAGTCAGTCGTGTCTAGAAAGTGTGAACTCCGCATGTTCCGAGAATCGACTACTTACCAGAACCCATAGGGCTGTTCGAACGTGGTATTCGCACTCGCCAACTGCAGCGTCATACTATCCTTCCCACGAAGACACGCAAGAATGTCACCAGACGACGAGCACCCCGCCTTCTCAGCAAACGCCTGGTACCGCGCAGTCGGAAACGGCGCATCAAAGGCGTAGTGGAACGGCAGGTACGGCGAAGCAGCGATTCCCTAGTACCGAATCGAGGTTAGCCGACTGATCACCAACACGGTGTTCGAGTCGGAACTTACATTGTTGAAGAGCGTCGTCCCCAGACTCCCATCCACGGCGAGAGTGTGATACATCACCGACCCGGCGCCCGCCGACTCCCCCGCGATCGTTACCTTTTCACGATCCCCGCCAAACAGGCCGATGAAGCGCTGCACCCAGCCGAGGGCAAAAGCCTGGTCCAGCAGTCCTGCGTTCACGACCCCACGAGCTTTGACGTCCGCAGAGGAAAGGAAGCCCAACGCGCCGAGCTATACATCGTCAGCATGCTGTTTCTCAGCAGATCTCTCTCTCGTCCAGCACCAAATCCCGGGAGAAGGACAGACAAATGCCCCCCCCCCAAAAAGAGACGAAAAATTAGCAACTTTGGGAGTATGCATACCCGGTACTGAATAACAACAGCCACGAATCCACCCCCATTCGCCCCAATAATCTCCGACATATCAATTCTGCCATCACCGTACCCGTATCCGCCGCCGTGAATGTACACCAGCACCGGCAAATCCTTGGCGTCGGCGGGCGCGTACACATTGAGGAAGAGACAGTCTTCGTCCCCCGGGATGAAGGGGAGACCCGGAACCGCGGGGTAGTTTTGCGGACAGATGGGGCCGAATTCAGTTGCTGCCGTCACCGGTACTGGGGCAGCATCACCCGTAGCCGTGTCGTTGGATGATGGGAGGCGGGGAGGTTGCCAGCGCTGTGAACCTGTCGGCGGAGCTGCGTAGCGGATGCTGGAGGGGTGTAAGAAAACGTGTCCGAGATAGAGAGAAAAACATCTCACCCTTTCCAAATATTCAGACCGCTGGTGGCGTTGTTGTACCCTTCATACTTGGCATACCCCAGGTCTACAACCAGCGAAGAAGGCTGCCGTTGCTCGGTGAGAGCATTACCCAGACCTCGTGTATCAACAAGCAGACGATCCAAGAACGCGACTGCCGCATCACGGTCTTTAGACGAGGGAAAGGCGCCCGAGAGACAGGGCGCAAAAAGTCCCACGACGACTAGCGGTAGAGTCCTAAAGAGGCGCATGGTTTATGAGCGAGCGTGGTGTGTACACCGGGAACGAGTGGCCGTGACGAAATGGCAAGGCAAGGGAAGGGAGCTAGCTGTATAAGGGCCTTACTGAATAAAATCCTAAAAGTCCTCATCCGTCATATTTTGGCATTTTCACATAAGCGGCAATGTGCCGTATTAGTTATTGAAGTTGACTAATACCAGCCGGGGGGACAACTCCGTCACGACTTACCTTATTTTGAGTTTCCTTGCCCGCACTGACTACCTAAACAAGAAGTCTAAGAAGGTCGGAACCCTAAGGAAAACCTGGTTTGTTAATATAAGCCAATATGCGTAAACCCCATTCCATAAAGCCCGAGCCGTTTCTTCCTTACCAACGTATAACAGCCGAGTCAATCCGTAGTACTCGTAGCACGGTCCTCGATGCGAATAAGGGGGGGGGGGGGGTTCTCCCAGGTTCTTTTTGGTCCGTGCAATGAATTCCATGAATCGATTCAAGCTTGTCCACCACTGTTTGCTGACCTCGTTTGCTGGATGGTGATGCGATGAACAGCGGGGGAGCCACTGGGGGAGGGCATGTCAGCGTCACATCGGGTCGTGGTTTGGACCTCTCCGCGAGAAGAGGGACCTCCTATCCGCAGAAACCGAGCTTTAAGAATCCGCGCAATACGAGGGGTAAAAGCGAGGTGCCGAGTCAATACGATGTGCGGGTGCATTTGTCTATATCCCATCACCTAAATGGGTTACACCGGGCTAACTACCAAAGTAGAGTCAGTTGAGTAGCAATGGCACGGTTGGAATACGGAATGGCTAGTGGCATAAAAAGATGAATGTCAGCACTTTCGCAACGGGAGCAGACTTGAACTCCAAACAGAACCATCGAGAGAGAATCTCAAGACATCTTCATTTCACTATGCCCATGAAAGCCAGACCCGCCACCAAATGAGAAACTCGCACTCCAAGGCGGGCTGTTGAGACTCGTTAAGCCCAGCACAGTAGCACCCCGTGAAAACGCAAAGACAAAAAACTCCCGAAAAGCAACGGAAGCAAAAAGGCACCGGCTGTCCAAAGGTATAGGCGGCTTATATCATCGAAACCAAGTCCTGAACAAACCACAAGCTAATGAGAACCCATCTCTATATGATGATTGACCTCCCTCAAGCATTAGAGTTCAAATCCCCACACCAAAAAGATCCCAAAGAGCAAGGCCACCTCCCGTGAACCTCCCTTCGTCCGAACATCTATCCGTAGACGCTACGCGCGATCAACCGCGGAACTAGCATCTGCCCATGTACCCGGTATTCTATCCATATTGTTCCCAATATTTCCCAAGCCCCCCCCTCCCCCCCCCCCCACGCGTAATTCTCACACCACTGTAAGCAACTCGCCTTTGGGTCCGATTTTGCCTAGAGTCTCCCACAGGAAACCCCCGGCATGCACAACAGATGCGGGGCTCGAATCTCACGGCCGGCCCCGACACGCTCTCCCGCATCCGGGGTGCGGATGGAACTCTTTGCGCCACCGGGTCGGAGGCCCGGGGCCGAGTACGACGCTCCCCGCCGAAGCTGCTGCTCTTGGATTACCTCAGTATGATGCTCGCCTCTCGACTTGGTCTGATGCTACTGCAAGACCCTAGGGGAGATACTGCTAGATCTCGCGTGTCTTCTACAGTATTACAAACTTATTATCCAAACCTGTCAATTGATGAACAATATGTCCTTACGCAAAAGGATGCAGCCCTCATATGATTGTCCAGCCCTGGATGAGCTGACGATGGAGAGATGACCCATCACCTTATCCCAACCTCGAGTCACTGCGAGATCAAACAACACATGTAACAATCAGAAGCTCGCATTGTCTTAGTCGAACCTAGGCCATTCATAATCCAGCCAAATCAATTCCAGTCCCAGCAACGAAACCGTCCAAATCATGCGGGCGGAGTCTTTAACCCGCAGTTTTTCTTCCCAAAGTTGTTTCCTAACGTCATGAACCGTATAAAATCATCTGCGTACCTCTTTCTTCGCCTACTTGGTCAGATAAGAAAAGAAAACCGGGCTGCCTTATTTCCGCTCCTCAAAGTAGAACTTGCCGAGCTTGTCGCCGCCACCTTGAGGGCTACCAAGCGCGGTGTTACCTACGCGCGCCTCGCCCCCATCAAGTCGCTCCTTAAGAAGACGCTCTGCGGTATCACGAGCTGTTGGCGTCGTGGCGGGGTTAGCTTGTGAAGATTGCTGGGGGAGCTGGGAAGCAGGGACAGGTGGCTTGTTGGTGGTGTCGACGTACATTTCGTCGCTGGGTACACCGGCACCATCATTGGTCGTACCATCCATCATCCTCGCATCCCGACGTTCCTGCATAGCAGCCGCGCTGGTGGGAGTGTCACCGCCCATCGTGACGTCGCGGGCTCGCTGCGTCGGCATGCCATCACTGAGACCAGAGGCACTTCGCTCCAGACCCCAGATACCAGCCTGGCCAGCGACTCCAGGAATGGGGCGACGCTGGTAAATGGGACCAGAAACGGTGCTGTTGGCGCCCTCACCAAAACCAACGAGGCTGGCGGATCCGTCGTCGCTCATGCGGTCGTCGTAGCCCCCGGTGGACCCTGCCGTCTGGTCCTCGTCCATGCGTTCAGGCTCGGCGCCCATACTGGTAACCGAGTCGGCCTCGCGGTAGTTGGTATCCATGCTGAACATGTCCTCGTCCTGCTCGCCAGGTGCGGTGCGCGTCTCGTTGTCGTCACCGACATAGCTCTCGGTTGCGCTGGCGGTACCAACAGTGCTCATCTTAGTAACAGCGGTGGGTTGGCCATGGGCGTCAAAGTATGCGGGCGTGAGGTGCGTGTTGGGCGGGTAGTTGGCAGGGAAGCCGGTGGAGGTGGGAGTCGTCTGGGGAGAGATGGAGGAACCGGCATTCTGCTGGTGCGGCGGGGCGCGCAGAGTCGAGACTCGCTCTAGGCCGGCGAGACGGGAGATCCTGTCGGCGCGCTCGGCCTCGAGACTCGTTGTAGAGGGGTGGTGGGCGTGGCCGCGGACACCGGCAGGACCCTGGGGAAAGTGGCCTCGGTGACCATCTTTAATAGCGGTGGTAGAGAGGGCCGAGAGGGAGGTCGTGGCGCTCGTTGGAGTGCCGCTGCGAAGGGAGATATTAGCTCGGGAAGAAAGTGGAAGAGAGGAAGTGAGATAGCGTACGGCATCTCAGATGGGGTATCCGGGTTGGAGGTGGGAGGAGGGAGATTGATGAAGGTAGGACGCGGTGCTTGCGCCATGGCTGCTAGAATCGACGTTGGTATCTGGGATGAAGCGAAGAGGGGTCGATGAGGTCGATGACGGAAGCCGTCGACGGTGTTATATGTGTCGATGTTCGGACCGAGATGAGGTTGTAGCCGGATGCTTGTAGGCGGTAGAGGCGCTTCGGGCAGAGATGAGCTGGATGGCGTAAACTTTCAGGTATCGTCGTCGGGTATGCAGGTGGGCGCTTGGTGCCTCGAGAGCTAGACAATGGAGGTGGAATGGTGGTATTTAGCACAGAGTCGAATGGGTATCGTAGAGGGAGCAATTCGCATGTGCGCTTCTGGTCGTCGTGTGAAGAAAGAAAGGGTGACGAGGTGTGGCCGAAATGTGCAGAGTTCCAGGTTGGGTGAAGGAAGAAAGCCAAGTGACTTGATGTTGGACGTTCGCGTCAGGCAGGCGTGACAGGGAGTCACTGAGGTTGGTCCCCTGAAGTCATGAAAGTGAAGCGTCCTAAGGTCAAGGTACTTGGACGTTCGTACCGAATGAGGTGGGAAAGCAAGGCAAGCGCAGGGCGTGGGTGGGTACCTACCTTCCTCGAAAAGAAGCTACTAAGGGTACGTACAATGGGTAGACAGCGGGAGGCAGACACGCAGAAGGAGCAGCAGGAGCAGAAAGAGCAAGAGCAAGGCGGGGGAGGGGAAGAGCACGCAGCAGGCGGGGGGCAACGACGGGATGGGCAGGAACGGGGACGGTGACGGAGCGTCGGGTGGGCAGAGTACCACAGCACCTCAGTGCAAGGCAAGGCAAGGCCACTGAGCAATATGCCTTCCTCCCTGGACCTGCCCGCGCTACCAATGGCTACAAATGACGTAGACCCCGGCACCTTGTATGCCCCGCTTACATCACCGGGAGCAGACACGTCTGACGAGCTGTGGTTGGTTCAGAACTCATCAATCGTGATTGGGCCCCACCTATCTTGGACCCCTCAGGCTGGGAAAAAAGTACAAAGTACATGTTTTCTTTCGTGAACAAGACCCTGAATGCTTCTCCTCGCCGTCCCTGCATGTCCTTCCCGTTGCGTGGGTTTGTTCCATATGACATCCATTTCCCATTTGCCTAACCCATGTACAATGATGGCATTTCATTCCAAGGGATAGTTTTCTGTGCAGTACACGTGTACAGTATCCGTACATGCGAGCTGGATTCCAGGGTTTCAGACGAGGTAGGTACTGCTCATCTCACAAGTCATGACCACATCCAACAGGCACTCAAAAAACACCCGGCTTAAAGTCAGTCACCCTCGCCTTGATAATAGCCGACCCAACCTGCTTCATAAACGCTTGGTGCGCAGGGTCCTTGTGGAGGTAATAGTCGCGGTCCTCAACGCTCTCAAACTCGGCCACGAAAACGTGCGTGATGCCGTCCTGCAGGCCCTCGGGGCTACAGTCGAGGCCGCCGACGAGAGACTTGATGTACGACTTGCTAGACGTCGGGTGTACGCAGTTCTCTTTGAGCGCCAACATGGAATCGCACATCTGTTGTCTAGCCTTAGCCTCCGCAATTAAGCTAATAAACTCTCTGACCCCGGGTCCGCCGGGTTGTGGCCAAACATACCGTCTTCACCTCCTCCGCTGGAATGAGCTCCTTGAACTGAAACTGAACAACGTGGATGACGGTCATTTTTGAGTATTAGAAGTGAGGAGTGGGGTTAGACAGGCGGGGGTATAAGAGTTGAAGTTGAGATAAAGTGAAGTCGAGCGGCCCTTGAGTTGTTGATCAGTTGTTTTGGCTTCCCTTCCGGATGTCCTCACCCCCGCCTCTTGTTCAACGCGGGCGGAGTACGGAACGGCGGGGCATCGCCATGTCAGGCGTCATCGTCCCGTCTTGATGCGGGGTGACCTTCGACCAATCATACGTGCGGGCCACAACCACCAATTGACCAACATCCACGCCTACTGGCATATGCGCAGCGTGGACTCTTGTAGTGAGTCAGGGGTTTGAATATTGACACATTGTCTACTTACATCTACTTCTTTTCTTTCTCCCGGAAGTTCAGAGTAGTGATTTAGCCAGCACTGAAATACGATCAGATCGCCTCATATTCGCGGTAACGACGAGTTCCTATTGAAGATGCTTCATCAGTGTTACTGAATTTTCGACTAGGACTGTGTGGAAATTGACGTGTTCAAAAGGAACTTGTGTCAACTAATATATAGTGGAACGACTTACGGCCCAAAAGCAAATTGTCACGATTCTTGATTGAAAACAGTTGATGAAGTGATGATGTTCATTCTTCTATCGAGTATCTACCTCTTCCTAAGCTCCCCCTTTCTCTCTTCCTCATTACATAACCATCATCCATGGTCTACCTCACCAATTTTACCACCAAATCTATTCCAGCTCATCATATGGGAGCATCCAATACAAAGGAAATGATATGTCTACCAAACTTGCGCTCGTTCGTGATATCCACAAACCACCACAGGGTCCGGCAGATTACAAGAACACAACCATACCAATAGCAACCGCACCAAGAACACTCATAAGCGGGAACACGTTCGCGGCCATCAGAGCGGGCTCGCCAGCTGTAACCACGGCGGTGGGAGACGTGGTGCCGGGACGGGTGCCGCTGACGGTGGTGGGGACGGCCGGGGTGGTCGCGGGGGAGCTGCCGGCGGGAGGCTTGGTAGGGTTTGAGGTAGGGTTGGAGGCAGGAGGGTTCGCGGGAGGCTGCGCGGGAGGGTTGGCAGGCGGGTTGGAGGGAGGGTTGGAGGGAGGGTTGGAAGGAGGGTTGGAGGGAGGGTTTGAAGGCGGGTTAGAAGGAGGGTTAGAAGGAGGGTTTGAAGGAGGGTTGGTAGGAGGGTTGGAAGGGTTTGCGGGAGGGTTGCTTGGGTTGGTAGGAGGGTTGCTGGGGTTGGTGGGCGGGTTCGACGGGTTGGTAGGCGGGTTGACAGGAGGCGAGGCCGGGTTAGAGGGCTTCGTAACCATGGTCGAGCCACCAGGCCCAGTAGGGGTAGGAGTTCCCTGGCGAGTGAAGGACGAAGTAGTGGTGGTGGTGACGGTGCTGCAGACGGCGTTGTTACAGGTGGTGTACGTCTTTGTGAGGGTGGAGCAGTCAGTATAGAAGGGCGGCTCGGTGCTCGTGGCGGGAACGTAGACTGGGCGGGTGTAAGTTGAGCAGGTGCCGTTAAAGTTGCAGCGGGTGACGGTCGTCACTGTCGGGGGAGTGACGACAGGGGGAAGAGGGTAGGTAATCGTCGTGACGGGCTTGCAGTAGCCGTTGTAGCAGGAAGTGATTGTCACACAAGGGGGCAGGGTGATGACATTGCAGGTGCCGTTGTAGTTGCAAGTAGTGGTTGTCACCGGGGGAGGGATGGTGATAGGGGCAGTTCCGTTGGGGAAGACGGGAGGGGTGGTGACAATGGGCCCGGTGGTGGGATCAACTGGGACCGGGACGACAGTAGTGCTGTTATTGGGAAGGGTTACGGTCGAGCTGGTGAAGGTAGGGAGAACGCCGGGATCGGTGGTGTTCAGGGCCGTGGTCGTGAGGACGGTAGAGGTGACGACGTCGGTGGAGGTGGTCGACGTGGTGGCGGTGCCCGGGTCCGAGGACGTCGAGTCGGTAGAAGTCGAGGTCTCGGTGGTGCTCGGGACGGTGCTAGCACCGCTGCTAAGGGAGGAGTCCGTAGTCACCGAGGTGCTCGTGGGAGCAATGACGGTGACGGTAGAGCTGCCGACGCTGGTCGCAATGGAGGTGCTGGTGGAAGCCGTGCTGCTGGAGCTGGCAGAAGAGGTCAAGGTGGTGGTGGTACCGCCGCCGGTGACCGTGGTCGTAGGGTTAGCCACGGTCACGGTGGTGCTGGGGGTCACGGTCGTAGTTGGAGCGACGACGGTGGTTGAGGTGGTCGACTGGCCGTTGACACCGGCCAAGAGGGCGGCACCCGCGGCGAGGCGGATCATGGCAGGGGAAACCATCTTGATGGCTTGTAGATGTAAGCGAGAGTGGTGGTTGGCTGTGTTTGACTAGACTCTTTAGCTAGAGAAAACGAAAGACGAAAGCGAATGTCGAGGCAGAAGCTCAGAGAAGAGAGGAGTGTTGAAGATGTGAATGATGTGATGAGGATGAGAAGAAAGGACTGATATCGGCTGGGTTCACGGAGGCTTGATATAGCCATTGATCGTGTGGTGTAAGTCTGCCCATCCTCGAGTGAATAGTACCGAGAACGTCGGTGGGACCATGCAGGAACACTTCGTGAGCTCCATCCAGAGTGAAAATCATCGGCCAAGAGCATCGCGAAAATTCAGAGATCTTGGATATGGCTGCATGCGGCAAAAGATGTTGCGAGCCCCTCGTGCGCTCTGCCAGTTCGGACCGTTTTGGCGTACGCCATAGTGGACAGTTGGGACTGGCAGTTGGACGGATGTAGTAAGAAGAAGAGGTATTTTTGGGATGAGCTTGTAAGCGAGCATGGCTAACACGCGGGTGGTCCTGGGAAGAGAGTTGCGCCGGGCGAGGTACGGAACCAGGGGAGAAGAGCATTTCGTCGGATCCGGATAGATCAGAGGCAAGTGTGGTGGGTTTGGTGAGGTAGTATTAAGGAGTGAGACATTGCGCGATGGAGCTGGTGGGTCGGTATCTTCGGGGGTGAGGAATGTTGGTGATCGCCGCGACCCTGCCCGAGGCGATTCAGAGTGAGACAAGAATGGCGAGGGGAAACGGAAGGCGACCGCAATCCAGGGCAACGAGAGGGCCAAGCCAGCGTATCCGTACGGCCCGGATCATGTCTTTTCGGCGCCGAAGACAGCCTTGCTCATGTCCAAGCCTTATGAGAACGTCATCGACGCTGTCTCGCCGTGAGACAGCCGGTTCCCGAACTCCGGTGGACCCGGCATTCCAGCCTGGTCGCGGGATGACTGTCCATAGGGAATGGTAGGGATTATTCATTCATCAACTGCCGCTCATGGTATCCCCAAGAAGATACTGGTGGAATCCTTGGTGCCCATCATTGGCTACAAGCTTAACAATTTAGTTAAAATTTTCTTTCCTGACCATAAATCAAACTTATTCCCCTCGGTAACCGGCTCTGAACTCAATCCATGGAAAATCTCTCGTTTGCTGAGTGAATACGAGGAGAAACTGTCTGCTTCGTGGCCGCAAACGGCAGGTTGTCGATGAAAATCGTGAAAGTTCTTCCGGGGCTTGGCCGTACTGAGATAAACGCGTTTTCGATTCTTTGATACCGCATCCACTCTCGTGATCTACTGTACCCCCCATCTCCCCACGTGTGGGTGGGAACAGGAGATGAATTGGTCGTGCGATGTTGAGAGAAGCCACAGAGCGTGTCGTTGAGTCTTGTGGCGGAGCGCCGGAGTCCAGGGGGGGGGAAACCAGTTGGACCCGGCTGGGAGGGCAGTGGCTTGCGCCGCGATCGGTCGTATCGACTGGTCAACCGTAAACGAAGTCCCTGAGACATCAGCTCGTGTTGCTGGAATGTGGCCGCTTGAGGACGGATATCTCGGATTATGAAATTTATATACTGCTGGCTGAATCATCAAGAATAATGTGGTACGACGGACTCCAGAACTTGGCGACTGCCGAGGCGTAGGTGTGACAACTGGCCGAAATGGGAACCTGCGTCTAGCTTGAACAATATATTCAGCAGACAAGTGAAACAGATTGATCTTTGGGTAAGCGGAGAAACAGCCAAAAAGATGAACATCAAAGTATGAAGTAATAAATGTGAGCCATGTATTTATCTAGATTCCTGGACTGAGTTCTGCCTCCATGCAAAACGCCCCAACAAATGAAAAGGTATCCAACCTAATCTATTCATACATGACGTAAAAGTCTCTCTTAATCATCCACTGCTCTCCCTGACGTTGCCGCTTACAACTTCATGCCAAGTGCCTTGTGCACACGCATGCTCTGTCGAATGCTCAAGTCGAGCATAATCTCCTCACTACCACCGGGAATGGCATATGCGCGGACGTCGCGGTACAGCCTCTCGACCTTGCCACCCTGGCCACCGCGAGAGTACGACAGACCACCAAAGATCTGCGACGCCTCACGAGCGCAGAACTCAAAGGTGACGGTGCTCTGGGCCTTGAGACCGGCAATGGCACCACCAAGCTTTAGCATGGCCTCAGTCTCACCCATCTTCTGACACTGGAAGATGAGGTTCTCGAGCCATGCGTACGAAGCCTCAATCTGGCGGGCCATATGCGCAAGCTTGAGACGAATGACGGGGTGCTCGTAGAGTTTCTTGCCAAAGGTACGACGCTTGTTGGCGTACTTGACGGACTCCTCGTAGCACACACGAGAGAAGCGCAGGCACTGGATGATGATACCAATTCGCTCGTGGTTGAAGTTGGTCATGATGACTGAAGCATGTTAGTAAGGGATGCTGGGCAAATTCCTAGGAGTGGTCACATACCTCTGAAGCCCTGGTTCTTCTTGCCGAGCAGGTTCTCAACAGGGACCTTGACATCCTCAAAGGTGATGTAGGTGGTACCGCTGGACCAGACACCCTGGCAGTCCATACGTCTTGTCGTGACACCAGGTCCTCTCTCGATAAGCAGCAAGCTAACACCATTCATGCCCTCGCCACCCGTGCGTACGGCAGTGGTGAAGTAGTCGCACCAAATACCGTTAGTAATCCACTTCTTCTCGCCGTTGACGATGAAGTGCTTTCCATCCTCGCTGAGCTTAGCCTCGCAGGTCAGGTTGGCAACATCAGAGCCGGCATCGGGCTCGGTAATGGCCAAGCAGATGCGCTTGTCACCGTTGAGAATGCCGGGCAGGATACGGTCAACGAGAGCCTTCTGACCAAACTTGACCAGGGGCGGGCAGCCAATGCCGAAACCACCAATGACGTTCCAGACAAAGCCACCTGATGCTGCGCGGGACAGCTCGTCGGTCAGAAGCATCTCATGGAAGAGATCCCAGTTTTCGGGAGCCACCGATGCAACAGTGTTGTTGGTGTACTGTGTAGGGTAGTGGACACCGAGCAGACCGGCAAGGTAACCGCGCTCACCCATCTGCTTATAGATGGAAGGGTCGACCTCCTTCTTCTCGTCCCACTCACCGACGAAAGGCTCGACATTTGTCTCGACCCATTCGCGGATCTCGGTACGTAGGGCAGCGTGTGTCTCGTTGTAGTAGGGAGTGTGGTACTGTAGTCAACATGTCAGTGAATGCTAAGCACCAGAGGATACTTGGCAATTGAACTTACGGCCTGGTACCAGTTGGGGTCGGCGTAGGGGACCAAGTCACCAAAAGGATCCATAGGCTCGGACTCTTCGGTGCTGCTGGCAACGACCTTCTTGGGGGCGGCCTTCTTGGGCACGGGGGCAGCGGCAGCGGGTGCGGCTTCGACGGGCTTAGGCTTGGAGTCGAGGGAGCCGACGTGCAGCTTGGCCTTGTACTTCTTCAGGATACCCTCGTTGTGGTACTTCCAGAACTGCTTGGAGGCGTCCTTTCCGGCGACGCGCTGGAGGATCTTCTTGCCACCTAGGGAAATCAGTTAGAGAGGCGCGCTTCGGATGATTTTGGGACGCAAGGGCTGAGCAGAGGCAAAGGCAGAGGGGATGGCAGAACTGAACATACCTGGGTGGTCATCCTGGAACTTTGTGAGGTCGTAGACGTCGCCGTCGACGATGATAAACAAGTCGTCAGGCTTATTGTGCGACGCAACGTCGCCAGTGGTGAAGGTCTTGGACATTGTAACCGGTGATTGTTCTGTCGTACGATGCTGTGGAGTATGTGGGTGCTGTTTACGGCAGACTCTCGTCGGATGGGTATTCGTCGTTTGACTGTGGGATGACAGGAGAGATGAACCAGGGTAGAGATGAAGACGAAGAAGGACGCAGAGGGGGGATAACAATGTTTAAAGAAGTCTTGCCGGAAGAGGATGTGTCTGGGGAAATGGTGTCAAAGAAACGAGTCGCGACGGCCAAGGTCGGCAAATGGGCCAGCAGCTCAAGCGTAGGCCAGACAATCACATGCTTGCGGACGCGGGAAGGTAAGCCCAAGGTAAAATGGGAGAGGCACCTGCCCTTTGGTTTCTGGGAGAGGGTTACCTTCCATTGGACCTGCTTACCCAGGAGGGTTTAGGTACGGAGTACAGAGTACATCCAGGTTGGCTGGGGAAAGTACCCCTTCCCGCCTCGGGGTGAAGCTGGGGTGCAGATGGCTAGGAATGGTACTCCGTACCTCTCTCGACTCTCGTCACCTTGCACGTTTGACCCAGGGGATGCGTGTGCGGACACAGCCGCAGCCTCAGTGCAGTAACACGGGACAAGAAAGTACTTCTGCACCGAGGCATTGCAACGACTCTACCTTCCAATACCTGAATAGCAATGCAATCAATTACCGGCACATTATTTTTTTTGTGTGCAGCGGTCCTCCAGGCTTGCGAGGCCATTCAATGCCATCATCCATTTGTGTCTGGTGGCTTGAAAGATTCCCCAAGTTCCCCTCACACCTCTCGAGGCCGAAGACAGAGATATGGGTACAAATCAAGCCAGAAACAAAAGCATGCGGAAATTCGGGGACGGGCCCATTGTGTGGGGAAATCTGCAGTACATACGGAGTAAGTACTAAGGTAAGGCCGCGGGTAGCATCAGTCACTGAAATTGCGGCGGACGCGACTGGCCATGGCCGAAATCAACCACAATCAAGTGCCATTGGATTGGCTCGGGAGGCTGGCGAACGGGAAACAGACTCCAGAGTAAGCTTGGGGAGCCGTCGCACTAGTCCCCATCGGCGACATCCAGGTGCGCTAATCCGTGTCATGTGGTCTCGTGCAGCCTCTCCCCAGTTCCAGTTTGCGCGCCGTCCATTGTTCTTTTTTTTCTTTTCTCACCTGGCGTGTGAAAGACGTCTGGCAGGAAGAAATTTACGACAATGCGACTGGCATCCAACTGGAGCCGTGTGTGTTTGGTGCGCAACATGTGATTCCCACATTCTGTTTCGGGCGTCGCACCTCCTTCTTCTTCGGCTGATGTCATCGAGGGGTGGCCTGTTTCCGGTTCGCGAGGCGTGGATCAACCTCGGCATCTTTTCTAAAGGTGACTGGCCAATGGGAATCCCGTCGATGGTCATGTGAGGTGGGCCCTCTCTACTGCCGCTAAGTTTGCTGCCCGTGGCACACCAGTCCTCAGCTCAGAGACAGAGAGGTGAGCAACCACGATACGCATCCAATACGTCCAATGCGCCAGGAGTCAGGCACATGATCTCCCGACGACCGACCTCCCACACTGACCAGCAGAACGCGGAGAACCTGGACGGCGTTGGTAATTACTAGATTAGTAGATTACCCCGTGGGACAAGATTACCGACGCATGGCTTGTCTTCGGCATGCTACCTACTCCCCGTCTACGAAGTGCCTTATTAGCACGTGGGTTGGGTTTGCGCAGTCCCACCGCTTTCATGGCAGAGGCTGGCTGTCTATACAGATACTGCCTTCTTGTATGTAGATGTACTCCCAGGCCGTCGTCAAATAAACTGTATTTGAAAGGTATCGAGATGTCGAGATTGGTCCTCAATTCATAGCAATCCCTACCAAGCCATTAAATCCACGTTGCCTCCCGAGAGCAACGGGTCTCCTTTTTTACCCCCAAACGCCGTTTCCCACACTAAAGCAATCCGTGAAAGGTACCATTCTGTCCCACCCTTTCTTTCATAGACAATCGTCCTCAAAGGGAAAATCCCCTCGCAGCAATCCAGCCAGCCCTGTTCAAATAACGGTCACAACGTCCATCTAGGCTCCACGAGGCTTGGACTTGGCAGCAGCCTTCTCCTTCTTCTCCAGCTTCTGCTTCTTCTTCTTCTCATCATTCTTGGCATCCAGCTTCCGCTTGTGCGCAGCCTTCTCCTCCTCCGTCTTGGGAATCACCTTGAAGAAACCGTCAAGACGAACTTGCTGGTTGCTCTTGAGGTTCTTTTCCAAGCGGGCGCCTGCTGAGCGCACACGGTCCTCAGAGAATCCCTTCTCCGTGACGAGATACTGCACCAGTCCCTCCATATCGGGCTTCTCCCACTTGAAGTCGCAAAGCGGGTCGTCCGCCTTTCGTACGTCGGGGTTGAGGAACAACTCTCGGGCATCTTGGTATGGCCAATCGTCCGGAATGACGTACTTTTGCTTCGGGTCATTCTTGAAAGCCTCGACTAGTGTCTCCAGGTCACCGTGCTCACGGATCAGCTTGAGAGCTGTCGAAGGACCGACCTTCGGGATGGGGTCAAGATAATCGCAGCCGAGGAGGATACACAAGTCGACAAACTGTTTGTATCATAAGTTATGACGTGCTCGCCCTCGTCAAGTCGTGATCCAGGAGATACATACCTGCTTCCGCTCCATGCCAAGACCCTCCAGCACCTTGTCAATGTGAACCTCCTGGATGGGCTCCTTGCGCTGCTCGCTGAAGGTCAAGTGACGGAGCAGGATAGGGGTATCAAAAGTGAGAGTGTCCATATCCTCACTGGCGGCGGCGTATACCTTGCCTGCGCGAGCAAGGACAGCACACTGAGCCTCAGCCTCAGTGGGAGCAATGATGAAGGGGATGCCCATGAGCTTCAGAAGCTTCCGGCAGTCCTCATTGTGCTCGCGGGTCACCCGCACTGTTCTTCGGGAGAACTTCTCAACCTCCTCAGCGGTACCAGTCTCTTTTGCCTCCTCGAGACCTTCGGTAGCCTCCTGCTTCCTCTGGAATCGCTTGGCGAGCTCGCCAGACTTAAGCTTAGGTGGGGCACCGTCGAAGACGTACAAGGGCTTGATTCCGTTGTCGACCATTCGGAGTGTACGGTAGAAGAGACCCATGAGATGTGATGTCGTCTCTCCGCTCTCGTTCATGAGCTGTTGGCCATCGGATCGGACGGCGATGAGGAAAGAGTAGATGCTCATGGATCTGTGATTCCGTTAGCGAGCGCGGGCTATTGGGTTTCGACGACGAGCCTACGCATCCTGCTCTCAGTTAGTGGGCGTAAAAACGACTTGGTAATTGGACAGGACTTACAATGGCAACCTTGCGACCAAAGTGCGCCTTGATCTCTCCCTCCTTGATCGCATCGGGAGCCTCCTCCTTGATGATCTGGAAGAGGTGCTTAATACCCATTTTTGCTGAGCTGCCAATGGGCACCTTGGGATATTGATCGAGAAGATTTGTTTGATCGGTCGTGAAATCGACAGGCGTTTCAAGTGACAGCACAGAGAAAGTAGATCGTCTGTTGCGTGAAGGTTGAAGAAAGAATGCAGCAAAGGCAGCAGTAGAGAGTTGGTGGGGGATGACGACCGGGGGCTGGCAGCAAAGGAAGGGTCGAGCACGACCTCGACGCGCTTGCACTTTCTTCGCTGAGGTCATGACGCGCCTTCCTTCGCGCAGCCCCACCACGCGTTTAATTGACTGGCAGTGCCGCCAGCTGGTCTCTACTGGCAGTATCGGAAGTATTCCCGTCCTTTCCACCAGGCTTCAACACGGCCCCGGTCCCTGGATCGGATGTCACGGTCACGGTCTATCAACATCGTCTCAACAGTGCATCATGCTTTGCAGAGGTCAGATTCCACGGACTTGTTGCACTGGTCTTGGAGCTTGTTCTTTTGACTCTACATTCTCTGTACGTCAGACCAAGACAGGCTCACACGACGGGAATGCTTAACCGACCTGCTTCGGAAGCTGATTGCTTTTGATAACTCAGATCTGGAAAAAAAGAAATCTTGCATCATTATTTATGCGCTGGTTTCTTCTCTTTCGAGAGCATGTACTCATTTATTCAAAGGCTTAGAATTCGGTCTAGACTCTAGAGCAAGAATAATGGCAGACAAGCCAACAGCAGCGCAGCAAAGCCAAACAACACGACGTGTTGCAACGGACCCGCCAGTGACACCAGATGGAACATCTTGACCTCTGAACCACCGAGACCGGCTTACCAGAGCCTTTCACAACGACCCTAGAGTCGGACAAACAGGTCTCAGCCGCACACGATAAAAATGTCAGCAGAGGCTGCGCTGGCAATGCATGTCAGCCATTAGGAAGCCTGATCCAAGTTGGGGGCCAGAAGCGAATTCACCCCCGCTAGGCCTGCAGCCCGCTAGCGTCACATCCAATCGCCCAGCCCTAGCAGTAACAACTCCTCACATGAGGTTGCCGCCTGGAGACTACGGCCTGTGGTCATCATCATGGCCTCATGTTAAGTGTCGCAGCCTGATATGGGCGGTGTGATATTTTCTGCCATGCGTCTATGTAGCAGTCGACAGTTCTCAACGAAATCAGCGTGTCAACCTCACCTGTGACCAGCTGCCGCGGATACTGAGGAGGCGAGGAAATATCGCGATTGTGCCACCCGTGGGTTGTCATCCACTGTGCCTTCGCGATGATCATCCCCAGTCTCGACGTTGTTTACCCAATTCACATAAACCATGTGCCACCAGGATGGAGACCTCTTGTGAAGTGAGAATTTATAGATCCCTTGAAGAGTCTTGTCTGAGCTTACACACTGCAGTCTCATATGTGTCCATGACCTAGGCGGGTCCCCAAAGTCAAGCTGGCATCATGACGAATCTGGCAAAACCTGGATATCAGACCCCGACTTTCTTGGGAGCTTCAAGGATTCAGTTCGGGTCTGGACTTATGGGTACAACTCGGACCCGGCGGCAAACATGACGCCCGCGAGCATCGCGCTACATGCCGACGAGCTCTTGATATCGATGATATCTAACTACAGCAAATACCCTGTTGGTCAAATCTATCAGTAACTCCCAATCGGATGCATGGAACTGATGCAAGCGTTCTCAGGGCGGCTCTACAGTTTTCATTGCCCATGGGCTTGGAGGAATCATTGTCAAAAAGGTATGTTGTCAACCGCAGTCGTTACTAGACTTTGAAACTCAATGTTAATAATCTCCAGGCAATTGAGCTATGCTCGACCTATGCAGAATACTTCCCCATTAAAGGGTCCATTGTCGGCGTCGTCTTCCTCGACACGGTTCAGCATGCAACAGACTCCGAGGGAGTCCTGGAAGCCGTAAAAACAACAGTCGCCGCGACTCTGCTCAAGCACTCCACAATACCGTCTGTTGACGATGTCAGACAATTTGCAGAAGCTGTTCGAGAAGTCAACAAGACCTTTCTCACACAGGCGCCATTAGACTTAACAATCCTCAACTTTGTTGCCACGCGCCGAGTTGAAATCACGTCCGAGGACGGTACACCCTACAAGACCCTGGTGAGGAAGTGTCCTTGTTTTCTATGGTACTTATAGACTAGCAACTTATCAGTGGACTAGGTTGTGCCCAAACGAAGGGCCGATATGGACCCAACACAGGGCCAGAACTTGGCGGTAGCGTGTCATCACTTCCAGCTAACTCAGTTCCCATCCCCTTCAGATACGATATACAGCCTATTGGCAGATCACGTGGGCGATATGATGACAAAGCTATCGTCTTCAAACAACAAACGAATGTTCTTCGCGCCGCCACCCCCTGTGGCACCCACGACAGCTAATCCCCCGCCCCCGTCACCACCTCCTGGTCCTCCTGGGCCTCCAGGCCCGCCGGGCCCGCCAGGTAACGATGGTACATGAAAATCAGTGGAGCAAAGAGAAACTGAAGGTTATTGCATAGGACCCCCAGTGTCTCTGCCGCCGCCACCACGAAGTGGGATCCCCATGGGTCCACCATCGCGAGATCCGATCAACGAATCATTCGGTTTGTGGGCCAAGAAGAAAGAAGCTGGTAAGCACGACCTCTTCTCATCCCAATCAAATGTTCTCTCGACGAGGAGTGTATGATTTAATCCATATCTAGCGGATAAAAAAAGGCACAGAGATATCCTTGTCAACAAACTCGCCCAATGGGACGAGCATCATCTCGGACATGGCATACATCCGACACCAGATACCTGTACCTGGATACAGTCCCACGACTTCTTCAAGAGCTGGGTCAAGTCCAACAAGACCACAGGTCTCTTTGTCCAGGGCGCCACGGGATGCGGTAAAACTCACTTGGCCAAGTCCATTGCCAACTACTTATCCTGGGACCGCCCTCGATCTCCCCCAGATAACAACATAGTGCTCTCCTTTTTTTGTAATGTCAGCACGGTTGAGGACAAGAAGCCACCAATCGCCCAGTACTTCGTCCGATCGCTTCTTCAGCTGAGGCCAGTCTGGTCCGAGTCCATAGCGCCTTACTATCGATGGCAGGAGCTAAAAAGCCAGTTCGAGCTGCCGGCGCTGTTTGACATACTACGTGACATCATGAGTCAGATGCAATATAGTACGGGCCCGCCAAAGACGACGGCTGTTTTCCTCATCGTGGATGGCCTGGATGACTGTGATGTTACCTACGCCCGGGAGTTCCTCTGCCTTGTGGGAAGTCTCCTCGACCACCCGGTGGCTTGCTCATCCCCAGCTTCTGGCCCGTCCCTTCCAGGACAAGGCTTTCCGCGCGAAACTGTCAGATTCAAGTTCTTGTTCACGTATAGCGCTTGCGAGATCCTGAATCTGAACTCCTGCGTACCTAATTCCGCTAGGATTCTGATGACTGACTCAGCAATTCGGAAAGATATCGGCACGTACGTGGACAGGGAGTTGGACATTCTGTCTACACTTCGGGATCTCAATGGGCCGCCAGAAGGAATTCGATCTTGGGTCAAGAATAAGTCGGAGTCGTTCTTTTGGTTCGCAAAGTACTCCATCGAAGACGCAATGAGTACCATCGAAGATGGCGAGGGGTATTCCTTCAGTGGGAGGGTACTTCCATGCCCTTCTAGCCTTGGGAAATACTACGACAGAGATCTCCTACCATTGTTCCAGACAATCGACGAAGATGGGAAATATGCTCTGTCAGCTGTGCAAACTGTGCTCGGCTATCTTGGCATCCCTAGCAGAGCCGAAATATGCGATGCAATCGCCTGTCTTCACGGAGACCCCAACTTGAGATTCCTCGACCTGCCCAACGTTCTGAGACAACGGTGCCCCAGGCTCGTTCATTCCTTGGATGAAGGGGATTTTAAGATCAGCCATCCTTCTCTGATCTACCACGTCAGACGTTACTACCTCAGCGAGAAAGAGCAGCACGCAAACATGGCATTCTTGTGCATAAAGTACCTCAACGGATCTGATTTTGGACGCTTGAAATCGAGTATGTCTCCCGACATCTCAGCGCGCCATCCGTTCTATTCATATGCGGCAATCAACTGGGGAGAACATCTCCGTCGTGCAGGCGACAAGATAGCCAGATTGCTCCCCCTGCTGGGCGATTTCGTCAACTCTGTGAACTACAGAACCTGGTCAGCGCATCACTCCCGGAACATTGCAATGACATATCATCGGAGGGTTCCGATGGATGACACCTTCGTCTCTCCCGTGTTCACATTCATTGATGCTAATGTTGGCCATCTAACCCACGAAATTCAATGGGCAGGAAGGGAAGAGGTGTGGTCATGGAAGAATGAGCTTCTCAGGCAGACATGGCGTTGCTTGTACGAGCGTCAACAAACCCCCGGAATCGCCAGGCTCATTGAATATTGGAGGCCCGATTCTTGTTTCTCGGTACATAACGTCTATGGCCATACTCCTCTGATGCATGCAGCAGCCTCATCAGAAGGACAACCCGAAATGGTCGAATACTTCCTGAAGCGGACCAAAAACGTCAACGAGCGAGGCTCGGTGAGCGGTGGGACCGCTTTGATGATCTTGTGCACGCAACTGAGAACGCGCGATGTAGACCTGATGGCACAATTGGTCACATCGCTCCTTGATGCCGGGGCTGATCCAAACATCTCGGACAAATGGGGCGAAACGCCCTTACTCGAGCCATGCAGTAGAGGGGATACTGCCATGGTCGAGCTGCTCCTCCGAGCGGGAGCCAGGCCTGACATGTTGAGCATACACAGGCCAACCATGCATCCCCTCCGCGAAGCAATCATGCAATATCACAACGAGGTCGCTAGGCTCTTGATCGACTATGGAGTCGATCTGAGCTTGCATTTCCCGTGGCCGAACCTCCAATTACCCTTAACAGTTGCCATCACCGAAGAGAACTTTGACATCTTTATGCTCCTCTTGGACAGAGTTGAAGACATCAACCAGCTAGATGGTATGGGGTATGCTGCGATTCATCTGTTGACAGGCCCACTGTACATCGATTGGCTACCTCATCTTCTGAGACGACCTGATGTCGACCTAGAGCTTCTCTCCAACGGTATTTCAGGCGATCGAAAGAAGTTTATCCGTCGAACTGGGCTAAGCTTTGCCATCGTTGACGACAACTTCAAGGCGGTAGAGCTACTGTTGGAAGCTGGCGCAAGTCCATATCGTCACCCGGCATCGCCTGATGAGACACCCCTTTTGATAGCGGTTGAAATGGCGAGGACGACGAAAAACAAAGAAAGGTATGTCGTTCTCTAATCCTCCTGTATGGCTCGCGCACTGCTTTTGTTGCTGTATCTTTATCACTTCTCCGACAGCAGGCTAACTGGGAAAATCATAGTCTGGAAGAAAGCGAGCTTGATATCAGCACGGGCAACACCGACATAGTTGAGCTGCTCCTCGCCTACCAGTCGCCCATCAATACGTTGAACCGGAAGTCGAAAAAGTACGCCAAGTCCCCGTTAATGGTGGCCGTGGACTACAAGGACCAAAACATGGTAGAACTCCTCCTGCGACACGGAGCGGACCCGACCCTCGAGGAAGCCTACGGACTTCCGGGCCCTCTCGACGCCGCCATGCTTGACGACGAAGATATCGCTGTGGGTATGATCAAAGTCTTGCTCGAGAACTGTTTGCCGCCAAGTATCAATTACGTCCCAGACAACCCAGACTTTCAGCATATTCTCGTCGAGGCGAGCGATATGAAGCCCGAGGTTACGCGGTTGCTTCTGGCCCATGGTGCTGACACAAAACGTTTCTTGTCCTACATCCCCGGGTGCTTCACCACTCCCCTTCATCGCGCCGTGGAAGAGAACAATATTGATACTGTTAAAGTCCTTATCGAACACGAGCCAGCCCTGGTAACCTACCAGTGCGAAGAAGGACTAGTCTACGAGACGCCTCTCCACATCGCTGCCAGAGATGGACACATTGATATTCTGCGATGTCTCCTCGACGCGGGTGCCCAACCTGGCCGCGCCTCATGCCATTGGCACGAAACGCCGCTTTGGTTAGCCTGCGAATCAGGCAGGCTAGAAATCGCGCAATTACTCTACGAAATGTCGCCAGAGGCGCTGGAAATCCCCTCCTACGACGGAAAAACTCCCCTGATGGTAGCCTGTGAAGACGGAAATCTACAACTAGTCCAATTCCTCCTAGCAAAAGGCGCCAGCGTCACAGCACAATGCTCAATGGGAGCATCATGTGTCTGTAGCGCAGTTTCCGAGGACAACGGTGCGGCCTACAAGATCATCGATGTGCTGCTTCAGCACGGCCTCGGCCTTGATGATGTCGTCAGTACAACCGGCTTCACAGTGCTCGGAGAGGCCTGTAGGAGCGGAGACATCCCAACCGTCCGGTTCTTGCTCGACAAGGGCGCGGATCCCGCAAAGGGGCAGAAGTGGCCGGGAGACACTTCCATTACATGGAGGTCCGCGCTGCGGATTGCCTCCCTGTACGAATGTGTCAAGGTGATTGAGGTGCTCCTCGAATATCCCCAATTGGCGTCCTTTATCGAGAACGTTGACTATTACGGAGACAATGTGCTGCACATTGACGGGTCATATCATCATCAGCAAGCTTCTGAGATGGCTACGTTAGTGTATTCCGCGTGCGAGAAGTTGAGAGCCAAGACTGGAGTCGACCATTTCCAACGGATGCTTGATGTGAAGAACAGCGATATGCATACGCCTTTGGATATGGCCATCGATATGCCGCACAAGGGCTTGAGCAACGAGGCGACAACAAACATTGACGTTTACTTAAGGCGCTATATTGCGGAACTGACAGCCGCCGAAACTCGGACATTTGCCCAGCACAAGCATCTCATGCGAGACGTCGCTGTCATTCTCCTGGAGAGACGGAAATATGACGAGGAGGCTATTCGTTTGTTCCAGGCTTTGATAGTCGATGTATGGGTCACAAGAGACGACGGGCAGTGTCTCGAGACTGTGTTCTGCATGGCCAACTGCGATCTCTGCGACGAAGACGAGCAGGAGCAGGTTTCATTCTGCCGGCTTTGCGGTCTCAGAGTTGGCATGAAATGCGTTGAGGAGGCGAGGCTGCAGCACGAAATGATTGATGTCCCTGTTGTCAAAGACCGCAGCATCATCGACCTCAACTCCGAACCTGTCAATGAGATCATGGACCTTTTGAAGAACGATTTCATCGTCACAGAGAATCCTCGCGCAGTAGAGGACACTCTGCCAGCATACGTCCAGGTGGACCCAGAGTCAGAGGACACAACCCTTTCACTCGCTGTACTCCATGCGTTCGGGTATCTAGAGTTCCAACGCCGAGCGTGGAGTCCTTATCTGCCGCTCGCCCCTGCGGTCTACAAGCGGATACAGCCTTGGGAGCCGATGTTCACAGGACCGAGGCGAGATTTCGAAGGATGGGTCTGGGATATTGAGACGTCGCCTTACAGGTTACGGGACGAGTTGAATTACTTTCTTGAGTCGGGCAGAAGATTGGCATATAAAGACGAGCAAGCGACGAGGCTGGAGCAGATTCTGAGTGATGTTGGGTGGCTATATCCGCAACGGGAGGTATACAATGACGACGATTCAGGCGTTGTGATTGATGAGTACTCCTGCAGCGCTGAGGAAATGTTGGGAGGAAGAAGAAGGGGATGAAAGGATGTGTGGGCAGGGAGTGTTTGGCGGCCTGTTGTCGACGACTCACGAGATTGAAACGTAATTATGACTGATGAAAACACGACATCCAGAGTTCAATGTTTTATTCTAGTTAAATGGCAACATGGTTGACTGCAGTACTCTTTTCCCACGATGCCTAGAATGGCCTACGGATCTACTTCATCGCACTCTGTAAATGAGCCGTCTACCTCAGGCCCCGTCTCCGTTCGCGCCCAGAGCAGCAGATGTCTTGACATCGAGGGTTATGTCTTTGGCGTACCAGAGGCCTACACTGATGGCAAAGGCCACTTCTGATAGGACCGTCAGGCATCGTCGTTGTTTCACAGCGCTGACGGTGATACCACCGGCATTGCTGGAACTCGCCGAGGACGGTTCTGTACGCGAGGCCGCAGTTGGTACAGAGAAGGTTGTGCTGGAATTGGCGACACATGGTTGTTGGTTATATATGAGCTTGTGGCTAGAAGCGTATTCTTCTCTCTAGCTAAGTTAGTAGTTAGAAAAATATATCTTCTAGGAAGTCTTTTGTGAAAGAGCTGTTGTATTCGTTGAGAGTGTCTACACGCTCGGGTTGGTAAGACTAGGAGGCGCGAAACAATTGATTGTTGTCTTAGTCTTTGAAACACTGTTTGATGATAAAAGTTCCGAGGCGGTCGAGGGTTGAACAAAGAGATGCTATTTATGCCGGCGCAGGTGGTGGCTTTCTCCCCGACGAGAAGAGTGAATGGGAGGCATGCTTTAGCCAACTGTTAGGTTCCTTTCAGATGAAAGAAGGCACAACCATGTCAAAGAACATAAGCCACCGACCTTGAACGGGCCCGTCATTCACCTGAGTGAAACCAATGGATGCGATTCAGTGTAATTTCCCAAGAAGGAGAACAGGCCGAGGAGTTTATATGCGACTGACCGCACCTGAAGCTTCGTTTGTCAACTCTTTCCACATCTTCTTCCAACAACTAGCAGGAAGTACCCAAATTCAGTCTCAAAACTCATTTCCGTCATCAATCGACCAGACTGTTACAAAGCATCTTCCAGTCACCTAATCGTATCGGTTTAGCCACCCATTATCATGTGCCATTTCCTTTGGTACGACAACGAATGCTCCAGCTGCGGCTTCACTTTCGATCGCAAGCTCACTAAATGCAAATATGTTCATGCGCGGGTTCCGCGACCTGCTTGCAATAAAACATATCTGAGAGACAACCAGCCGGACTTTAGGTGTCAGGATTGCACAGCTCCGGAAACGCCTTGGAGGAAAGTGGAGTTTTTGGTGGATGCTACCGAGGGGGTCGTTGACGATGCCGAGGCGGACTATCACACTGATTATCCGACTGAAGAAGACTGCAAAGATAGCGATTACGAGGGTGATGACAAGTCTGCTTCCTCTGAAGATGATGGTGATGTTGATGTTGAATCTCAACGGGAGACTGGGAACCTGAAAAGGAAGCTGGAGGAATCTACTTGGCAAGGCACGGGGAGGAGCTTGAAGAGGGCTTGTAAGGAACGGGGGATAAGACGGGTTGGACTAATGAACTGAACGAAATCTGATGGCACCACAAGCTTAGCTATTAGAGGCTATGGGTCTGAAATAGGTTCAAAATAATAGTCAGTGCTGTACTGCCGAGAAACCAAACCCGGGTGAAAATTCCCTGCATATTTGTGCCAGCACAATCTTACCCACCTCGGTATGCGAACGGGGTCCGTAAGTTATCTGTGGAGTCAACACTGAGCGGGGCAGGCTTGAGAGATTCGCGATGTCCGATACTTAGACGTATCATCTCGAAGTAGACAAGACATGTTGACATCTATGTAAAGAGGCATTTGATCACCGAGGAGAGTCAGTAATCGGCTGAGTACGCTGAGCTACTGACTAGAAGACAAGAATCCGGCTGTCGTTTTGCAGGGAAATGGCTGTTTACCCCGCGTCTCTAATTCGAACAAGCGGCAACAGCCCCTCTGAAGAAGCAACTCTTCCCCACCAACTGTCAAGCTACCCCAGACTATCCTTAGCCTGGTACGGCAGGTGATCGACTCTGTTGCTCCGTTACCCCCATCGCACGTCAATCTAGCAGCTCTGCAGAGACTACACAGCCGTGACTGCCAACCGATCTTTATCCATCTGCGGGGATTTTGACCCAGGAGACTGGCCACAAGCACGAGAGCGGATTCCCTCAAAGACTGCGGATAAGCGCGGTAGCAGTTCACGGTAGTTAAGCAGAGCGCTATGAGTGAGTAACATTCTTCGAGACCAATGGGGTAGATGCCAATAAATAATCCTTAAAGTTGCCCTCTATGTGCCAAGTGTAGATGCTGTCGAATCAGTAATCGCAACCATGAGAGGCTCTCGTTCTTCAGTGTTTCAACTCCTGTTGGCGGCTGGGTCAGCACAAGCTGTCACTTCCGAGGACTGTGCATCGTTTGCGAGCCGTCTTAGTCTTCCCAATACGACAATCCACGAGACGACATTCATCACGGCAGGGACAAACATTTCGCTCCCTGATAACCACCCATCATGCGCCATCCCCTTTCAAATTTCCAGCGTTGATATCTGTCGGGTCGTCTTTGTGACAGCTACCGGCCCGACAAGCAATATCTCCCTTGAGGCTTGGCTTCCATCAGAATGGAGTGGGCGTTTCTTGGGCACCGGCAATGGCGGTATGAACGGATGCATCAAATATGGCGACCTCAACTATGGGGCCACACACCAATTCGCCACAATTGGCACCAACAACGGCCATGACGGAACGTCCGGTGCCCCGTTCCTCAACAATCCCGGAGTGATTGAGGATTACGTCTACCGTGCTGTACACCTTGAAGCTCAGTTAGGCAAAGAGATTGCTCAACAATACTACGGCAAAGAGCACACTAAGTCATACTATCTGGGCTGCTCTACAGGTGGTAGACAGGGGTTCAAGGAGGCCCAGAGCTTTCCGGAAGACTACGACGGCATTGTTGCCGGTGCTCCTGCTTTCGACCTGATTGCACTTATGTATTGGACCGGCCAGTTGTTCCTCAAGACAGGGACCAATGAGACTTCACGGTTTCTCTCTCCCGCGGAGTGGGAACTGGTATATGCCGATATCTTGAAGCAGTGCGATGGATTGGATGGCCTTGAAGACGGCATTATTGAAGACCCGAGCTTGTGTCAATACCGACCCGAAGGCCTCATCTGCGCCGAGAACTCCACTGATGGTTGTCTGAGCGGAGAGCAAGCAGCTACTGTGCGAGCCGTCTTCTCTCCAGTTTACGGGCTGGATGGTCAGTACATTTTCCCGCGGCTGCAACCAGGATCCAACGCGACTGCACGACTTCTCAACGGCCAGCCCCATCAATATCCCTTGGACTGGTGGCGATACGTCGTATACAACGATATGGAATGGGATCTCTCAACAATGACCCCGGAGGATTACGCTGTCGCATCGAAACAAGACCCGTGGAAGGTGTCGACATGGGAAGGTGACTTATCCGCCGCCAAGGATCGTGGAGTCAAAGTCCTGCATTATCACGGTATGCAAGACAATGCAATCAGCAGTGACAATTCTGAGAGGTACTACAAACACGTGTCACGAACCATGAACCTCCCTTCAAAAGAATTGGATGAATTCTATCGGTATTTCCGGATCTCTGGTATGGCGCACTGCCGCGACGGCACTGGAGCCAGCATGATTGGCGGTAACCCTGAGACTTTCGCCTCCTACGACCCAGATGCAAATGTATTGGCGGCAATTGTCCGCTGGGTTGAGGAGGGTGTCGCACCCAATTTCATTCTTGGTAGCCGCTTGACGGCCTCCGGGGAGATAGATCTGCAGAGGAAGCATTGTAAATATCCCAGACGGAATGTGTTCAAGGGACAGGGAGATCCCACAAAGCCGGATGGTTGGGAATGCGTTTAGAGTCTACCGCCAAGCACATGTAATTGAAATATCTACCGACTCGCGGTTGCCGACCATGGATCATTGACTGACGCCTCTAATTGACTTGATCTTCACTTTCATTGGATTCAACAGCCTCGAAACGCCATTATCTACCCACTTCAGGGTGCTCTCGTTCGTCTCGTAAAGTTCCATCTCAAAGCGGCTGAACAAGTTTGCGAAACAGACATAAAGTTCGAGATATGCAATGCTACTCAGGTTAGGCCCGAGTTTCCACTTGCGAGGTCGGGAGTATGTGAACTTACTTCAGGCCTATACAAGCTCGCGGGCCTTTGCTAAAAGGCACAAAGTACTTCTCTAGTTCCCAGCCGGCTTTGCCGAGCCATCTTTCAGGGATGAACCTCTCGGGATCCGAATACACGTCCGGATTGATATTTATCAGCCGCAGAGCCTGTGAAACGGTGGTCTTGGAGACACTTAGAGTTAGTAACTTTGCAAACCGCATAGCTAGTCTGGTCCGTCACTTACGCCCTCTGGAAGATAATGACCTCCAACGGAAGCGCCGCCGGCAGGGACTCTGCGAGGAACGATGCCAGGTACTGGAGATCCTAACCGAAGTATCTCTTTGATGACAGCAGTCTGTAAACATGGTCAATAAGCATGCTGCGTTGAGTCACTCTTCTACATCATCTCTGACTCACAAGATAAGGCAGTTTGGAAACAGTTTGATGCTCATAGAGGCCATCCCTATTTGTAGGCGCGTCTTTCAACTCGTCCAACATCTTCTGAAGCTTATCCGGGTTTCTTAGCAAGAAGTATGTGCCAAAGCTGAGGGCAAGACTGTTGGTATCAGTGCCGGCAAAACACACAGATAGTGCTTCGTCGATTAGTGCCTCCTGGCCTAGCTTGTGAAGCCTCTCCGTTTTCTCTGCTTCCAGTAGGAGACCGAAATACGTATTGTGACCGTCGTTTGTCAGGCTTTTGCCGTTGCGCTGTTTCTCTTCGTCTTCCTTGATCCACGTGGCGCATTGCTATTTGAATGTCAGCAGGAGATATTGAGGTTTGACGGTCAAGGAGAAATTGTAATGATTGTACTTACCTCTCGAAAAGCGACATAGTCCGGCAAAACCGTCCTTGCTACACTGAGAGGTAGACTCATAGCAATGTGGCTGATCATGGGAAAGTGCTTGGTGAGGAAGAATTTGTCAACAAACTTGCCCAACATGCTCAAAAACGGTGGCTCGTCTTCGTCAGAATCAACAAAATTCAACTGTCTGTCAAACAAGACAGGCATAATAGTGTCAACCTAGAAGCTGTTTAGCACTCAAGATTGCAGTTTCAGTAGACCGCAGATAAAATCCTGAAGCTCGATGTTGCGATCATGTAGCTGGGCCGAGGAACAACCCACAGTAATGCATTGGTAAAATGGTTGCAAGTTAATCGGCTGGTCATTTTTGAAGGCACGCTGTGCCTTCGCCATTGCTCTCTGCACAACATCCAGAACGACGGGCGCCAAGTGGTCAACATGTTTGGTCGAAAAGAGGGATTGGACCGTATTCTTTCGTTCTTTGTGAACCTCGGGATCAATCAACATGATGATGGAGTACTTGATACCGCCAGCGCTCTGGAAGAAGTCGGGATCCTTAGTATATTTCGTGCCACTTCCGTAAGGTCTGGTAAGCCGAGTAAGCAGAGTCTTCCTTGAAGGCATTAGATGATACACAGAGCTTTACTCACTCCTTAAAGTAATCCGGATCACTGATGTGCACACGATTGGGAGACACTCGAACCACTGGGCCTAAACAGCGCATCACTCATCAGTATGCAAATGACAAGGCCAAGAACGCCTCTGTAGATCTCGGAGAGTTTGCTCACCATACTTGGCGTGAAGGTCTGGGTACTCCTTGATGTAGTTGCCATTGAGAATCACATCTTGGTAAAATTCGTACCAGTATGTTGCTGCAGCATACCAAGGACCAGGAATCTTCCTAAGGGGGTGGAAGAAGATTCTGTAGAGAACACCGATTATGAGATACACAGAAAAGCACAGGGCAAGAATTCTTGGCGAAAAAAGAATCTCGCGCAGTTGAAAAAGAGCCATCGTAGAAATTGAAGAAGGGTAGATGGCTCAACTAGGTTGGTCCTGGAAGACCCCTCTCCAGCACGATCCAGATGATGGCGCGAGACTTGTTTCTAAAGTCAAGTGATATCTCAAAGTTTGTTTATCTTCTGATGGATCTTGAGGGCATAGCCCTATTATCGCCCTCGATTTTGCAAGTTCTAGGTAAGACAAACTTGAGATGTTGTTTCTGCCACCATGTATCAGTTTGACGGTGTCGAGCTTCTGGACCCCGTAGTCTGTAGATGTCCAACAAAGAAAGGCGAAAAAAAGATCACCATTGTTTGCTGCCATATTTAAGTGCCCCCTGTCACGCGGAGGCGGTCACGCGGCGTAGCAGGCCAAGCAATGTTTGTCAACTTAGCGAACTCCATCTGGCACGGGTCATGTACCCAACGATCATTGGAAAGCCCGCCCAGTCCGCAGGGCGAAGCCATCCTGTAAGACGATTCAACCGCTCTGCAAAACATATCTATCAAGGAATCCAGAGGGATGGCAACGTGTATGAGAATGATTGGGTACGTGTCACGTTTAGCAAGCAAACAATACGCCCAATCTGGTGTGGGCCGATCATCCGCAATATTCAGTATCCAGTCGGAAGGTTCGGGGAATCACTCTAATCAGTATCGACTAGTAGAACACCCATGTAAACCTACTTCAGCTGACGCCACAAAGCAAACACCTGTGGAGTATCTTGCCTGTGGCGTTTGAGTTTTGGTCGATGATAATCGCTTTTCCCAGCTCGGAAGAAGGCCGATAAAGCCCCTGTCTACTGTCTTCACTGGGAAGCGGGTCATGACTGGCTGAACCAACATCAAGTTGATGGACTCAACTCCCGGTACCTGGGAATTGAACAGGGATTCGAGTTGAAGAATGATAACTCCGGTGACTTACAGACTCGTTGGACAAGCGGGTTGTTGAACGCCTGTGAGCGATGATGCGATGATATGGGGATTTTGCGAGCGCCGACAAGGGCCAAAAGACGAGATTTGATGTTATGTAGATTTCACCTGGTATTTAGTGACAATCCATGATAGCAGGCATGGAAATCTAAGCTTCTTTGGGCAATAATTCCTTGAATTCGAGGCAGGACCAGACGTCATCTCGTGCTCCAAAGGCTACAATTCTTGAAAGGTGTCAATTGGGAAACTTGACTTCCGTACTAAAGAACTCATACTATGCATGGAAATACGGGCTATCGCTTCGTCTGAACCATCCATCAGTTCTCTTGCCGGCGGGATAGAGCCACCTTGAAAAACTCAGAGTTGAATGTTTTGTAAGCTTGTACACAAAGCTCGGCTAGACAGAGATGTCAAGCATAGTCTGTTCTAACGTGAGAATATTCTGAAGCTACCAAAGTACCCGTATTCGTTGATGTTAAGCCCTCATTCGCGGACTCCAATCGGCGTTACTTGCTCTTCTACAAGGAAGCCTAGTTTCCAGGTCAAGTGTTCCTCGATTGGCATCTTTCTTTCTAGGTAGATCGCGAGATTGAAAAAGTCGAAATTTCCTTTTTGTGTAGATTAAACTAGTACAGAAGCCATTACAGGGAGAGATAACTCTTTAGAAGCTGAGACATGTTTGCTCAACTCGAAGCTGATCTAACTTACAACAACTTGACAAGTCCGAGACAGCAGACTCTCACGAGAGGCTTCCCACCAACGGGGTTGCCGATAGAAACGGCGAGGATGACGAATTCTTACTTGACGTAAGCGAAAGTCCTTTTCTTGCCGAGCTGAAGTCTTGCGGCACAGTCGCAAGTATCTTTTGGTGTGGTGGATGTTGGACTGTGGAGGCAACAGGAACCAGGGTGGACGACCCTCGTAGAGACGGACAGCAATACCGCAAGACAAGTCTTGAAGACCCATATCCAAGTCATAACGATGCAGGAGATCGGAGGATGGTGTCGGGCGTCTTCAAGTGTCGCTTGAAACGATCAACCGGACGGACTGTGGATATCTCTGGATGAACTGAAAAGCAGCGTATTCCGTCCTTCATCGTTGCTCATTTCACTCCATCTTCAGTCCCTCAAGCCTCCTTCAAACCTGATTACAATTTTCGCTACTAAGACTTTTCCATTGAAGCCAGAATGATCTCTCCAGAGTCTTTCCTCTTCGGAAGCCCACAAATGAGCGTTGGAAACGGCTCTGACCGCGTACCCAACATGTCCGAAAAGAGTCGAGTGGATCTAATCCACTTCGATGTTGAAGACGATGGAGAGTCAACGATGTCGCCAGGCTCCCCAGTCTCTTCGTATTCGACTTTCACAGACTCGCTTTCTTCATCTCACGCTTTCACTATCTCCTCGGAAGCGGGAAGCACGGTGGACATACGAGCGCGTATTGGCATCAACTCTGACGAGGTAAATGCCAACTATGTCCGTATTCCAGACTTCTTCTCTTCAATTATGTCTGTGAAGCCCGTCATCAACGTCAATTACAAAAAGGTGAAGGGGGAGGCTGATAGCTGGATTGCAACGTTAGTAAAACCCTTGAAAAGAACCACTTCCGGAGTAACACTAACTTAGATTGGTCGCAGGATCCTCGATCTCAGTCAAGCTCAAGCCCGAAAAAATGTTCAGGCTAACTTCGCGTTCATGAATGCGATGTGGGTCCCATATGCTGATGAAGAGGCATATCGAATCATGATCGATTGGAACAATTGGGTACGTTACACTTCAGATGAGGGATACTCTCATCGGATTACATTGGGCTAATGCAGTCGTAAGGTCTTTGCATTTGATGACCGTGAGTTGGCCATGACAAAATCACGTCACCTAAGCTCGCTGACTCTTGACAGAGTTTGATGAAGGCCATCTGAAAAATGATCCTATCAAGGCCGTGGAGGAGCTGCATGCCACCTTCGCGGTGCTAGAAGACAGCCAAACACCAATTCAGCTTCAAGACAACCCAATCCGATATGTCTTTCAGACTGTCTGGGATCGGTTCAAAAAGGTATGCCTTCCATTTTTACTATGGTTGCACTGTAGCATCCATTTCCGTCAACGGCATGTTGCTGACAGTCGCGCTCCTACATGCAGAGATCTACGAAAGGTATTGAATACTTCGCAACATTGTTATGCTTTCCAGAATGTAGGCAAAAAACTCGAGTTTGCTAACACGACAATTGTAGAGCTGCAGGAGCGTTATAAAGCTTCCATCAGATACTACTTCTCCGGTCTGCTCAGTCAAGTTGGAGTTCAAAGCTCCAAGTCCGCCATGACTCTCACTGTAGATGAGTACATGGGTTTTCGAAGGGGAACTATTGGATGTCAGCCATCTTATGTGCTGGTTGAGTGAGTAACTTTCCGGGAAACAAATTGTAAACAGTGGGCTGACGGCATGATCTACAGATTTTGCCACGGCATTAATGTGCCTTCAAAGGTCATAGATCACGAGAGTTTGCAAGAATGCAGGCGTATTTCGGCTGATCTAGTCATTCTGTAGGTTGGCATGGTGTTGTTTTTCGATGTTGGTTGGCTGACTGTCACACAGTGTCAATGACATCCTGTCATATCGCAAGGATTTGGTAAGTCGAGTGCGAGTTTTAATACCGGCCAGCTGTTGACGATGATCCTTGTAGGAACAAGGTGTACAGCATAACTTGATCGCAATGCTGAAATCCCAGGGACACTCTACTCAGGAGGCTATTGACGAGATCGGAGACATGATCGATGAATGCTATCGGAATTGGTATCTGGCTTTATCGAAGATGCCAATCTGCGGAGAGAAGGTCGATCAGGAGGTCATTCGGTACCTCGATGGCTGCCGTGACGTCGCCCTTGGCAATCTTCATTGGAGGTTCGTTTCTCGCTGAGCTGCGAGTATTTTCCGCATCATTGAGTCACTGACCTTCATCACAGTTACGAGAGTGGACGGTACCTCGGCGATGAAGGCGCTTTAGTCAGACAAACACGAGTCTTGCGGTTACCCGAAGCCTAAAATGTATTGTGGTGGATAATTGTTACTCATATGTAGTCAAAGTCTCAGTAAAAAACATTCTTATGTCACTGAGCCACTCACACTGCGGCATCGAGAAATGACTTTCTCAGCTTTTGGCCACGCGAGTGATGAATACCGTCGCGTGATGTGCCATGCGCCTCAACCATCTACTCGGTAAGCCTCGAGCGACCTTGTTCCCACTACGATGACTTTTGAAACCTCCTCTTATGCAAAGCTTTGACTTCCTCATCCAGGCCGGGAATCGGACCCTGCACCGGAATACTCGGCGCAACATCATTGATGGGAAGTGGCATGACCTTGGCACCCGCCTTCAACCCAAATTCCTCGAGCCAACCAGCAAATTGCACACTTGAAGAGACGTAGACAATAGGTCCAAGTCCAACCCAGGCATGGGCCGCAGCGCACATCGGGCAGTGTTCGCCGGAAGTGTATACCGAAGCCTTGGCTCGTTCTCCGGCGCTAAGGTTGAGTTGCGCCCAACGCGCGAGGGTGAATTCCGGATGCAGTGTCCCGTCGCGTTTTCCGTCTCCATTCTCACCGGTGTTTACACGATTGCGGTCTTCGCGAATGATTTTGCCGTCTCCGCTCACGAGCACGGATCCGAAGGGATCGTCGCCCGCTTCGAGGGCTTCTCTTGCAAGCTCGATGCAGCGTTGAAGGATTTCGGGGTCTGGTGAGAGAGACATTGTCAGGCTTGAACTGGCAGGCGAGTGAAGTAAAACAGCAGAGTGATGTTTGTGTTGTTTGAAATGATGAGATGAGTTGCAGGTTGCGTTGACAAGCTAAGCATGACGATGGAAGAGTTTAGATATTGCGGGATAATTCATGACGTAGTGGGGCGCGGGGCAACATTCTCCCACAAAAGGTACAGCGCGGCTCTCATGTGAGAACGCAACGATGTCTACATTAACTTAGGTTAAACAACTTTTAGTTGCCTTTTCACTTTACAATGTTAAGTTGTGTCGGTTCGTTCTGCCCGTGTGTATCATGAAACGTCATGAAGTTGCTGAAGGTTGTTAGAAAGGAAATTTCATAAATATGACTCGGGTTAGAAGCTAGTCATTTCGGACCAAAGTTTAGTGAGATTACAAGGAAAATTCTACCATGAAGTTATAGGCAAAGAAAAAATGAAGGCTACAATACAGAATCGCATCCGGAGCTTGACTAAAAACATCCACCCATGTAGCCCACACGCAAGATAATCGAGAAAGAGAATCCTCAGCACACTGGAACAGCCGTATCTGTGACTATTTCAGGCGCTACCGCTTCCTTAGACTGGCCATCTTGAGTGACTTTCCCGACAACCTTTTCGTACATATGGAGTCCAACGCCGAGGGCAATTTCCATTTCCCTCCACACCGTCTCACCAGCGGACCAGCCGTGATCTTTCGGGACATAGGTGAGGTAATGATTGAATGTAGCCGCAACTTCCTCAGTAACCCGTTTCCCCAAAGAGTTAGTTGGCCTAGCGTGGACCAAAACGTCCAGGATGTACGTGGTGAGCGTCATCAGCCCAGCTTCAGACATGCTGTAGCCCGGCACCAACATCATGAATGTACGTTCGCTAGCCATTCGAATCTTCCGCATCAAGTGCCATGCGTTGCGATGCATGGCTAGCCAGGGAAATCCAAACTCTGCCGCTTCATCTAAGAGCCCAACTCCAAGGGAGGTTATGATATCGTAAGGAGGTAAGCTAGGTTTGGCGGGCTTTGCAGGCTTCTTCCGTTTCTGCGTCGACTTCTTGGAGCTTTTGTCCTGGTTCTCATTCTCGGGTTCCTCTTGAGGGTGATCAAACCACAAACCCTCCGGGCAGTGGTCGAGGATGCGTACGATGTCTTCAGCAGTGAAGTTTCCTGTCGAAGTCTCGCCTTTTTCGTTGCAGTACCTCTCGTAGAACATCATAGAGACAGTCGCCCCTTCAGAAATACGTCTCCGGTTCTTGAGCTCTTTGTATAGCTTCGTCTGCGTTTTTGACCTTTTGAGCTGACTCATGTAAACGCTCTTCAGGCCGGTTTGCATGAGAAAGCTCTTGATGTATCCGGTCGGGTCGCTTGGAGGGTTTCCCACGTAGAACTGGGACTTGCCGGCGAGTTCCATAATGAGCTCTATGTCCCACCATTTGGACTTGAGCAGGCCTTCTTGGTACAAAGCATTGTAGAGATGCATGGTGGACATGACGGATAGTGTGTCGTTTGCAAGGCAGATCCCGACTCGATATGTTGCTGCTCGGAAGGTATACATAACCAGACCAGCCATGACGGGGTCAGTCTTCATCAGTTGCAAGCGTTCCAGAGAGGGATCTGCAATGGGCTTCTTGAGTCGCTGTTTCTCGACGAGAATGGGGTCGCGTGTCATTTTGGACATGCTCATTACCGTGCGTTGGAGAAGCGGGAAGCATCTGAGCGCCTTTGGGTCCATTCTTGTGCTTTGGTGGATGTACCATGCCTGTGTCATGAGCTCTTGCAGTGTCGACAACCCTCGCATAAACTGTACTCGAATAGACGGCAGGTTCTGGCCCATGACTCCATGAATGTCAATCAGTAGTTGAACCGCATAAGCAAAGTAGAAGGGAATCTCCCTCGTCCGCGTTGTTTCTCGGAACCCTCGCAAGACGCCATCGTCCACTGGCCAATCTGGGATGTAGTGAATGATGAAATTCATATTGTAAAGAACATTAGCTACCGCGTTCCGGTCAATGACAAAGTCGCCATGGGTCCTTGCTAATCTGATCTTTGGACTGCCTTTTGTGACCAGTGGTGGGTTGATGGCGCCTTGATCTTTCGGAAGAAGCTGCTGCAGCATGCTGTAAGCGTTGGTGCAGTCTAGGACGCCCGCAACGTACGCGATCTCCTCTTTCGTTGGCTTTTCTGGGAAATTAAGCAGACCCTCCGAGTATTTGCGGATTTTCGTGGTTGTGAATGTGGCATTGTAGAGACAGATGACCCCGAATAGGCCCCCTGGCTGAGATTGAAGTACTGGCGTGACATCTTCGACGATGTTACGGGCAAGGTCGATAGCGGTATTGGTCGCCAATGCAACGGAAACGAGCTCGTGGCGTCCTTCTCGGAACTGTTGCCACATGTACCGAACCCTCTGACGCACTCCGTAAAGGTCTTTCCAAACCAGTTGCCACACGAACTGCGCATCCCAGCTCGACATCTCGCTCTCGGCCTCGAAGTTGGCATCGGCTTCCGACTTTGCTGGTCTCGTTGGTGGAGGTGCATCTGGGGCGCTGATGAATTGCGCGGACGGCTCAGATACAAGGAGTCCTTCGAACTTGTTGGTTGTTGACTGTGGCTTCTCGGCTGCATCGCCAGTTGAGGCTGCCATGCTGGCTGGGGAGGCAGTTTGATGAGCTTTCAAGACATGGCGTACTTGACACAAGACCCTGAGGAAGTAAAAATGGGTGCTGTCGTCTTGAGCGTTGGTCGTGGCACCATGCTCAACCAGTTGAGTGCTGAACTTAGCCCTGAGATCGATCACTCTATCAAGAGCGGCGGTGAGACTATCCGGAGGGGTGATGGCTGGCTTCTGTGATGTTGCGAGGAATTGAGCCAGCGGGAGGAGATCCTTGACTGCGAGGATGTATCGTTTGCGAGGTTTCTTCTGCGATGACTTTGATGCTTCTTTGGCTAACTTGCCCTTACGTTGACCGGCTGGCTTGTCATCTTCCGGCGCCGTGTCAGGTTTGTCGTCTTTCGTGTCTCGAAGGCCTGATATGAGCTCTGCAGGACAACCGTACGCTCGTGCCGTGGTCGCCAGCCAAGTAGTAATAAAGTCCGTGTCCGTCTTGTACGACTGGTAAACGCTAACAAGGGCTTTCGGGAGCATTGTACAGGTTCGGGGTGAGTTGCGGACTCACACAACACATTGACAACTCTTTGTATTGGCTGATACAGAGGAAAGTAGACATTAAAGTCTGTGCAAGAGGAAGTCGCACCTTTTGGACGAAATTCTTGATTGACAACCATCTGAGGCGACCGGCGCGAAAAAGCGGGCGGACGCGGCGCGGAAGCGAAAACCAACGGGAACTCTGCATGTTTGTTGGACCAACAGTGTTACGCCGCATGCAGCCCCCCTGAATTGATAAATGCCCCGGCATACGGCCCCTTGGACAGCGCCTGATGGCCCAATGGGATGTGTGCCTTTCAGCGGATCACGTCCAACAATGCCCCATATGTTGGTGACCGCTTGGTGATTGCGACTGTTCCTTGCTTTCGCATGTGCTCAACATCTCGAGGTGGGTGATGATGGTTATTGAAAGCTGTTGGAAGTTGAAAGCCATCCTTGCATAGATATGCACAATGCTTAAGAGAATACGTATGCGATGTAGATCAAAATCCAGAAGGGGCCAACATCTCAACTCTACTGCAACGTCCAAAGGCGACTTGATCATGCCGAAGGTCGTGGATTCGAAGAGCTTGCTCCAAGTTTACAGCCTTGCTCAACAACCCGAATGATTCAGCAATCGGATGCCGATCGTTGTGGGAGTTGGGCGGTAACATTTAGCTAGGACTGGATGTAGATGCATCGAAACGGCGTAGCAGCATAAGTAATTTATGTAGAGGAATTATTTTCATTATGCAGGTCAACCATCAAGGCAACTCCTACTTTATCTCGAGACAGATGGCTACAGCAGATATCTGTAATCAGGAGACATATCTCCGAGCTCCATCTTTTCGTCTTCCGTCAACGATGACTCCGCCGCGGTGCGATCTCTGTGCCTGTTTGCAGACCAGCAGCCAATTGCATACACCAAACATGCAAGGCCGCTGAGGATAACGAAAGCGATACTGATGCTGTAGCCAGGGATGTACTTTGGCGCATCCTTCTTGAGGAAAGCGAACACAGCAATGATACCGCCGATGTTGCCGAAACCAACCTGCCAAGCACTACCGATAGAACGTCGGTGGTGGCCACCCAGGTTCATGTTGAACCAACAAACAATACTAGGAAGCTAAAGTTAGCACACAGGTCACATTTCATCTACAGAGCATGCAGAACGCGTTGGTTGGACTTACATTGGCATGGCAGTGTAGGCGCCCATTGCGACGAGGAACAGCGCTGCATACTGGACAGACGTATTGTTGTGAACGGAAATCAGAATGGCGAACCCGGCGATTGCCACACAAATGGCAAAGATTGCGAATCCGAACCGGTGTCGCGTCTTGTCTGAGATAAAGGCGATGATCATCGAGAAGCCAAAGGCCACAACCCAGGGTGGCACACTGTGAAGCTGTGTCTGGATGCTGTCATATCCGTAGGTCTGGATGATACCCGGTGCGAAGTAGGCATACCCGTACGCCGGGACGATGAGACCAAAGTACATGAAACCTCCGACAATGACCTTGTAGTCCTTGAAGATGCGTCCGACGTCGCGGAAGGTGATCTTGCGCTCAACGGCAGAGCGGCCCTGGTCCGCGCGCAAGCGAGCCGAGACAAAGGCCTTCTCATCTTCGCTGAGCCACTTCACATCTTCTGGGAAGTCGGGCAGCCAGAAGAAGAAGAAGACACTAACGACGACAGTGAGGAGGCCTTCGAGGATAAAGATCCAGCGCCAGCCGGCATAGCCGCGGACACCGCTCATCTTTCCGATCGCTGCAGCAAGAAGACCGCCGAATGCGCCGGCGAGGGTGGTGCTGTTGAAGAAGAAGGAGTAGCGACGCTGAGCTTCGTGGCGACGATACCACATGCCGATAAGGTAGAACGCTGAAAGAAGAGATATCGGTTAGCTCTATGGACGGAAGGGATCGGTCAAAGGGCGGCTGGTGATCGCATACCTCCCGGAAACATGCCCGTCTCAAAGACTCCGAGGAAGAAGCGCGTCGTGCAGAGGCCAGCATAGTTTTGCACGAAGCCCTGGAGCATGGTGACGAGGCCGAAGCCAAACATGTTGATGCTGAGCCAGACATGGGGCTTGAACTTCTTGAGGAGGATGTTGGAAGGGATCTCGAGGAGGATGTAGGGCACGAAGAATACGACGAGCGCGTTGTTGTACAGTGTGCCGTCCAGCTCGAGCTCTTTTGACAGTCCGAAGACATTGGCGTTGGCGATATTTACGCGATCTAGTGAGTTGCGTTTCTGGTCAGCATGCAGGCAATTGTGTAGGCTTCATGCGATGACTGCCGTCGAGTCGCGGCAGCTTGAGAGCAGGGGAAAGCTTACCGAGGAAGGCTAGAAGGTACATGACACACAGGAATGGGATGACGCGGAAGTCGATCTTGGTGATGAGCTTCGACTCTGTCGTGTGAGGAGGGCATTCTATGGGGGCATCGTCGCCATAGACTGGTTGATCCAGGTCTGTCGCATGGTCAAGGGAGCGCGACGGCGACTCTGCGGCCTTGTTCTCCTTGTCGAACTGCATCTTGGGGGTCGATTGAGCTCAATGGGCTCTGCAGTGTTGGTAAGATTAGCGAAACTAGAACTCTCCAACCAGCAACGGCCTCGCGGACACAAAACCCGGCAAGGGAGCAGAAGAAACAGAACCTCTAAGAGTGCAGCGAAGGAGAGATCCGACAAATCCGAAGATCTCTCAGGGTGGCCGTCAGCTTATATTTCGTCACCCATTCGTTTTCCTCCACGACGGTTTCTGTCTAGCAAGGTCACTCACTCAGTTACTTTTTTTCTCTCTTGCGCCCGACCTCGGCGCGACGACTCACACCCAGGACAGGGTCGGTGATCCTCCCGACTCCACAGACTGTCCTCGAAAAGGACGGCACCAGCGCGAGTCTAGGCCCGGGTTGGAGTAGCGGCAGCGGTAGCATCGAGCAGGGATGGGGGTTTGCAATGGGTATTGATCATCCCTTGCTGCTTTGCTGGGGCTGCTTGGCTTCCTTGCTTGTCGCCCCAACCTCCCACCCGAACCCCGCGTTTCCTCTTGGTGCGAAGCAAGCGAGCGGCTTCGCAATAGTATGCACGTTTGTGCAGCCCTCTGAGGGCTAGAGCCACGCGAAACGGGGTCATGTGGGAAGCTGAATAATACCAACTGACGGCCGTCAACGAAAGACGGCGTCTCGTATCCGAAGCGAACCTCTCATATGCCTGGGAGAGTCGGCATCCGTAAGCAAGCCCTTATTCTCCGGAAGGCTCTCGCGGGAGTTACCCGAGACTGAATTTGAGCTCACTCTGGGATCATCAAATCTTAAAATTTTGCCCCGTAAGTTCTCAATCGTAGCTACACAACTCCACCCCGGCCCCGGGTCGGACTTGGCTCTGATCCACTCCGTCCACCGATGCAGGAAGTGTGAGTAATACTGTCTGCTGCGTAGTCACACTTTGCCTTACTGGTTGAATCTCTGAAGCGAACATGTTGCCAGTTGGACTGAGTATCAGAGCGCGACTGGAACGAGTGGCCAGGATGTTCTCGGTCCGATGGATGCTGCAGGTGGATGTAGGGTCATGCCGATGAGACATAGACAACCGGACTTAGGAAACGAAGGCGGACGCCGCCGGATACCCGGAGCTTTCCCCCAAACACCTGCATTTGGCTGAGAGCAACTTTGCGTCGAAAACGACAGTTCGCAAAGTGGCGTTCTGGATCGCTTGTGCACATTTTGACAGAAGTTCCTGACAAGACGCGCCTCGACGCTTGGCTCTACCACTATTCAATTACCCCGCAAACCTCAAGCCACGCGCCAGGAATGCAGCCTTCCCGTAGCTTCCCTGAAGTGTGGGGGTTTGAGGTATTCTCTCGGTTCCGGGACCTCGGTTTGCGTTTGAGGAAACTTCGCGGGTATGAGATGATCGGTTCGTCTCGGCTCCTAGAACGCGGATCATATCGCGTCTGGTGGGAGCTATGTCGGCGCAATTCCGCGCTCGGCTCACCGAGGAGATCGAATTCGAGCAACATGCTTTGTGTACTTAGACTCTTCGACCTCAATAAAGCCACCAATCACGAATAGATTGCGTTGAAAATGCACTCCCCTTGAACACGAAGCTTGCCTTGCCATCATAATGATCACAACGTGGCTAACTTGATTGACAAGAACTTCTATCCAACATGTCGTGGGTTCCAGACTAGTATGAGTTGAGTTGAAAAGTCTTCAAGCGGCCAGCGGCGCCGTTCTGTTGCAGTATTCCACTTTCTCCAGTGACTAAGGGCAGCAATGGGATGGCATCGGCATATTTAATCTTCTTATTTTTAATGTGATTTACAAATGATCCGTTACTCCAGGTAACGCCAGTACTCCAATTGTTTCCCTTCCTTTTCCCTCATTTCGTCTCGCCTAGACACGGCACAGAAGATATGGATGAACACAAGCTCAACGTCTCACGCCCCCAAAGCCCACTTCAGATTGCGCCACCAAGAAGTTGGAGACAACAGAGACAGAATGTAGGCCAGTCTGTTAAAAGCGCCAACCGCTAAACCAACGGCCACCGACTTCGACGAGAACGGGGGCTTCTCGTGCTCCTTGCGCCTCTTCTCGTAAGCCACCTCCATGGCTTCCTTCGCCGGAATGCCCCATTTCTGCATCCATGGGTCGCTCATTAGCTCTTCTGCTGTCACCCTGTCTTCGGGTTCCCAGCGGAAGATCCGCATCAACATCGCTGCCAGGTCCTGTAGCTCCTCCTCAGGCACAAAATTCTTCTCTTCGGGGCACCTTTCCATGGCTCGGTGGTCGGGGATCCGCTTCAGCACTCGTCCTTTGATTGTATCCGGCTCCGCAGGTGGCGGAGCCGGCTTGCCCTTCCTGACGTAGTTGCAATTATCGTCAATGTGCTTGTCGCGATTTTCCCAGGCGTCCCACCACGATGCCGGGGGTTTGCCCATACAATGGACCATTGTGGCAAAGACACCATCGTAACCAGGAAAGTATGTCCCGAAGATGTCCATCCTGCCGTAAAGCTCGAAGATGAAGCATCCCAGTGCCCAGACATCAGCAGGATAGCTGATGGGCAATTGCAGCTTCTTGGCGATCATCGATTCGGGGGCCCGATACGCCTCGGGCGTGTTGAGTTCGTACCGCGTTACTAGCTCCGGTTGCCATGATTCTCCGAAATCCTTGATCTGTGCCCGCGCTTCCGACAGCTCTAGGTCATCACAGTCCCGCGTGAGAAGCATCTTCCACAGCATGTATGGGGGCGCGTTCTTTGGCAAAGGATGCCTTTCGTGAAAGTCGGTAGACTCCACACAAAGGTCAATCGGTAAGACAGTGGGTTTCCCGTACTTCGTAAAGATTTCTTCCACAGTCAGGGAAGCAAGCTCGCCGGCCGCCATAGCCAGCATTACATTCCCTCCGTGGAGATCTACAGCAAAATAATAATGGTTATCCTTCAATGGCATCGACTTCTCTGTTCAGACCTGACAACTTACCACCATGAACAACATGCTTCGAATGAATGTAGGCAACTCCAAGCACCAGCTGTGCAGCCAAAGCTCGGGCGATGTTAGTAGGGAATACAAATCCTCTGAACTTGCTTTCCGATATCGTGGCACGTGTCGGCTCACTGACAAGACATTCGTGGGTACCATTAGGTCCATGGTGAAGAAAAACATCGTCGTAGCAACCTATAACACGATGGCCAGGATGGACTGAGTCGTCGTGAAGCAGTCTTGAGATACCTATCTCATTCCCAGCTGGTAAGTCTTCCCTTTTTGGGACACAGATCTTCACAGCAACCTTCTTCCCTGTCTTGGCGTTGTGTGCAAGCCATACTGTTGAGAAGGAGCCGTTTCCAAGTTTGGCTATAATAGTGTACTTTCCATCTCCAAGTTGGTCGCCAAGTTGGACAGGATGAAGCATGCCCTTTTCGTAGGCCATGTACGGTTCCTCAGGCTCATCATTGTCCCAGTGTTGGTATGAGAGATTGTCTCGTTCGTCTTCGGTCAACGTCTGACTCTGTTGCTCGGCTACAGTGGCTTCAAGGTACTTGACGATTGCAGGAACAGACTCCCGATTCAGGTGCAGGATGTCCCGTAGGGAATTCATGTTGTAAGAGGACTGTTTTCAACTTCAGAAGATTCCTTTTCGGCGGTGGATGTTTCTCAGTAGTAGGGTGTGCAGAGACGGAGGATGAAAACCCACAAGCCAACAGCAAAGTGGGTGGGTGCTTGAGGGTTATAACCCAATTTCAAGTAGACTTAAAAATGACACCAGACTGGTTGTGATAGAGAGTGGACAGGCTTGGAGCAGGGATGCATGTTTCGTCAGTGTGAAAATGGGCAATGTGGGCACAAAGACGGCATTGTTCGTTACCGGAAATGGTCTTTGGTCACCCACCCTGCATGACTCCATTTTCTTAGAACAATCAACGAGCATCGAGAGTGTGAATATGCAAAGACATGATCGAGGAGCAGTGTTTCGCGCGTACAAACGTTGTGGCAAAGCCGTCCAACCAATAAGATGGAATAGCATAGCTTTCAGGTTGATCAAAGACATCAAGCTTGAAATTCATGAGTTCCAAAGAGACAAAGAAGGAGTTTCCACCCTTTGTCGTCAGCTTAGCAATGACTATATTCCGGTGCATTTCTGACAGAATAGGCTATGTACTCTATTTTAAGGCAGCCAAGACAATCCGAAAACACTGTAGCAACTGTTGAAATCGCTCCTAGGGTACATGTGACGATAGCATATGCTATTGAAAAGTCTACCGCTATGTCATACCGTGTTAACATTACAATGTATGAAAAAAACTCATTACCAGCAGACCAGTCATCTTTGTTGCCAGAAATCTACGTTTGGTAATCTTGCTACAGTGAGCTCGAGGTTTCCAATTTAGCCCAAGCGGCTTTGATAGCTTTGCAGAACGAAAACATCAAAGAATGTTCTCCAGCCTTTGCTGATTGTCAAGTATGTTTGATTATAAGTCAAGCATGTTACTCGTTTTTCTGAGCTTTGGTTACTACAGAGCATGAACCAGATACATGTACTACATCAGTCACTCCACCAGTAACGGCAAGTTCGATAAAGACGCTTCAAACGCCACATTGGCAACGCTGCAAGGAATTCAGTACAATGACAAGTACTTCGGCTCTCGCGGGATACGTTGAGGTTATCGGGAAAATCACCAAACCGGAGCCTGACGCAGATCAGCCCCCTAATGAATTACTCAAAGCTCACTGGAAGACAGCAATTTTGAACCGGAGACGAGTCAATAGTCTTCTCATCAGGTAGGGGCAGGACCACGCATTTCAACATTTTGTCCGAGAATTAAGATATCTTTGCTAAACAAAGGTCTTTAAAATCTAGGTCTTATTTACACAACACAACAACAACCGGTGTTACGCCGAGCGGTGAGGCCATAATTGAAGAGGACGAGTGGCATGTGACAACATCTTTCAAGGTAAGCGACACAAAATTCCGCACAGCCCATGGATACACCAGCAGCGAACACGATTTCAACCCCACGTCCTCAACTTTAAATCACCGAAGGCCACAGCAAGTTAGTTTCACTGGTCGCAACGGCAAACAACCTTGGCCAGCCGAGCCCCTCAATCCCAAAAAGCACACAAGAGAATGGTATAAGGAAGTGGAGTTGAACAAACTAATACAAGATGATCAAGATGGATTTGAACCGACTCCAATATCTCCGGGTGGCTTCGCTGAGATTCTCAAAGCCGTCGCTGCTCGGGCGACACAGCAGGTCCATGAGGCACGACTCCCGAGGAACACATCTACCAAAAGTCGAATGAGATAGCGTTGAAGTCCCGAATCACTAGTTTGGTAAGAAATCGTCGAAACTGGCGTGGGTTTACTAGTCTATAAGCAGAAGATGAAGAGCATCTGAACATTGTAGGTTTCGATTAATCTTGTTTCATTTTGCCGTCAGCCTTTTACCCAACTCCAATGAATGCTTTAGACTCCCAAGTATTGACTCACATTCATACCTTCAAGTACACAGCACAAAAATCCCTGTGTCCGCGTGAAACTTCGTCTGCTGGGGCCAAGGCCTACCAGACTGTGGAGAAGAGGACCTCAAATTAAGCCCTTTGAATCATGAATTGGATTCATTTGCTTCTACAAATCTCGAGACATTCGATAATGTCCTTCATTCTTAAATTTGTCAGATCTATCATATCTGATGTGGACATGCCTAAACCTTCGAGCATGTGCTGGGAGGTGTGTCTAAATCAGCCCCATCCAGCCTGACGGTTTAGCTTTTGATGCAGCCTTTGCCAGAATAACCATCATAATCTTGTCTCGGGCAACTGGGGCCAGCGTCGATTCTAAACCTTGTCTTGTGGGAGGCTTTGAAGTTTTCGTTTTGAACTTGAATGAAAATACTGCCTCTCCCTCTACTGACTGAGACTGTCTCTGCATGTTAATGCAACTTGGATGAAGTATTTGTGCATCAACAGTAATCTCAATCTCTGGCAAATCTTCGATTGGCCCGCTCACTGTCACGAGTCCTTCGACAAGTATATAGACCAATAGCGAGTCGGTGTCACCAGGTACTGGCACCTCTGTGAACGTACTTATGCTCAACTTTGGCCTCGGCCATTCGGTTTTCTCATTGCCTGAAAGTTGAATGAGGTCCGATTTAAGATATGGCGTATGTAGTGGAGGAATGCGGTGTTTTGTTTTGATTTCGAAAGCGTTCGCCCATCTTAGAAGTTGGACATCATCATAAGCTCTGCCAGCGAACGTGAGGTTCATGGGCACATGCTTGTCTCCCAAGATGCCCATTGGAACTGAGACTGTAGGAATGCCGAGATGTCGAATGGCTCTATTCCCGTTGCTGTAGTGGACGCCGTTTTGCCAAGCCAGCGATGCCCCCTCAAAATCAGAGTCTGCGTTGGCAGGTCCAACATCGCCGGCAGCGGGAAATACAACGCAATCGCAGCCGATTTCCGTGAGCCAGTCCTCAAGCAGAACTTTTCGCATGCCCTCTAGAGCTTGTAGAGCTTGATCCAGACCTTCTATATCAAGAATAGTCCCTTTGCTGGCATATTCGGCCAGCTGGTGGTACTGAATTGCGTTGGGCTTCTCGAAGTGTTGTAGTTCCGGCTCCGTCCTCATACAGTCTGGATAAATCCTCGAAGTTTCCACTGCAGAGATATCAGGGAGCTTCGAATCATTGAAGTCTCGAAGGAAGTTGTTCCAAGCATGTGCTACTAATGCTCCTCTCTCAGTAGCATGCCAGTCCGCCGGCCTTCGGGGACAGTTTTCCGGCAGAAGGTTGTCATTTTCGTAAGCTGTCAAAGGCGGAAAGTCGGGAACCATGACGATCTTGGCGCCAAGCGACTCAAGATCCTTTTGTGCTTGCTTCCATAATTCAACAACTGCTGGACTGGTTTGAATAGGCTTTGCTCCTTTAGGTACAGGTCCACCAAGGAAGATCTCCGGCACAGCGATAACCGACCCAGACAATGAGTCTGAGGAGCCAAGGTCTTTAAAGCTCTCAGGCCGGTCCTTCCAAGGTTGCGGTAATTGGACGCTTTTCTGCTCTCGCCAGAGATCGCCTTTGGCAACTGGATCTGGTGCAGTAATGACATCCAGGAGAGTCAAAATGTCCTTCATACTTCTTGTATGAGGCACTGGTACGTCGCATGTTGGGTACAAAGGCCAACTACCGCGATTTGATAGAAAGGTCCTCGAGGGAGTGTAAGCGATAAGCGCATTGTTGGAAGCAGGTGATCTGCCGGATGAGACGGTCTCGCCCCCAAGGCCAAAAGCCGCGAACGATGCTGCTGTGGAAACAGCTGATCCGTTGGACGAACCTGAAGCAAATGCCGCAGCCAGATAGTCTGGATTGTAAGGATTCTCGGCCCTTCCCCAGATGCCCCTCTGCATACCGCCGCAGGCCATGGCAGGCATGTTTGTCCGTCCAATGAGCACTCCGCCAGCATCTTGAATGAGTTTTACGAGAAAAGCGTCTTCGTTTGAAACCAGATGTTCGAAAGCAGGAGATCCTGCAGCGGCCACCATGCCCTTGACTTTGTAGCTGTCTTTAACCGTATAAGGTATTCCCTCGAGGGGCCCGACTTTCTCGCCAGATGCCCTTCGGTCATCGGACTTGGCAGCTTGTTCGAAAAGGTCATTGTTAAGGATCGGAATCGAATTCAGGGCAAGGCCTCGACAGTCATAAGTGCTGATGCGGCGAAGCAAGCGCGCTACAAGCTCGACGCTAGTAATTGAACCGCTCTTCAAAGCATTCTGTAAATCTTCGATGGAGGCTTCGACGATATTGAGCACAGCCATGATTGCTGGTAGGATGACAATGAAGATGACGAGAATGGTGTAGAAAACAAAGACCTGTCCAAAGAGCATAAAAATAGATGCACCTCACGTTGTACCGAGCTCAAAGTCCGCGATAGACTTACATTCCCCTATCTGGTCGGCCAGCTGTCTCCAGTTTTGATATACGGGTGCCGATAGGCCAGCCGGATGAACCCAGGGTTTGCGACCTTGTCCCAAGTCGTTGCGGCGGCTTACAAGTGGATGTTCCCAGCCAGCCAATATTCCCCCACTTGCGAAATCCCGCACGTTAGCCAAAATCCGTTGGGGGATTAGTCAATCGGATCTTCGCCGATGGGTAGGATGATGATCCTCTCACCACCACTTTCCTCAACGTGGCATAGAGCCAATGCTCATAATTGTGTTGAACGCCTAGGTGGCTTCATCAGCTCAAAGTGCCATGTCAATCCAACTGACATGTGCGATACCAGTATATTATCAGACCTTAGGGAGATGGGTCTAGGCATTCAATTGGGAAATATTCTTGAATGATCAATGACTTGTAGTTGACTTTCTCCACTCGTCCCAGTAGGTCTACAGCAGGACTACTTTACGTAAAAAATCGAAACTTAGGCGATTTCTCGCCGTCATGCAACTCTGATGTATCCACATCCTGAGCTTGGAGGTTGACTCCCTGGGCCTTGTTCCTTCGCCGATTCTCCAATTTCATCCAACCGCCGAGGAACAACGCCGATGCCATCGCCAACACGTTGCAGCAGCAAGTGACAATGAGAGTAGGAATGTACTTGGGCGCATATTCGGTCCGGAATGTTGCAGCCGATAAGATTCCAGCAAAGTTACCCAGACCTACAAGCAAACCCGTCGTGGCAGCGCGGCTGTTCTCGTTCAAATTGTTGTTATTGTGCCATGATTGAACCAGGCATGAAGGTGTATACGCCCCTGCAGCCATGAGGAAGCAGGCAAAGTAAGCCAGTTCCCGGTTTTCCAAAACGTCGATCGCGATGAGAATGACCATACCGACTAGGGAGGTTGCCAAGGCGCCGACGATGTGAAATGTCCGTTCGTGGAAGTAGTCGGAGGAGTATGCTGTCGCCAGAAGTACCACAAACCCCACAGCGTTAGGGGCTACGGTCCAGAGATTTGTTTTGACGACGCTGTAGCCGAGACGCTGGACAATCTGCGGCAAAAAGTTGGATGTCGTGGCGAATGCGACGGGATAGTTGAACGCAATGGAAAGCCAGAAAACAAACTTCCAATCCTTCCAAAGCGTGAAACACTCTTTCCAGTCAAACTTGGAGTCCACTTTATTAGAACCATCGCGAAGGGTCCTGGCTAGAGCTGCGGCCTTCTCTCTGTCGTTGAGAAACCAGGCGGTTGCCGGAGAAGCTGGCAGCCACCAAAAAGCCACCACACCGACAAGTACGGTTAAGACGCCCTCAATGAGCATAAGCCATTGCCAGCCTTGGAGTTTGGTGCCTTCGATTTGGAAGACACCATAGGAAATGAGACCGCTGAAGGCCGCGGCTAGAAGAGCGCTGCCGAAGAAGATGGCGACGCGAAAGCCGAGCTCGGATCGCTTGTAGAATAAAGTGAAGTAGAAAACTACGCCAGCAAAGAAGCCGGCTTCGCATGCGCCGAGGATCAGTCGGAGCACCAGGATTCCAGCGAAGTTTCTCGATGCAATTTGAACGGTTGCAATGCCGCCCCAGACCACCATCAACGTAGGCAAGACCCATCTTGCGGAAAACTTCTTTGTAAGGAGATTGAGCGGAAGATCCAGGGTTCCGAAAGGGATGTAGAAGAGAAGAATAAGTAGACTGTACTCGTTCCCTTTGAAGTTGAGGTCTTTCTCAATTCCGTCGGTTTTGGCGTTGCCCAAGTTGGAGCGGTCGACCGCATTGAAGAAGTACATGAGAGAAAGATACGGCAACAGATAGAAGTCAAGCTTCCTCACTAAAAGCGGCATACTGTTAGCGTCAACCCAAACGGAGATGTTCTTGACAAGAGCTTTAGTACTTACCATACGATCGTTCTCCTTCCGGGTCAACGACCACGCTGCTGCCATTTTGGGGGGAATGCAGTGAAGAGGCCTCGACGTCATCAGAGGATCCGCGCTCGAGATTCTCGTCGGATTTGACTGGCATTTTGCTTTCGGTCGCCATTGTTGCCGATATTGGACGGTGAGCTCAATGTGTTTCTGGAGTGCGATAGTGCCCCTGCCAACTACGGATGTGCGCAATACGCCGGGTAAGACCAAACGCCAACTGGGACGACCATCAACTTGCTTCCTGGAAAGCTTGATATAAGGTGCTCATTTTCACCCACTTTTGCGCCGAGAATGGGGGTGATTATGCATCTGCAGCTCAATGGGGGCGTCTTTGTGATTGGAGCAAGCATCGGGGAAAGTTGCATATCAGCCATATCTTATCTTGAGCGTGCAGCAAGTTGTGTCTTATCAAATTCGAATGTCCGGGCTGCAACCAACAACTCCGGCATTGTTAGCCGATACGCCCTACTACTACCCGAAGGATCAGTACTACGTCCATTGTCTACTCATACCCTTATTGCCGATCACTCACTTATCTTGTCTGACGATATTAGTCACCGATACACATTCCGATGACAACCAGTTGGCTTGATGAAAAATCCAGGAATTCACAGTATCTTACCTATGAATAGTGGTTTTCAACGAAATGAAGGCACTGGATCGTTGAGGTTCCTTTAAATGTTTGGATTCAAGTCCGTGATCGCATAATCTCGAGGTAACAGCCCGCACTCAAGGAACAGACGGCAGGCGCCAGAACTTGGATAAATGAAATGACTCGAATCAACGAGGTCCGATCCCCCGTCGTTCCCTGAGCTTTGGGCGGCAAGGCCACACCGGGTATTTTGTTGGTACACGAATACCTGTAATTTTACATGCAGAACTTGCATCACTGCAGCTTATGGTCCAAATCAGTCTATTTCGGCCACTCTTCCAATGATTCTTTGTGTTTCTTTTATTAAAACAGGCAACATTGTCGAATCTATTGTTCAGTGACTTCAGAAAGAGGTTACTTATTGGTGCTGTCTGATTTGGCGCATGATGGCCTCAAGCCGTGACAAAGTCAACGCTGTCTGAGCCTCTGCTGTAAAAATGAAGTCACTCTAGTACTCCATCAACTGCCATTGACAAAACGGTCCGAGTCACTTTTGGAGGCTGTTCGTATAGGTGAAAGATAGGCATAGCCTTAAACGTCCGTAGCCATTACATGATTTGCATCCTTCACGCTCAAGGTAAGGCGTCTGATCCACACCCGACAAGTAGATCTTAGTAATGCAAAGCACCAACTATAGTACTAGTCAAGGCTTCTCAAAAGAACAAGTGAGTAGTGAGCCGAATCGACATATACTTCCAGCGGTTAACTAGACAGACGTATGTTGTTGCGGAGTACCTTTGGAGGTCAACCAGTAGTTTTACTGAGTAGGTAAGTATCCACAGCACTACAGGCTAGGGACAGGGTTACGGCAGCCCATCTCCGTTTCCACTATCATCGTCAAATCAGCGTATCTGAGGGCTTGCCCTGACACCTGACTTTCCATATTCAGAAAATTGTGCCCCAAATCTCAACAATCACATGTTCTCCAGCCATGAAATCACGGAAGGGTGGCCGAGTTGGTTATGGCGCCAGGTTAAGGTCAGCTTAACATCTGTTTCCTGGTGGGGCAACCCGCGCGAGTTCGAGTCTCGTCCCTTTCATTTACCTTTTGCTCTATAGCTTGATGATATCGTAGATCACCTTGTTGTTTTTATAAGGCAAGAGCTCGTGACCGTTGAGAACTAGGAGCTCAGTATGTGCCTGATGATCGTGTGCCAACCGCACGCATTTAAAGGTCCGTGCGTAATGTTGAAGAATCACCTATCTACCCGTGTGTGGCTTGCTGGAAAGACGGGTGTTGTTGTAGGTGAGCACGTGGTGAGACATCTGATCTTATCTCATCCGGGTCATCTAAGCTTAAAAGCGCCTCACCTCGGTGAAGAAATTTAGAGTTGTCGGTCAACTAGAAATGCCGCGGTGTTCATACCATTTACGTCAGGCGGCACGAGCGCGGCAGTGCAAGCTGCTGATCGGATTGCGTTAGTGTTAAGACAGATCGAGTCAGGGGACATGTGTAGATAAACCCCTCACTGGGAGGCAGCCCGAGCGCATAATTGCATGCGACATTTTCACTCCCTTTTCTAAACAAGTCGACAACATGCAGACCACTAACCTTTAACACGCAGCTTGGGACCAACACGGGGGAGCTGCATAGGCTAGGATTGTGGGTGGCTGGGCGAACAGGAAACATAACGAAGAGGGTGTCCCAGACGACCTTAGCTTAGTGTGACGGAGCACTGCAAACAAGACGTTCCCTCGTCATTACAACTTCCCCAGCGTCAGATGGAAGAAGGAGAGGGCCCCCGAACCCCGGATTTGATTGACTGGACTCGACCGTTATCACCATGGGGTGATGGAGATTCGACAACGCGTGCCGCGAACGCCAACGACGAGCCGGATTTAGAGGCAGAGCATCATGTCTCTGTCAGCGCCACCGCCAGCATGAGCGTGAGCACTGAGGTGCCGCCCTCCGTGTATTTTACGATACACCGGTAGGTTTGGGGGTTTTTACTGCCCTCATATCGGAATACCCGTAGCTGATGGAGAAAAAACACAGAATCAGGCGACTTGTACTTGCAAGCATTGGTATGAGTAGCCGTTGTCTCATTTGCCGATTTTCACTAACAATAATCCCAGATGACCCCTACACCCTAGATCAGCTCCGCGAGCCTAGGATGAACTCATTGGTTGTCCGACCTCTGGTAGATCGCCTATACGATCCTGACGATCCAACTGTCGGTATGTTTATTGCCTGTAAACTTTGATCTGGCCAAGACGGCAGAGCTGATCCGTAAAAGTGTACTGCCTCCTTGCCAATCGGATTCAGTTTCTCAGACAACACATCAGCACCGCTCATCATACTGTTAATGTTGCGCGTGCGACTCTCTGCGAACTTGTCGCAAGCCGAGTACTACGTCGATATCACGAAGACCACCCAGACCAGATAGGCTTACTCATCCTGGCACATATTCTCGTCGAAGGATTCGACCCATTCCAAGGTGCTCCCGAGGAAGTTGAGAGCGAATGCAGACAAGCCCAGTGGCCCATTCAGCGCCGAGACGGCCATGAGAGAAAGCTCACGACTTTGGAGCTGGCCATCATTTCCGAAAGCAAACTCTTTCTGAGTTCTTCAGCCTGCCAAAGGCTCGTCGACGCGGTTTGGCAAGGGGTCGTCACTTATACCCCCTTGTCGTTTGTCGATATTCTCCCGGATCACTACGAGTATGCCTCGGTCTCGCTCTACGAGCCGCATAGGGCACCGTTACTGGACGATAGACGGCTCATCGTACCGTGGATTAGGCAAGTGACTGAGCTGTTCCAGTTCATCACTCTCGTCGGTCTGTATCTCTTGACAATGGTATATCGGAGTAACCCCACTATCAGTGGATGGGAATGCCTGTTTGCTGTCTACACGGCCGGGTGGACTCTTAACGAGTTCGCGGCAATCATTGAGCATGGTTGGGCAGTCCACTCCCAGACTCTGTGGTCTTTTCTTGATATAACCTTCAGCTTCATATTCAGCTGCTACATCTTCGCTCGGGTATATGACGTCTTGGCGTATGGCGGCGTCATCGCCGACGGCTACGGGGTGCACATTCTATGCTTGGCAGCTCCTGTACTACTTACCCGTGTGGCCTTTACGATCATGCCAGACAACATTGTTTTCATCGGCATGCACGCCATGATGAAGGATTTCACCCGCCTAACCTTCATCTCAATATGGTGCTTCATGGGCTTCTTCCTGTCCCTGCAATGGCTGATAGGTAGCAACGAAACGGCCACCAACGGAAGCGGTCAACCTGCCTTGAACTGGTACGATACCTGCAAGTGGCTCATCTGGACGTGGTTCGGCCTGGATGGCACTGGAATTGACCGCTCTGATGAGTTCCACCCCATTCTGGGGCCAGCTCTGATGATTGCATTTGCATTTCTTGGCAATATCCTCTTCCTCACGATCCTGGTCGCGCTGTTGAGTAATACCTTCTCAAAGCTCATCGCCGACGCGCCTGCCGAGATCCAATTTCGACGAGCTGTACTCACCTTTGCCGGTGTCAAGAGCGACTCAATTTTCGCGTACCCCCCACCGTTCAATCTGATGGCCATCGCGATCCTCCTCCCACTCAAGTCTGTTCTTAGCCCGCGATCGTTCCATGATCTCAACATCTCTGTCATCCGAACACTGAACGCGCCAGCGCTGCTCATCATTAGCGCTCTGGAACGTCGCCGCCTCGCTCACCCCCGTCGCGCACGGTCGCAGTCTTTGCTGAACTGGAGCTTCAGTGGGTTCAACCCGCACGGAGACATTCAGGCCGTTTTCAAGGTGGAGCCGCCGCCGGGGGTGGAGCGAGCTCTGGAGGAGTTGGATAACCTGAGCGATGTCGGCTTCGCGGAGAGTGAGATCGGGTCGCGAGTATCGTGGGATGTGAATAGATCAAGATCGCGGAGGAGAATGGCGAGGAGAAGGCGGCCTGGGAGAATGGTGTCTCCAATTAGTGTGGTGTTCCCGTTGCCGAGTGTCCAACGGGCCGGGACAAACGAATTTGAGCCGTTGTCCGGATCGCCTGTCAGGCCGTAGTCCCAAAAAGTGGTCAGTCACGGCACCCATAATACCGACACATATTAAATGTGACGTGGCTTGGTTTGGGGACGGGGAGATAGGGCCACAGCGGCCCCGGACAGGAACTGTCGATAGCCCCCGGCGCGTCGGGGCCGGGGAAGGGATTACCAAAAGGAGATTTAATTGCATGCTGCAGAATAGAATCGTTGGCTTGACCAGAGCCTCGATACGAGAAGTACAAAGCCCGCGTATATTGGATGCCTGTCGTGGAAGAGCTAAGCGCTTGCAGTTGGTCTCGATTAACCGCCTCTCATAGAGTTTGCGATTGTAAATTGCCAATTCTTTGTCTTTGCTGTTTAGGTAATCAATTTTTTCACTTAAGCGGCGGTCGACAAAGCAGCCCAGGTTGTTTATTCTCAGGGGCTGCTCTCTTAAAATACTACGCAAACTCAAAGGCCGTGAGTACTATAATCGAGTCAACTCCATGTCGATCTGTTTGTGCAAATTGAGGGGAGTTTCAAATAGTATCCACCGGCTGCCGGTCTGTCCGCCAAGGCAGTTTTACTAGTGATGGCGATGCTATCCCTGAAAGGATTAGAAAACATTGATGTTCCTTGACAGTGATAATCAAATAGACTTTTCAAACTGGTTCGACTGAGCATTTCCGAGAATCTTCGCGGCGGGCGGCCGCACCACACGTCTTCCGCAGTGCAAACTGAGCTCGGAGAAAACCTGCCCAACGCTTAAATGGCAAAACCTTGCTGAGAGATTTCTGTTTGCGAGCATTGAACCGAGCTGCAGAGCAGTGCATTTTGGGCTTAGTCTCAATAACTGCGCGGTGAACAACACGAGGGGTAAAAAACAAAACTGGCATCTTGTTTGTTGCTGTTCAGTGTTCACCATTCAAGACTCGAAGCGAGGCGGTAAATCTCCAAAACGTGGCGCAACACTAGAGTGTTTACCCGCAGACGTCCACCAATAAAGAAATAATCTAGGAGCTTGGCCACCTCCTTAAGGCTTGACTCGTGATCCCCTCACGGTCAGTTAGCCAAGAGCCGCAGCGAGCCCCGGGAGGAAAGGAAACTAAATAAGGGTGCTTGGCAACATCCCAGTGACACGGGAGACGCCATTGGAGGAATGTTCGATCTGAAGTCTCCGTCCTGCACTCCGCATGCAAGCCCTTCCCTGCACCAAGTGCCGTAGTCCCGCTGCTGTAATTGGATGTAACCCTATCGAAGGCCTTCAGATGAACACAATCGACTAGACCGCAAGGACGAGGTTTCTGGGAAGACTATCAGACCAGGGAAGAGGAATTTGACCCAAAGCTTCGGTCCCGGGTTTCCCAGAGCTACATGGTGAATAAATACACTGCGACTTTCCCCATGTTCTGACGTTGTAGTGTCGTTGCCCAAAATATTCGGTCTTTACCTTCTTCTATACACTCATTCATCATGGTTGCGTTTCTCCCACTTCTTACATTCGCCGTAGCGGTCGTCGCAGCTCCAGCTGAGGTTTCTCTCGACGTCGGCCTCGGCGGCAAGAACTGCGATGGCAAGTTCGCCAGAACTCGCCCTTCTTCCAAGTCGCTGGTCGTCGATGCTTCCGGCAAGCAACCTAACAGCTACCCCACGCTTAACGGCGCCGTCGCCGCCTTGAAGAACGTTACCGACGAGCAGAGCATCTTCATCATGCCCGGCACCTACACCGAGCAGGTCCGCATCCCCAACTACCTCGGCAACCTCGTCATCCAGGGATACACCTGCGACTCCCGCGACTACGCCGATAACCAGGCCACTCTCACGAACAACCTCTCCCGCACCATGGCCAACCTTACTAGTAACGACCAGACCGCCACCCTCCGCCTCTGGGGAGACAACATCAAGATCTATAACCTCAACATTGCCAACACCTTTGGCCAGGCCGACAAGAATGGCATGGCTCTGGCTGTTAGCGCACAGAAGACCAACCTCGGCTTCTACGCTTGCAAGATCACCGGATACCAGGACACCGTCTACGCCAACGAGGGAAGACAGATCTACGCTAAGACCCTCATCAACGGCGCTGTCGACTTCATCTTTGGCCTGCGCGCCGCCGCCTGGTTTGAGAAGTGCGACATCCAGACCATCGGAAAAGGCTACATCACCGCCAACGGCCGCGACGCAGCCAACAACACTTCCTTCTACGTCTTCAACAAGGCCAACATCACTGGCACCAGCGGAACAGCCTCCGTCACTCTCGGTCGTCCCTGGAGGCCCTTCTCCCGTGTCGTATTTCAGCACAGCGAGATGAGCGATGTCGTCGCGCCCATTGGCTGGTCTATCTGGGACAAGACGCAGAGCACGGCCAATGTCTACTTCAAGGAGTTCGAGAACACGGGTCCCGGTGCGGCAGGTATCAGGGCCAACTTCAGCTCCACACTTACCAAGGCTGTTCAGGATGTCGAACTTCTCGGCGAGGGATTCAAGAAGGAGTGGTGGGTTGACGCTTCGTACTTGTAAACAAAAATCCGTTTTTTAATAGCGTAGCATACTTTATGATACCAAAAGTTTATTTTGCCTGAGATAGACTACTATCACTACCTATCTCAATTCTGAAACGCCGACGGGCATGGTTTTCATTGTCACTTAATCATACTTGATCTACGCACCATTGGTGATGTGTTTGTGATTATCACACTACGAAGCTTCAGTCGTCTAGGCGCTGGAATCCGTGATAGATGTACCTACCCAGAGCGACATCTTTGTGTTCTTCATTAAGAGTCCCCCTCGCAGAAGGTGGACTTAGCTGAAATACTTTCTTCCGATCCGATGCCGATGCAGACGTTATCACCGGCCGAGGGGTTCGTGGCCACACGTGACACCGTGCGGACCATACCCATACTTAATTACAGTCAAAGCTACATGTAAGCCTTCAGCTTTTACTTACAGGTCATTATTTCCTCTCTTACATACAGTACTTACCTTATGAACTATTATCCGTGTCACCCACCAGTGGCTACATGATTGCACCTGTCGCCGGTTTTGCCGGCCTCTTCCCTTTACGAACGTCAAACTTGATGTTCAGGCGCCTAGTTGGGCTCGTCTCATATCTCAACCAATGAATACCTGAACTTTATCGGCAATGCACATGAAGCCGAGCTTGTACTTTGTCTAGACAGGGTGTGACGACTGAGATCAGGTACGATAGCAATGCTAGTGTTATAGCATTCCCATGGCATTCATCTTATTTGCTTAGTTGGGCAGAGTACTCCCATCACATCATCTGAAAGCATCTGCAGGCACCAGCGCAAAAAGCGCACGTTGATGCGTAGCACTTTGGTTGAGAGAACTGATGCATAATTCCGAATCTTCGGCCCACGCCGATGTCAGGCAACCAAATTCATGACAACTGCCTTCCAGATACGGAAATCTTCAAATAAGCAATCGGGACTTTAACACCAAAGTCCCTCCGAGGATCCAGTCCTTAGGCCTTACGAGGCTAAAACGGATGGGGTATCTGCAGATGCAGTGGGTCGATGTAAGCATATTATGGAAAGGCACGAGCCGTGATCCGAATGACCTCAGGTAGTTTAACATATTATCCGCTAAGTTTGCGGTGTCCGCGACCTCGAATACAGTCACTCTCGATCCGGAAACCTAAGTAGTGGCATAAGATTCGAGTATCAATTACCTAATATCTAAGAAAACAAATAGGTTGTTGTTCCCAGGAAGAGATTCGAGGCTCTGCAGCTGAGTCTGGCTCCATCATGTTGATAGTAAGCAAGAGCTCGGCAGTCTCTGAGGTTAGATAATTGAAGTCAAACTCCCTGCCAAGATCATCGGGGGTCTCGTATTGGCCCACCGGGAAGGAATGCGTCGAAAGTCCCTGTCAGGTTTGAATCCTTCCGGTCAGATTGAGAAAACAGGACCTGATCTCAAACCCGGCTAATCGGCATGCGGGGCAGGTTCACGCCGCAACGGGGCACTTGCCCGAAGGATCAGCAGACACCGATAGAAAGAAGCTCATTAAAATGTTTTAATACTTAGTGTCCGGGGGGTTCTCGGTGTCAACTGCAGTGATAACATCCTGAGGACAGCAAACTTCATGTTCCTTCGGCAGAGAGATCCGCATGGTACCTGCACACGATGATAGACATACTCCTATCCTGGCGTCATCTTGAGTGGGTCGCTCAAATTGAAGCTGACGATTGTGAGTACCAACCTGTCAGAACGCAGTCAACTTGCATGCACATAACAATGATTGGTAACTCATAATATGCTAGGGTTATTTTCTACGAGCCTCATCACCACACTCTACCTACTCTACGTCTCTTGCATAACTGGCGTGCGATTCAAAAAAATCAGTCAGTTCACTCGCGACGCTTGCCACTAACTTGTCAACTCAGGCTAATTTGTCACCAGTCGGATGGGTCTTTCTTGGGTTTGTAGAGTCGATGATTTTGTTCTTCCGAGGCAACCGCGAAGGTCTAGACTTAGTAGGCAAGCAACGCTTATTGTTTCTGTGGGCTGCTCAACTATTCACTTGTTTCGTCCTCTTTTTGTGGTCATTGCAGGACTCGAGTTTGGAACTGAACGAATCCCTGAAGAAAGGCTGAGCCGAAGGTTGCGAGAGCTTCAAGCTTATCAATGGGTCAAGCCAGTTCCGGGCACAGTCAATCGCTGAGATGGCTTTCGTCTTGGTGGACGATGCTGTCGCCGAGACGGAATGTAATAGCACGCTTCAGAGCCCGGTAGACTTCAACATCAAATGATAATCTTTAAAAATATTCTTTGACATGGCATGAGCTTGTTGGGCACGCACAACGAGCCGGTTGGAGCGCAACGAAATATTTGTGCGTGACCAATGCGACCCACTTTCTACAGTGAGTGTTCCAGGAATACCTTATCATGTTAGGTCTAGTTCGTTATCATCTCGAAGCCTTTTGCGAAAATCATGGTTCTGGCGAATTTGTGCGGGTGCCAATTACCTTAGGAGCTCTCGGGGCCTGAAAGCAGAGCTTCCATCCTTCCAAGAACTTCACAGATTTTACTCCAAGAAATTCCCATCCTTGTAAATACCTGTCAGCATGGCATTGTACGGCAAATCGGTAGTCTTCCTAGAACGGTCAAGTGTGCCTACCTGATCCAACAACAAACCGGGTCATTATGTGGTCAGCGGTTAGACGGCAGCATCCGATTACTTTTCGGCGGGGAAACATGGATCATCTCCTGACTTGGAGCTTCGACTGGCCCTTGCAAGACTATCGGCAACTAGTAAGCATGCAGAATATGTTCTGTGACTGCCTGGAAGTGTGGGACTTATACCTCGAGACCTGAGGAGGATCGTCTAGAGGATGATTTCGTGAGCTGATACTATGCAGACCGAACTTTGGTATAGCTATGAATTAACTGAAAGTTATAAAAGCAATGAACTTTTCCATGAGTTGCAATCTCTCAACCCAGACAGACTCTGCCAAGTCAAAATTTTCAAGTCACCTCTCTATCTTCAATACTCACCACTTCAGAATGTTTTTTCTGCCAATTCTCGCAACTCTTCTGGGCAGCACCATCGCTCATCCTGTGGTCAGCGATGGCACTGCTCTGGAAGTTCGTGAGGTGGGCATGAGTCCTATCTCTCCTCTGACTGCCCGTGCAGAGTGCTCAACTCTCTCAACTGTCATTGAGCAGATCGGTACTAGCAGTGAGGTCGCCGTATATGCTACCACCGGTGGCCTAACTGCTCTGTACGTTTGCAGACGTATCAACGGACGTGAATGCGACACTCTTGCAAGCGCCATCGCCGCCGGTGTTGCAAGTATCTTCTTGATCCTGCAGAGATCTGGCGCCATCTCCGCTCGCGATGGCAGCACTGAGTCCCTCGTCGACTTCCTCACCCGGGAGCTTGCCGCTGATGGCTCTACCTTCGAGTCAATCACCGACGCTACCCCTCACCTCCTCGCTCGCTACGACTCTGACGAGCGCACCCCTCAGTCCGTCGCTAGTGTTCACGGTCTCAACTTCCTCGACACTACTCTGAACCTGGACGTCTACGACTTTGGCGACGGCGAGGGTCACATCTACCTTCCCTTCGATGAGGAGCAGGAGACTATCACCAAGCGCATGGAGAAGCGTGCCTCTGCCCCTGGTTTCAAGATCGCCTACACCACCCGTCTCCAATCCAAGCTCACTCGCGCCCATCAGATTGAGATTTCCCAGCGTCTTGCTACCTACTGGAACACCCGCGCCAGCTGCTGCAGCCTTCACGATCTCATTGGCTTTGTCAAGACTGACCATACTGCCAACTTTTACTACCGCATCATCCCCGAGACCGTTAACTTTGGCCTCAACTACGAGTCTGTTGACATCTGCGGTGGCATGGCTGGCTACTTGTAAGAGAGAATGGCTCACGTTCTGTCGCGAGTTTTCTTGTTGGAGGAGGTCAATTGCCCTGAGAGATGACGGCTGGTGGACATTTCACTAGATGTACAAAACCTGGGACACAATACTTGGCAGAACTTTGGCTATTCATTATAGTCACATGTACTTAAGAGTGGCAAACACTATGATAATGTACTCTCGAATTTCGCACTATAATATACTTACGCCATAACACGATGTGTTCTTACGAAAGGAATAAAGAATGTTAACAGTCTAGTTTCTAGGACTTGGAGTCTTTTCAATGTAGTAGACGTAATCACACACCAGCCAGACCCTAGTTCTATTGTTGTATTCATCCACCAGTGAATAGTTCCTAAGTAGACCGAAACTGTGAGAAAGACTGAATACAGATGTACTGATTCCACTCCGCGGTTCATGGGCATAAAGGCATACGTTTCGCAACAAGTCTTTTTATTTACAGTTGTGTACCTGACACTGAAATTACATACAAAGCAGTATTATGATAATGTACCTTATAGTAAGCGACAACTGGCTGCAACTTTAATTATGTGGCTGGGTACGTCTTTTCAACTACCACCCCGCATGGGTAGTTGTCCTTTCCAACTTGACTTCCAGCAATGTTCATCAGTGTATTCCATAAACTTGTGCATACAGGGAGGGAAAAGAAACCGGGTGTCTGGACGCCTCCCGTCCACATGAGCTGATCCACGCCTCCGGCACTGTCATCCAGGGAGACGGTGTAGCCATTGCGATTCCCGTTGTTCAGATACCCGCCGTACGAGCTGATGACGATATCCTCTAAGGTAATACCACCCCAGTTCTTGCCGTCGAGCACGTCGTGGGTGGCACCCGCCATCAGCTGGAAGGGCGGGTCAGAGTCGGGGAGACCAGGCGTATCGTCTTGCACGTCGACTCGGTAGGTCCCGACGGTCAGGACATAGAACTGGTTGCCGTTCCAGCATACACCAGCTTTATCATGTGTTTCTTGCGTCATATATGGGTTCAGAGTATTGGGCATGGTGCTCGAACACGCGTCACCTGTTTTCCTATAGGTCAACGTCTATTAGCCATGTTCTTCGGTCGATCTCTGGCAAACCAGCGGTGCGGTAAGCGACGCATTGGTTAAAGATATAAACTTACAGCACAAAAGGCGTGTAAGCAGCAGGCGCTACTTGCCACGCAATGGGAATCATCTGTCCGAACATGATGGTCTCGACCACATTTACCATACCGGAGAGATTAATATCGACCGGCAGCATGTTCATCATGCCGTCTCTGATAAAAGACTCAAGCATGCCTATAGTGGTGCTGTTTGACCCGGAGAAGATCTCGGACAAGTAGTCTTCTTGCGTCTTCTTCCATACGTCGAACAAAGCGCCCATCGCGGAGGTCAAGTCGTTTTGCACGCTCGCAGAGTCTTTGGCACTATCCCGCGACAATTAGTTGATTGACTGTATGAAGTAGGCACAACGTAAAACTCACGATTTTGTGTTGTCTTTGCCTAGAGCAAATGAGGCGGATATAGCGCTGTTAAATGTGTCTTTGGCGAACCCGAAGTTGTTGCCAGCAAATATCGCGGCATCCTTGATGACTTTGAAAAATCATATTAGCTCACTGTTCACAACAAGTGTTTAGATAGGCATACCGATATTCCACAGACCAGCCGATGCCATGCCGATACCAAATGCCATCACATCCATTATAGTTTTTATGAGAGTTGACTGATCATCTGCCTTCAGCTGAGGTGCGAATGTGGATGTGAAATCTCCCATAGCGGCAGATATGCTCAGCTGCGCATCTTGAAGCGCCTCATGGTACTTTTGGTACACCTTGCCATCGACGTGTTAGCCGACTCGACCGTTTGAAAATATAAGTTCCGGGTATGTCTTACATCGTGTAATTTGGAGAAGGAGTTGAGGAGAAGAAATCTGTGTACATTATCAGGTCAGAACATCTCAAGAAGACTTCCAGTCCGAATTGATGCAGAGTAGACTTACCCTGCTGGATGCTTTGTATCAGCACACTGGACCGTTGTTGAGCATGGTGTGTTGACAGGATCTTGGCAATCCCATCCCTCCGGTCCGCCGTAAAAGTCGCTGATAAAAGCCGGAAACTTGAGCTGGGCTGAAGTTGTTCCTGGTTTATAGGCTTGCCATGCAGCAACAGCTTCTTTCCACGAAGTATTCGTGTCTGCTGATGCCCACCGGACATTAGCCAGAACTTTTGCGTCGGTGATGTTGGCGTCGGAGCATGTAGTTTGCTCCCATCTATCAGTACGCATCCAAAGAGTTGTAGGAATGGCATGGGCGTTGGACGCCAGAAGAAGAAAGGCTAAGTTGCGCATCGTATTGGTTGATGTGGTAGTGAATGTGGCGATGCTGTGAAACCAAGAGTCCCTCATGCAGGTTCCTGGCAAGTCTGGATAGTAATAGACATGCTGATGACAAGAGTTGATTGACCCCTTTGTGGTTCCGCAAAAAGGCTCGACTAACTCTGAGTCGTGAAGCACCAAGGCGCTTCAATAACTGTAGGCAGAAAATCCTCCCACGTGTAAGCTGGCTTGCACGGTATTGGTGTTGCCTGGGGACAATAATGGGCCAGGCGAACCTGTGGAGGGCTTCGAGATTCCCATGGTGACACTTTGATCACTTGAAGGCCAGTGATTATCTTTTTCAATTGTGATTTGGGACGAAACAAGCTTTTAATCTATCAGAGTTATTCATATTGCCTAGCAGGCGCGCAGCACGTTTTGTGAACTGAGTCATTGCCGCAAATGATCGCAGGAGGATTTTCAAGCACGTGGGCCCGTAAGTGGTCAACATAACAAAGATTATGGGCAAACAGCAAATTTTCTGCCCTTTGCTCTCATTATAGTACGGAATGTCGGCATCGCTGGCCCCAACGACCCCGGTGCTATGCTCCTTCGCAAATCACACAGCGCGTCTGTAAGGAACTTTTAGCACTGCGAATACGCAGTCGTTATTTCAGGCTTTCCGATATCTGATGTGTCAATAAGGAGGAGTCTCAGCTTGCCAACTTGAAGGCTTCTCCTGATTCCTATTGCCTCGTTGACTGGCTGCAAGAGTTCTACTTGAAGACAAACAACATCGTTCTCGAAAAGTTTCCAACCAACCGCTAGAAAATATCTTCAAGACCCTGAAGCTCTAGCATCTCCCTTTTAGAAACGACTTCAAGTGTAACAGTCAATTGTTTTCACTCACGATGGTTCTCCAACAGTAAGTCATTCAATCCATGGATCCATGTCACCACTGGACTGACAGTAGCCAGGCTCGCCGTTCTCTTCTTCTGCCTGTTGTACGGCCAAGTTGCCATAGCTTCAGGATGCAACCAAATACACTGTCAGGTCTCTGTATGCGCTTCGAATGCAGACGAGGCGTACAACGTAGCAAGCCTTGGTCTCGTTGCAATCATGGGACCTGACTGCGCGAGCTGGCAACCAAATTCACCCGTGAGCGGAGGTCAAGGCGCGTGCGCCAGTGGTCTTCAGACATTCACTGGTGCCTTCAATATCTGGCGCGGCTGGAACGCGATGGGTGGCGATTACTCTGCTACTTTTGCGCAATGGGGGAACTTTTTGGGCGCTACTTGTACTGGCGGCAAGACTGTCTCATGTGATCCGAAGTCAGGACAGTATCCTAATCCTGTCACTGGGAAGTGTCAAACTCGGCAATGGTGAGTTATAAACAAAGCAAATTGCGAGCATATGCGGTTCGATCGAACTAACAAGGCGACAGTGTTATCGACAAAACTTGTTAGACACAAGACCCGTACCGGAATCGAGATACCAACTACATTGCCGATTAGCATATACTATTACTTGAGCTTTGGGCGGTCGAGACATGCAAAGAGACATACACTCGGCTACCATTTAACACGTTTTCAATAGCGCATTGTTGAAAATTGACTTGACAGCTTCAGAACTTCCAAGATTGAGAGTAGTTTTGGCTTCTTGACGAGCGAATCTTCACAAATCGGGTCCCTTTCTCGCTGAAACTCGCATTTGCATGTGACCTTCGATGTCTCGTCCTAACGGCGATGAAGACGCGACATGCATGTGCATATAAGGGTGTCCATCTGACCAGGGCTTTTTGAACCCTTGTCCAGCTATGGGACCAGCTTTCGGAATTATTGAGCGAACGCCTATCCAATTTAAATCATGATGCTGCCCGCAGTATGTTTACATATCCTCAGGCATCGAGTAATCCGATGGCGCGATATCATGAAGGCAGCCGCGTGGCACTGATTTTGGCTTGAGTTGGGGCACTACGTAAGCTTCCGTTGGAAAGTTTTACTGGTTGTGACCTTAAGTTAGGGGATGATAGGTCAATGGAAGTCATTTCCAAAGCTTTGAGAGATAAACGTCACTCCCAGTGCTTCGCACGACTCTCGATATAGCTGGAGCACCCCCTGGGCAAAAGCCACAGCAGGTGACTACGACTTGTTTCTTCACGCTGCTGAGTTGATTTTAGGTTATCATCTTACATAAAAAGCAGTGATCGAGTGATAAGACTTCTCGCAATCCCATCGCACAGCTTGGAAAGCAAGCCTCTTTCTAAGTTTCCCGCTGTCCTTTCCGGGGCAAATACCTAATCTTAGGCAAAGGACTTAAAATATCACGAAACAGCCCTGTATGATGAGTCTTTTGGCGTGTTGAGATGAATTAACAGATCTTTTGTCGTACCTGAGGACTACTCATTGCGTAATGTGTTAGTGTTATGATTCAGTTGCCCAGGATTTGACGCCAACCAAAATGTTCGGACGACAAGTACCCGGCACTTTTTACATGGAAGGTAGCGAGAGATGCGGTTTCAAGGCACAATCGCCATACAGTAACACGGCACCATCATGATTGAGAGTCTTGATAAGCAAGAGCCTCAACTGACCCAACCTGATTAATCTGGGTTTCACTCCGCGGATCAACACCGATTTTGGCCACGAAGTCCGTTCGCGGGGGTAATTCAAGTCCGACTTGACGCACATTCGATGATCCATCCACACATGAGCTAAGCAATACGCTCCCCTCTTGCCACTTTAAGCGCCTATGCTACTTCGGACGCATTTGCCCTCCTACTTCTAGCCCGTGATTCCCACCCGTACCTGAGGTGAGTCTTTCCGCCAGTTTTTCACAACACACATATCCTGAGCTCTCCCGCAAGCGCAACATATTCTGCCTAGGGGTATTGACATCCTTTTTCTCAGCTTTGGAGTAATTATACCGGCTTTAATAGCGCCGAAATGTTGGGTTCAGCGACCATCGAATGATTTGGTCAGTCTATAATATGGTAGTACTCTGTTGGGTTAATGAGAGCACTTGAACTGATTCCATCGACGGAAAACTAGGCGCCACGACCTTTCGCCTGCGAGCCAACGGCCTGGTTTTGTTTCTGGATACATGGCTGGAGAGGCCCTCTGTCCTACCGAAGCATCTTGATATCAATGATGTAACCGAAGCAGATTATATCTTCATATCTCACGCCCATTTCGATCAGTAAGTTCTTGATCTTTCTGGAGAACGTTCATGAAGGCTGAACACTACGCGTAGCCTGCCTGGTGCGGATAAGATAGCAAAGAAGACCGGCGCTGTGGTTATCGCCAACGGCGAGGCGATTAACCTTCTCCGAGATGCGGGCGTCAACGAATCTCAGCTCTTCCCCGTCGCGGGCGGAGAGCGTATTCCATTGTTCACAAAGGACGACCGCAAAGCTGCGGTAAACGGCAAATTACCTATCGCTGATGGGCCGCCCGGAATGCCAGCTAGACCGAATCACTCTCGAGCTGTCATGTCTGTCCACGTTTGGCCTTCTTTACATGCTCTGATGCCGGGAAGTGGACATCACGATATTCCGGATGAGATTGACACCGGAACAGTCTACAAAGGCGAGGCTACACCGTACACTTGCACCCTTGACATTACAATGGGTATGAAGTATGGACTCTTGCGCATGAAAGAAAACATGCCGCCCGAACAGATGAACGACGGAATGAAATCCTTTGGAGATTACATCGGCGACAGGAAGAACAATGTGTTCTCACACTACGATGGCGGTCAACTAGCCTACAACTTCCTTGTTGGGCCCGGACAGACTGTTTTCTGGAACGGACATTTGGGTGGTTATGAGGGTATCATCAAGAGCATTGAGCCCACCCCAGACGTGGCGATCCTTACCATCGCGGGGCGAGCCAATCTGAACGGCCGACCTTTCGATGGATCTGCTGCCCAGTTCGCGACGAACCAGATCCGATGGCTTTCTCAACCAAAGAAGGTAATCTGGGCTCTCCATGATGAGGGGTAAGTTTCACCTCACGGAACGGGTGGGGGAGGCAGCATCCGGAGTAAACAGGAAAGCCACTGACATCTTTGGTAACGGAATCATAGTGCGATCAAGCCGTATCGAGTAAACACCGCCGCCGCAAATGCCATGGTCCATGCCCAGACCTCATCAACGGTGGAAGAGCTCGAGTTCGGTCTCGCAAAACCACTTTTCTGAACTACCTGATGAAAAAAATTCGAACTCGGCTAGGTCAATCAGAAAGTCCTCAGGCGAAGAAGTCCATTTTGGTTCTATTTGGCAACTCGACAGGAACGCCAACCATTGAGATTCAGTTTCGCTTTGCGGCATGTAACCTTATCCAAGCAGCGCATCAACGGAGAACTGCGGGCACCGAACACCGAGCCAGTCGGAGGATGGCAACGTACTCCCTCACGGGCCCGTGTGGAGTTGGTATGACATCCGACGGTGGGGGAGGGGGACTTGCCTTAGCGGTATGAGACATCGCAATGACTTCTTCTTTTCTGAGTGAACATGTAATCAAGTAGACAATCCGTACGCAATGCCGTGTTCGTTTCCCGGCACTCGTTTCACGTGAGATGGTTCTGCTCACGGTTATTGACATTAAATTGCCAGAAGACCGGGCAAGAGAACATATAACTTGGATTGCTCCAAGATAAGTTTAGTCCGTCATAAAGCCACCATCACTGCCTTCCAGTCTATCTGAATCTGAATAGTTCTGGGGTCCAGCATTCAACTACTTCTCACCATGGCTGCGCCCTTCAAAGTAATTATTGCAGGTGGTGGTCTCGCCGGTTCACTGCTCGCAAACGGTCTTATGAACCACGGCGTTAATGTGGCCGTCTACGAACGTGACGCGGAAGATGCCAAAAGAGAGGGATTCCAGATACGACTGGGCGACAGCGCCATGACAGGTTTCAATGCCTGTCTAGAACCGACAGATATTGCGGCCATCAAATCGCAATTCAGTCAAATGTCCTCGACAGGTCTTACGGCACCGACCTTGATGAACACGAGGTTCCAGACTGTGCTTGACTTGGGCCAGCTTCCGTCTTACAGTGCATCTTCCGCTATCAATCGCGTTGTACTTCGGGATATTTTGATTGCCCCCTTGCAGGAGAGGGGCATTATCCAATTCGGAAAAGCCTTTCAGGGATATGAAGTTCTCCAAGGCAACGATGGTCAAGAAAGTGTGAGGGTTCATTTTGCCGACGGCACTACTGATACATGCGATATTCTTGTTGGTGCAGACGGCAGCGGATCAAGGGTAAGATCGCACAACATTGGAAGCACTTATGTTAGAGGACAATCTGGTTTGCTGATGAGGTACCTACAGATCAACAAGCAAGTCGGAGCACGGAATATTGTGCCAATTGACAGCCATGCCATGATTCTCAGTAAAGGCCCTTTGCCCGAGGATTGGCCGGAGAAGCTACCTGAGCGTCTGACCAAAAGTCCACTCATGGTATTTGCAGGTGGTGTTTCCATGTTCTATGCGTGTACGTCAAACCTGATCAGATATAATGCCACGGTGCAACAAGATACACGGTGAAAGCTGAGATTCTAGCTTTTTAGTGTTCCTGCCGGCCACGGATGAGACGACTCATAGATCCGAGAATGGAGCTAGATACAGCACAAGGGATGCTTCCTATTACTGGGGCATTTTGATTCCCAAAGAGAAAATGCCGACCGATGACTGGAATGAGGTTGAAGATCCCTTGGGTATATGTCTAGATGCAACCCAAGACTGGGCACCCGAGTAGTGAGCTGACAGCACCTTCCTCAGTTGCCTATCACTGACGCAGTATTGTATAGCCGAACAATGTTGACGACAGGTTTCGAAGGCAAGAGCAAAGACCTCGTTACCGTAGCACGCATGCGAGCAAGCAACAGGCTTGCGAAATCGTGGCGGAAAAATGTCAAACGAACATCTGGCAACGAGGGACACCCTAGAGTCTGGCTGATTGGGGACGCGATGCATGCAATGCAGCCTAACAGGTTCGTCGGACTCTCTGTCATGGACGAGCTAACCCGCCGTACTGACGCAACGTGCCATGCTAGGGGGATGGGAGGCAATCAGGCCTTCCATGATTGCGCGGACGCACTATCTCAAATACTTGCCCTCAAAGAAAAGGCTAATTCTGGTGCCCAACCATCTACGCAAGATATCAGTGTGGCATGTAGTCAGTATGAGAGTCGAGTGATTGACCGAGCGTTTCCATGGGTCAGTAAGAGCGGAGGAACCAGTGTGCCAGTGAGTTCACTACTTTTGCGCAAAGCCATTTCTTTGAGAGGTTTGACTGATGATTGATTAAGATGACAAACTTGGATGGATGGCTTGGGTCTCTGGTCTGGATGCTTGGCTCGTTTTTGGTGTCGGGATACATGTTTATGGCTCAAATCTTGAAATCTGGGGTGAGACAATGAGGAGGTCGTAAAAATGAGCTCGAAGCTACATGTGTAATTACTATAACATTGAGAAACTGATCGAACTACTGCCCTGAATTGATGTATCAAATGGTCGCGTTCAGATCGCAATCAGCTGCCAATAATCTCTCCTTTCATGCAGACAATGTTGTCCTTCTCAATGAGCAACTCATGTCTCTTCTCATTTTCCACAGCAGCTGTTCGAAGCGTGTACTTGTCGCCGGCGTAGAGGGGAGACATAGCTCGATAGGTAACCTGTCGTGCTTCCCTGCCGTCCTTGCCGTACACGTCTCTCCAATAGTCCAGCATATTAATCAGATTTAAAGGCCCATGAACCACAACCTCGGGATGGCGCTCGATGTCCTTCGTCCAGGGTTCATTGTAGTGGATCATATGACCATTGAAAGTGAGGGCAGAAAACCTGAAGAGACCAACAGGTGACCATCGGAAGTGACGAACTATGCTTCCTTCTGCGCTTGATTGGTCGGTGATGGTAGATGGCCCGCAAGTAGGTGCTCTATCACTACGCGGTGGTGCTGTTTTTGCGGCCAGCGACACGTCTACTTCAGGCCGAAATATCCACGATCTGAGCATCCATTAGTCTCGATGCCTCTGCATGGAAGTGCAATGTCCCAGACTTACCTCTGGTCTTTGACAACCAGCCCATCGTTCCCATAGAATTCCTTCTCGACATCTACCAAAACCATCTCATCTCCGCTTTTGCTTTTCTTCACCGTCGCCCCGACAAGTCTCGTGCGCTCTTCAACTACCTCCCCAACCTTGAGAGAGGTTCCCTCAATAAATTGCATCTTCCCTCCAGCCCACATCCGACGCGTAAATGGTGCCGGCGCGTTGAAAGTTTTGTCCGTGCCGTCCATTCCGAGCTCGCTTTCGACGCCCGTGGGGGTGAAGTAAACGAGATGGTAGCCCGGGGGCAGGGGCGTGCCTTGAGCGGGTGCTTCTGAAGAAACATCAACGCCAGGGTGCAGCTCTTTCCGGTTAAGGGTCAAGCTGAGGCGTTGAAGTTGGTTCGAGTCGAGTAATTGCTTGCGGACGACATCTCTGCCAGCAAAAGTGTCGAGGAGCTTACTTGCTGCATTTGTTGCATTGGTCGCGATGGATCGCTGTGAGCGAGCGGTGTATTGACGGAAGGCCGGCCGCATTTGATGAACTAGGGATATCATTGTGGACATGAACAGTTGAGACTTGGGGAAGCCTCGGTGGGTACGAAAGACTACTCAGGTCTCGCGGGCATCAGAAGCTCTTATTCGTTCGGTCTTTTACAACATTCTCATCGAAAACTCTGAGATCAAAGTGAGTATTGGATCGGGCTGGTAACCAAAAGAGCTTCGGGATGTCAAGGCCGATGGAGTAACTAGCCAGAGAGCCCCAAACCATCTCTGCTTCGCCGCATGGGGAATGGTCTGAGCAAGCGTCAGCTTGTGGGGTAGCCGAGCCGCCCGGCTATATGCTTTCGGTTTCTTGAGGTTCGACTGCAAAAACACCGAGCAGCCACTGTGCTCGGCAGAAGAAGCCGAAATGGTGCTGAGTGAGAATTTAGCCTGTCCTTTCCACGGCCATTGATGCCGGGCGTCAAGGGATCCTCTTCAAGTCGTGAATGCGCCCGTCAAATGCCTGAAACTCCATAGAAGGGCGACCGGGTGCTCTGTCGTCTTTACAAGCAACGTTGAAGGAAGTTCAGCCCCTCTACCTGCATTGGCCCATTGGCGTACAGTTGAGGATCCAAGAATAGGCCGAGATCTTCCAGGGCATCCTCGCCTTCCCAATTTGTGCGCATGAGGCTGAAATATTGATCTTCTATTGCGTCGGGTCTTGCTTGCTGAAGAGCATCTTGGAGTAGAGTCACCGGAGGGCTCGTTTCTGCGTCATTAAACGAGCCAAGACCCGTGATGGAACTGGGTAGTGCGTTTGAGGGTGCAGATTCGATGCTGTCGCCGTTGAGTCTCTTCGCTATTGATTCGTCAAGGTATTGTAGGAAGAGGTCAAGCACATTGTTGTTAATGCGCCAGTACTTTTGAATTTCTTTGAGGCCAAGAAGACACATCTGGGCTCTATGTTCGGCTAATCGGCGACTGATGCCGTCCGCTGACTTGATGTCAATCGCATGTATGCAAAAAGCCGCAAACAGGCTAGTAAGTCTAGAAGAGTCAGTCACGGCATTATGCTTTCCGTAAAGTTTGGGTTCTCACAGGTGCATTTGGCCGTATTGCAAGGTCCTTTGTGCGAGCATGTCTTCAGCGATGCGACTGATGCGACAAGCGGCGGCGAGAGCTGCGCTCTTATCTTCCTGGTCTCTATTCCGCAGCCATCCGTTTCTGTGCACAAGGATACGAAGATGGCTGAGTCAGACAGATGTTAGCCATTGTCATGTAACAATCATGTTCAGTCCAGCACTCAAAAGACGCGGCTCAACTTACTTGTAGGCAAGGTGGATCAAGCAGGTCAAGACCGAAGACTGCCCATCGTCAGGGCCTCTACGCATCTCCTCTGGTAGACCCTGCTTCCAATCCTCAAGCTGCTGCTTCAATTCACAAACTTCCGTCGGTGCTGGTGGTCCCCGACCAGGTGCAAAGTGGGTGTCCATAATTCTCCCGACTTTAGATAGGTTAGTCAAGATGGTAACAAGTAGACTTAGCTGTAGCATGTAGGAATGGAACTCACGAAGGCGAGCGATGTCAACCATCTTAATAGCATAATGAATATGCTCCGACTTTGGTGCACCAAAACCCGTTGCTCGCTGTTCGTCAGCATCATCCTCCAGATCAACTGGAGTCAGGGGCTCAATGTCACAATCCTCATCACGGATTCGACAAGGCAGCCCTAATGACACGGCCGCTTGCCGTTCGCGGACCTGTTATATGTGAGTAACGACCAACACGACGCATGACGAGATAAGAAATCATGATTATCCAGGGACCCAAGACTTACGTAGATTGACCACCAGACTCTGCGTCTCATCCGAGCGAAATGGGGATCCTTCGTGATGAATCGAGTTCTGTGTGCCTTATCAGCCAAGCACCCGGACAAACCAAGAGAACTCAGGGGGACTTACGAGCGATGAAGGCCATGAGTTTGGGCGAGGGTTAACACAGCCCCTAGCCAGTACCTCACGTCTCTCCAATCCGTCGGTCCACCCCTCCAGAAGCTGCATAGAAACAGTGACTGGATAAGTGTAAACTCATCTTTCTCCCAGTTGGCATGGAACAAAACACGCGCGCGAGAGTATGTCAGATTCTTGGCCTCAGACCGGTCTTTGAACCCCATGCCAAGAATCGTTGCCTCGTCGCAGTACGTCGAGCCAATGAAAAGCATTGCTTGCAACAAGAGCGGCGAAATGTCCATCGTCACGAGCCGCCTGGCGATATCTGCGCGGTCAAGAATGGGGAAACAAGGGTGAAACCAAGTGAAGTAAGCATGCAAGGCTGGGAGACAGCTCTGCATGTCAGGGAAGCTGAGTGCTCCCTCATCCCGAAGGTATCGCTCTGTCGCAGAGCTCATGGAAGGCACGCTGGCGGGTGAAGTAGCCAGGTCATGAGATTGCGGCGTCTGCGGTACTGGAAAGGTGAGACGACCCTTCAACACCCCGTCACTAGTCGCAGCCTCATTGCCGGGTCCTGATGTTCCAGGAACAAGAGTGATAAAATTCGACTCTCCAAAGAACCGGCTGCCGCCCGTAGTCCCAGAGGAATGGCACGAAGCAGGTGTATCGGCGTGAAAAGGAGTCTGCGATATTCCAGAGGAGCTCGGAAGTCCATGCGACGGAGACACAGTACTCATAGAAGCGAGCGTTGCGGCGACATCAGCGGTGAGCGCGGACGACGCGGCCGGGGCAGCGGGCTCCGGGGTCGTCGACGCGGCCTCTTCCGTCTGCTTCTGCCTCTTGGACTTCCGTAGATACCTAAACCGGCCAGATCACTATTTGCCGACTCGGAGATATCGGTGTGGGGAATGACGGGAGAGACTCACCGGCCTCTTCGCGACGGGATGACTTCGCAAGTCGCCTGCGCTGTCTCGCAGTTTGAACAAGGGTGGCGCTCGGTGACATTGCAGCGGATGCGTCGCGAGTTACACTCCCTACACGCGTGCTTCGCGCGCGGTTTCTTCGAGCTCTCTGTCGGCATTGTAGGCACTGGTACTTGGCATACCGCAGTAGAACCGCGAACAGGACATCAGAAGTCCTTTCAGACGTCACTCGAATATCAGGAACCAAGGCGCAGATAGGTGGTGCTCTGGACCTGCGACGGGAACAACATGCATAATATCTCTGCGCAACCAACCTCTCCGTACAGTGTTGGTTCAATTGCACTGTGTTTTCCATGGGGACGCTTTGACGTCTCGGCTTCTTCTTCCGTGGACCTCCTCACCGAAGTTATTTCCTTGACCGATGTCTCAAATGTTGACCGAGCTCACCGAGAAACAGGTGTACTGCAGATAGGGGTGAAAGGATACGGTGAATAATTGAGTAATTAATCAATAGGTTTTCATTTCCCAGTATTTGCAACACACCCAGTCCTGAAATTAGATAGAAAAAAGTCTTTCAGTAAACCTGGCGCACGAATTTGGGGTTCTGAGGAGGGAGAAACGCCCTCTACAGTATCATGCAGATCGTGCCTCCTTTGCAGTGAGTAAAGATTCTATCATTTCATGTACTTAAACTCTGTTCTACTCTAGTAGCTCCGAGGTAGTTGCAGTACTTTCTCGCTAATGTACGATAAAATCATCTCGCGAGATACAGGCGCAATCCTTGGGACAAAGATCTCGCGTAGATACCTCTCGACGTCGTACTCTGCGGCATAGCCCATGCCTCCGTGCGTAAGCACCGCCCTTTCGCATGCCGTGAAGGCCGCTTCAGCAGCCATGTACTTTGCGCTATTGGCCGCGACTCCAACCTGGTCTTGACGGATAGAAGAATCCTCTTTGCTGGCATCATATAGCCGAGCAGCGTGATATGTCGCAAGCTTCGCCGCCTCTAACTTCATGTATGCGTCCGCCAAGGGATGCGCAATAGCCTGATTCTGCCCAATTGGCCTCTTGAATACAACGCGATCACGCGCGTACTCTGAGGCCTTTGTGAGCGCCGCGTAGCCTAGACCGAGAGCCTCGCCAGCGAGAAGACACCTTTCAGCGTTCATTCCGTGAAGTATGATCTTGAAGCCCTGGCCTTCTTGGCCAATGAGTGAGCTCGCGGGGATATGGTAGTTGTCGAAGAATACTTCGTTGGCGTCGACGGCGCGGCCGCCCATCTTCTTGATCTTTCGCATGTCCAGACCGGGTTGTGACTTGTCGATGTCGATGCAGAAGAGCGATAGACCCTCGCTCGGCTTCTTGCAGTCCTCGTAGGCTTTCGTGCGCGCAAGCAGAATCATCTTGGATGCTACTTGAGCGCATGTAATCCAAATCTTCTGGCCAGTGACGAGATACGATCCATCGGTCTGCTTCTTCGCTGTTGTGGCCAAGCGTAAAGTATCGAGGCCAGAGTTGGGCTCTGTGACGCCGAAGCACGTACGCCACTCTCCGGAAATGATCTTGGGGATCGTACTCTCGAGCTGCTCCTGAGTTCCGAACTTGGCCAGCGGTTGTGTGGCATAGACGTTGGCGTGAATGGATTGCGCACCAGCCATGCCGGCACCAGATTCGGTGATGGTCTGCATCATCATTGTCGCTTCGGAGATACCTAGGCCGGAGCCGCCGAGGGACTCTGGCAAGGCAATACCAAGCCAGCCGTCCTTTGCGAGAGCAGCGTGGAACTCTTTCGGATCTTGCTCGTTCTGATCGTGTTCTTGCCAATAGGTGTTGGGAAATTCTGAGCAGACTTGGCTGACTGCCTCTCGAACAGTCAATTGATTCTCGGTGAACCCAGTGGTTTCCATGATACTCCTTGATGGCGATGTTGAAAATGCTGCCAAGCCATGTCTTGAGGTGATCGGTGCCCGGCGAAGGCACCCCGCGGTCTTGGTGGCTGGTCGCGCAACGCGCCAAAGATTCCGTGACAAAGAGGCTGACATCATGTTGATTGGCCAAGATTGACCGAGAAACTGCTGAACTCTGTGTGATTGAAGAGAGTACGTATGATCAGCGCTCGAGATATTATTATCTTCTCACGCATGCCGATTCACAACTATCATAACATGAAGGCAACTAAAGGTAACCTCAGGTCCGGCAAATAGACCCGAAGCCCGGCTACTGTCTTCCAGGCTAGTTAGCAAATGACGACACCAGGAAGTGATCGACGCTTAGGCTGGTGTTGCATAAAGCCGACTTGGGTTGAAGAAACCGACGCTACATGTATGCACCGGCGCTACGCTTTGACTAAGGTACCCCACGATTTGCTTGCGCAAATCTAAGAATTCGAGCCGAGGCCAATGCTGGTATGAAGTGATGATCGCATCCATGCCGATTCATGGGACTGCTGAAAAGCCGCTGAGTCTCCATAACATATCGCGATTGAAACTTCGAGATTGAAGCCAAGATTCTACCACTGGCAATCTCATTAGATCATCAGAAACTTTAATCGCCGACTTCCACATCCACGTTCCTCTCTCGTGTACCCTTGTCTACCATGTCTTCACTACGGGCTGCTTTCTCGGTACTAGCCTCTCGACTCGCGAACGGTACGGCGTCGTCAGGGCCATTCACAACCACAAAGCAGAGTTCACGATATCTCAACTACATCTCTTCACAGACATCATCCGCACGCACTGGATTACAGCATCGATGCATATCGACTTCCTCATCTCCTCGACTAAAGAGAGACCCACTGCCTCTAGAGGGTGTCACCGTCGTCAGCCTTGAACATGCCATTGCTGCGCCGTTCTGCACCCGCCAGCTGGCGGACATGGGTGCTCGAGTCATCAAAATCGAGCGACCCGGAGTTGGTGATTTTGCCAGGGCCTACGACACTCGCGTCAACGGTATGGCTTCCCACTTTGTCTGGGCGAACCGCTCAAAGGAGAGTTTGGCTTTAGACCTCAAGAAACCAAAAGACTTTGAGGTACTGAGCAAGCTCCTTGACAAATCAGACGTCTTGGTCCAAAACCTTGCCCCTGGAGCCACTCAAAGATTAGGCCTTGGTTACGATACCCTGAAAAATACCCATCCGTCTCTGATTGTCTGCGATATCTCAGGATACGGTTCAGATGGGCCGTACAGAGACAAGAAAGCCTACGATCTTCTCGTTCAGAGCGAAGCAGGTTTTCTCTCCGTCACAGGAAACGGCCCGGATCTAGCGAAAGCAGGCATCTCGATTGCTGATATCTCTGCCGGCATGTATGCCTACTCCAACATTCTCGCCGCAGTGATCAAGCGAGGCAAGACGGGCAAAGGCTCTCGGATAGATATTTCCATGCTCGAAAGCATGGTCGAGTGGATGAACTTCCCACTCTACTACACTTACAACGGCGCCCCTGGTCTTGCTCGGTCTGGAGCAGCTCACGCCTCCATATACCCCTACGGACCTTTTGAGACGGGCGGCGGCGGCTCTGTCATGCTAGGGGTCCAGAATGAGAGGGAATGGGCTAATCTTTGCCGGACCGTGCTTGGCGATGAAGCGTTGGCCAAAGACCCGCGGTTCGTGAGCAACACGCTCCGTGTGAAGAACCGAGATGTGTTGAAGGAAATCATCTCCAATCAATTCGCAAAGTTCTCTGCTGAAGAGGTTCTACAAAAACTGGATTCTGCGTCTATTGCTAATGCCAATGTCAATGACATGCAAGGCGTATGGGAACATCCACAACTGCGAGCAAGAGGGAGGTGGACCAATGTCGAGACACCAAGCGGCACAATTCCTGCCCTGATCCCCCCTGGTTTTGCTTCGGTGGAGGCGTCAAGAATGGATAAAGTACCTGAGCTTGGCGAGCATAATGAGGCCATTTTCGAGGAATTAGGGGTCAAGCCATGACTGGCTTGAGAGATCGCTGCGAATATCAACAATTTTACAGTTACCTAGAGGATACCTCGCTATCAGCTTTTGACTAAAACCTATTGGTGGCCATCACACTCCAAGTAGCTTGAGTCAATAAACTGTTCTGTGACGGAAACAAACCCCGCCATCCCTATCAATTCGCCTACCTATAGTGTCATGTCTACTTGCGGTTTCCCTATTGTGGCCATCCGGCCGGTCTAATGCATTGCCGTACACAACACAGCGAGGTGCCGGGCAATGCTCCCCAACCCGAATCCCAAAAGGCAAGCTACTGGTCCCATAGCAGTACTTTTAGCGCCATCACGCAGAAGTCCCTTCGGTTTCTCAATCTTTGGAGATGGCTACTCGAATGCCTGCCCCGGCTTTCCCCGCACATGAACCCCATGGGATGATGACGGAGTGCTCATCCATCGGATAAGCTTTGTGGAGGATGTTTAGCGTCTCTAGTCATAATTGGGTGTGTGAGTGAGAAACGTGTTGGGTTCTTGGGAATCATAAATGTCCCTAACCTGTTGCTAATCTTACTCCTGGGACCGGTCTGTCAAGTTTCATGTGCATGGCTCAACCTGCTCTCCTGAGCACATCATCTTGAGCATTCTTCTTGACCTTACGCTGCTCAACAGTCTTGTTTTTGTCTCCGGGTTGGACTGAATGCCAAAAATGTTTTTCAAGTCAAAGGAAAGTGGGGAACCCGCTGACCATGGTCCGAAGACGAATAATGCTTTCGAGGATAGCAAGCCCGAAGAGAGCCATGTGGAGCGTATCCGTCAATCCCAGGCCCATTACGAAATAGACCCTGTTTTAAGCAAACGGCTTGATCGCAAGTTTGACGTCCACATTATTCCTTGGCTTTTCGGCATTTGGTATGACTTCAGGCTGGATCGGAACCAATATCGAGATACTAGTGCAAGAAACTGACTACTTTTTTTTCAGGCTTTTTGCGTTTATCGACAGAAGCAATATTGGAAATGCAAAGATCGACGGCCTTCTGGAGGACCTCAACATGGTGACTGGCACGAAGTTCAATGTTGCGTTGTTGGTTTTCTACATCCCATACATCCTGGTCGATGTTCCAAGCAACTGGATTGTGAAAAAAGTCCGAGCCGGCGTCTATTTGCCAACTCTCATAACCTGCTGGGGCATTGTGAGTACGTTTCTTGGTTTCACGAAGTCCTTCGCAGGTCTTGTGGTCTGTCGAATTCTCCTTGGACTCTTCGAGGGCGGACTACTTGGAGGTATCGTTGTGTATCTGGCCATGTTCTACCGTCGACATCAGATGCTGTATCGTATCGGCCTGTTTTACTGCGCAGCACCCTTATCTGGCGCGTTTGGAGGGCTACTGGCCACAGGTTTAGCAACAATACGACTCGGTGGCTATAATCGGTGGCCTTGGATCTTCTTTGGTAAGTTGCACTCGACCGTTTTAGATCTGGCGGCGGAGCAGAAGTCTAACGCTTAATAGTGGAGGGTGCAATTACAACAGTGTTCGGTGTAACCTGCTTCTTCTTCATGCCAAGTACGCCGGCGGATGCAAAGTTCCTCTCAACGGATGAACGTACACAGGCCATGAGAAGATTGAGAGAAGACTCGCATGGTGCGACTGAAGTTGAAGACGTCAATGACGAGCACTTCAGCTGGCACTGGGTCAGAATGGCGGTACTCGCGCCACAGACATATTTCTGCACTATGGCATGGATATTTCTTCTCATCCCCCTTTACGTACGTCCGATTTCCCTACAGTCATTCTATCTTCAGACGTATTGCAGTGATTAACGTGTCTCGTCTAATTGACAGAGCTTCTCGCTTTTCCTGCCATCGATCATCCAGGGCCTTGGATATCGCAGCACCACTCAGATCCAGCTTCTCACCGTTCCGCCTAACATCGCCGCCTTTCTTGTCGTGCTCGCCACTTCTGCTCTGTCGGACAAAATCAAGGCACGAGGCCCTATCATGGCTGTTGGAAGCATGGTAGCTTTGTGCGGGTATGTCATGATTCTTGCCTCGAAGTCAAGCAATGTTCGGTATGGGGGTACGTTCCTCATTGCGACGGGAGTTTTCCCTGGAAGCGCGATGATCATGGTGAGTCATAAAGCTCTTCAGAACTTAACTCAACACGCTTCTGACCAAGCAAGGGCTGGCTGTCTAACAATTTAGCACCTCATTACGTTCGTGCTACCGGTGTCGGGTTGTTAATTGGCCTAGCAAACACATCCGCCTTCCCAGCTACCTTCATTTATCTGCAGAAGGATGCGTAAGTCACCTCACCAACAGTGAGACTCCATCGTCTGGATAGAGCTTCAGCTAATGAGTGTCGCAGTCCAGATTATGTTTTGGGTCACTCGGTCTGCGTAGGATCTTTGATTCTTTGCTGTGCCACCGTTTGCCTGCAGATGTTCTACTGTCGATGGGAAAACTCGAAACGAGAGCGGGGAGATCGAGATGAGCGACTCCATGGGAATAGGGCTCACCTTCTTGGACATCGACACCCTGCTTATCGATACACCTTGTAAGCTTCAAACTGTTATTGTTGTTTCAGGTCACGATAAGTGCTCGAAGTGTCATGCTACTACCTATTGCTGTCTCATGAAAGTGTTAGAGTTCTTGAAGACCTGAGCACTAGGTCTTGAACTGATTCAGTATTCACGATCATTCAGTTTCTGCTTGGGCTCCTTCGATCCTTATTATTGCATTTTGTCTAGTAATTTGCTGGTAAATTGAGATATGTTCTCAATTCCACTAAATGCTTTACATCGTCGACAAAGTAGATGAGAAAAAGATTTGGGGTTAAGTGATAATTCCGGTAAACGCTTGAGTTCCCGCGGCAACTGACTACTCTCGCGCAAGTAATCCGGCAACTATTTGCGGGAAGCTCTCCAAGATAGATCCCTTCTCTGCTTTCCATCCAAGCTTGGCCATTCTCGACGCCTCGATACGCATGTTGATGCCGTACATGATGGCGATGTGCATAGCCCAAGTATCGGGTGGCGGCGGCGGAGCATCGGGGTCGTAGTCGCTGCCAGCAATACTAGCCCTCGCTGCCTCAGCCACGCTGACTGACTTGATCTCAGTGCTCTCAATGATCTTCTGATCCTTGAGGACAGGGGCAAGGTGCTTCATGAACTCTCCAAACGAGATATCCTCACTCGTGCCAAAGTAGTACGCCTCTGGACCCCAGATGGCGAATGGTTCAGACTCGGAGCCGCCGTCAATGGCCTTTCCGATAAGAATCAGGAACATCTTTGCCAGATCCGAGACGTGGATCCAAGCGTGGGTGTTTTCTCCTTCAGCGATCTGCCAGCCGGACTTGAAGGCACGGGCGGTGAGCAGGAGGGCAGGCGTCGTGATCGGGGTTGGGTGCTCAAGAGACGGACTCATGCCGCCAACAAACCCGGGCGACACGATGGCCACATTGACGTCTATAGCCGCATCGCGCACAATCTTATCGGTAACAGCGTGTGTGTGGGCTTCGCCCTTGAACGCGCAAATGTCTCCAATGTCGGCGATATCGTCCCACCGACGGGCGTCTTTGGATCCGGCGGGCTCATCCCAGATGAGAGAAGCTCCCGATGTGTGAATGTAGTGAGGCTTGGTGCCTTTGGCGGCACCACGTGCTTTCAGACCGGTCAAAATCGCCCTGATACCGTCGTCGTGTGTGATGTCCGGAGCCGTATTGATGACGATGTCGGCCGCCTGACTGCACTTTTCGAGGATTTCAAAGTCTCCAGCGTCGCCAATGACGGTTTCAATCTGTGGGTAGGCCTTAACAAGGCGCGTGGCTTTGCTCTCGTCGCGGACCAGGACTTTCACATTCGCATTCGCATGCTTCTGGAGGAGCTGGTCCAGCACAGCACCACCGATATGGCCAGTGCCGCCGACACTACGTTATATGCTTGATGAGCCGTACTAATCACACGAAGTAGTAGATCCGATAAATTTCACTCACAAGAAGATGTGGACCATCGTGGTGATGTCTGGGACAATGATGCAGGGAGCACTGAGCTGTGTTGCTTTTCAAAACACCACGAGATTTTATTTCTACAGAGCAACAAGAAGCCCCTCATCGATAATGATAATCCTCCTGCTATTGCGTACCAGTAGACCCCACTAGTGGACATCCTGTGGAGCGACATGCATCGACAGGTCACAAAATATTGAAATGGTGGTCACATCCGGTAAATTCTGCCACGTTGACGTGAAGAATACCGAAAATGGACTGCTCATGTCTTGGCTGGTAACTCAAGAAACCTGCATTAAATACTTTCGTTGCCGATCTTCAGTCCTATTGATGATGAATGAACATGGTTTTCGGCTCAACCTTCGACTTTTACCAGGAAGTAAGTCCTGCTGTAGATGCTACGTTACAGTCGCTGGACCCCGAGCGGCAACAGTTTGCGACATCGTTAGCCTTGAGCATCTCTACCAAAGATACTGTTTATTTCTCAAGTTTCTACACCAGAAATCATTACCAGACGATTCTTCAGCATTGGTAAACATCCTTCGCTTGAAGGATCCGAGGATATGGCCAGCCTGGCCCCCAATTGATTGTCGAGGGTCATTTGCCTCCATCTTGCTCCACCACAACACCAATCATCTCCAGAGCGAGGTCGACATGGGTCTCCTTTGATACAGGCCTCTCAAACACTAGTAGAAGAGGGGAAAAGGGTGGATCAATCGACCAGACGGAACTTCGGGAGAGCATGGATTTGTGTCCATTCACAGCCAATCTGCAGAAATTGGCCCATTGACACAGTTCACCCATGACATCAAGCTGCTTGTCCATAAAACCGGGTCCATCCATCATGCCGGGTTATTCACGGTCACGGATGGCTCGGATGGTTCGACCAAATGGTAAAGGCTGCCAGCGCTGTTGCTGGATATCGGAGAGTTGCTTATGTTATGTACTAGGTAGTGCATACTCATCCCCGAAGGAAGCGAGGTATTCACTCAGCAGAGCAGTTTGCTTTAGTAAAGGGAAATGGAGACATTATGAAGTTAGGCATGCCTCATCGTTAGCGTAGCCTCAAGTTGCAAGATCAAATTATTTGACGTTATTCGCATTTCCTTTCCGAGGTGTACAAACAAATCCAGTCATGAGAAGGGGTCAATTCGACTTGCTTCCTCAACCAGGCCTATCAAGCAAGCAGAGTAGGGTGTTCTGCGAGATTGGACCAGAACTCCATCTCAAAATCCCAAAGCTGGTGATTGGAATAAGGTTCCCAAACTTCAAGAGTAGCAACATTTTTCGTCGGATCTTCTTCCTCAGATGGTCTTGCAGCGAGCAAAGAGTCAAGCATTGTCTGGATTGTTCCAGTTGCTCGGGTAAATAACGCGAAATTCGGTTCGCCGGCCTGGATCCAAGCTCCGGTCCTAGTCTCGGCAACCAAGACACTGAGGTCTTGGATCATCTTGGACCTCGAGTGCAGAAACACAATCGAAGCAGCATTTGCCTTCAATAATGCCAGTGAAATTACCCCCGCAGCGGGGAGTCCGTATTGCGCCACCTTCCAGATCAGACATGTTCCAGAGTTCACTAGCTGATCGCGTAGTAGGATAACCTCGACCACAATGGAAAGCATTTCTATCGCAACCTCCAAGAGTTCGTCCTTGGGATCGGAGATAGGTTGTTGCGAAACGAGTCCTAGGAGGAACAAGTTATGCAGATAGTCTAGCCTGATATGGGCCAAGAAATCTCTTTCAAAGGGGCTTTGTTGACACTCTCGGAGGCTCGAACTGAGCCTGAAATGACCCGGCAAACCTTGCCACAGTGAATCAACCTTTTCGCGGAACTCCCTAAATAATGGTATCAGTATCACCGATTGTCCGTGACACAAAAAATTCGGATGCAAACCTGATGTTTTTCGTGACATCCGTCATATTCTTTCTCCTCAGAAGTTGGAGCACCTCTTCTTTTAGAAGTGCAAAACGGGCAATACAACGTGTATCGGCGTTGTAATTGATGGGCTCAAGGTGTCCCATTTTGATGTCGCCAACTTCGTCTTCAATCCATCCATTGTGTACTTTTGGTATCTGAAAATGGCAGTAGTCCTTTACTATTCGCGGGGGCCGTCCAAGAAACACTGCCAAGCCCTTGTCGGCGGTGTAGATTCGACAAAAGCAAGCCTTCCGCAGCTCAATGATAAAAGAAGGGACATTCGGGTTGCACCGTTCGATTTTCTCATGGTAACCTAGCGCGAAGAGTGAACTTGCAAGATCTCCAATCCGTCTCCATGAATGGTAGCCTGGGTGTGAATAAGGTCAGCAACCGCCTTCGACAGTTCAATCGGAGGGCTACAAGCCGTGAACTCACTCTGGTCACCATCTAGATGCGAATGAACGATGAAGTTTTCATATTGGAGAATCAACTGTAGATCATTAAGACAATCGAGGGAAAGGCTTGTCTCCAGGCAATAGTCGCCGATGTAAGTTAGTGCCTGCATCAGTCTTCGTCGCTGCTCATTTGTTGTATAGAGAGGCGGGAAGTAGGGGGTGTCATAAGCTGCCCTGGCTGCAGCGACGAAGAAGATACCGAGCGTCTCCCACCTCAAGTTAGATTCAACCATCTGGGCTAGGAAGTCCTGCCGAGTTGAATGAGAACTCAAGGCAAAAGGCCGCAGTGTATTCGTCAACAGAGTTGCCACATAGCCAGCGCTTGTGATTCCAAAGCTGGAGCCACCACTCTCTCCAGGAATAACAGTCGTCGGCGTAAGGACTTCTCTCCAATGCTCCAAGGACCATAAGCACTCGATGACAATAGGTCCAGCCAAAGGCAAGTTCACTCCCCTTCCGAGCCAGGAACGCACTAGAGGTGTGACTTTGGAGATGTCCATCTTCTCTAGACGCGACAGCGCATGCATTGCCTTATCCATGACAACCTGGTTACCAACTAGATCAATTGGCGAGGCCAAATTGGGCTGTGGAGTCAGGTCTGCATCAGAAGCAGGCCCTAATCCATCGCCAGAGAAGACATGATTGAAGATGGTAGAGTGGCTTGAGACTCCGAGAAAGCCAGGATTAGGATAGCGATATGGCTGTGTCGACGCAGTCGGCGTCTCTGTAATGGGTGACGGGGCATCAGCTGGAGACTTAGGTGTCGACGAGGTTGTGGTTGTAATGGTCTCCGTCGGTCCAACTGACATTAGACTTCTGGGAGTAAGCGCGGGTCAGTCACCAACATCAACATTCTACATTTGTTATTGCATACTCACTCCGTCTCTTGGACCTGCGTTCTCGTTACTCTTCTCCGAAACGGTCTAGATCTGTAAACGCAATGACTCCGCTGTCCGCGGCTAGTACACCGTGTGCAGGCAGGTCTTTCGTGACCGCATGCTAGCTTCGAACGCCGACAGGGCTCGCACGCAGCAAGTCTTACGTTCATTCTGCTTTTCATTTCCAACTCACAGGGACCATCATCAGATGAACTGGAAGCTGTTTGTTGCTTGCTGTGAAATGAACCCGGCGGGCCAGCGCGGAGAGAAGTCTTTCGGCGAGCTGTGGTCTCTGTTGACTCCGACTTTACATGTACATATCTGGGGTGTGGTTAAGTGCTGTTGATTGAGTTTGACACTCCGAACCCCACATCACTCCGATATCACGCCGTAGTCCCATTTCTGTCTTTTCCCCCCACCGTCTTAGACTCCTAGGGCGCTCTTGACAGGAACATTCTCGATAAGGAGCAGCAGGGTGCGCGGATCAATCTACAGACAGCGAAGAAAGGCGCAAATGTCATTACAGCTACCCACAAGTGAGACATCAATCGGTGCCAATCGTTGTTGAGACTTAGGTTGTGTCTCCATCAAAATTCCTCCTATCTCTAGGTATCTGACCTTTCACTCCGAGGGCTCGGACGTGAGTCAAGCACCTTAGGAATGGTTTAAACGCAGATTAGCAAAGCATCGAAGGCCAGTATATAAGCAAATCCTTTAGCTATCTCGATATTCGCGAATCTTCCTAGCTCACGGCATTTTACATCATCGTGACTCAGTTGAGCATTCTCACATAACAAACATGGGCGAATACATCAATTCCAACCATACCTCCATCCCGGGCACTGTCATCGATGCCGTGTTGAAGCCCGCTCGGCGCACGGTCCCGGCCAGCAGATGGGGTGTGGCTGCTCAATGTACCACCGAAGACTTCAAAACCAGAACAGACAAGCATAAGCCACTAGCCAAGGATTGGAGCTGTGAGTGTTTTGTTCGAGTCCAAAATCTTTGACAGTAATGACAAGAGCTTTTACGGTTAAACTGACCTTGCCATACTTGCCAGACCGTTTGACTCGTGAATCGACAACAAGGACAGGATCCTCGCTAAAGGCAGCTTTCAAGCATTTACAGAACCCGGATGTTATCTCTCTTGGCGGCGGCATTCCACTCAGCGAATTCCTCCCTTTCGAGACACTCTCGTTCACGCCGTCATTCGTTCCGAGCAGCTCAAGGTCGAAATCTACATCAAACTCCTCTGCTGACGATGCATGCTTTCGATCAAGCAAAACAGACCTTTCAGACGGCCGAAGCGTGTTCGATATCTCTGTAGCGCTAAACTACGGTCAAGGTAGCGGGTCTCCCCAGCTTCTACGGTGGATCATTGAACACACCGAGATGGTCCACAACCCCCCTTATGCAGATTGGGGATGCACCATGACCGTTGGCAACACTTCGGCGCTAGACATGGCTCTTCGTATGCTCGCCAAACCGGGAGACTATGTGCTATCAGAAAAGTTCACGTACTCGACGGCTGTCGAAACCGCGAAGCCGATGGGTGTCAAGTTCCTCGGTGTCGACATGGACGGAGAAGGCTTGTTGCCAGAGAGCCTCCTTCAAGTGTTGGATGCGTGGAACCCAGCAGAGCACGATAACGCGGCGAAACCATTCTTATTGTACCTCGTTCCAACAGGTCACAACCCCACCGGCGCAACTCAGAGTCTCCAGCGCCGCAGAGACATCTACCGGGTGGCACAGCAGCACGATCTGGTCATTCTGGAAGATGATCCATACTACTGGCTTCAGATGGACGCCTACAGCACACCTGCGGAGCCAGCAGCACCTTCCACCTCCCCCCAGTCGCCGGCAGATTTGCTCAAGACAGTCGTCCCAACATACCTCGCCATCGACACAGACGGGCGTGTCATGCGCATGGATTCTTTCAGCAAAGTAGTCAGCCCTGGATCTCGAATCGGTTGGATTACTGCTCCGCAAGCAGTTGTGGAGCGATACAAGACCCATGCAGATGTATCGACACAGGGACCCAGTGGATTCAGCCAACTCGCATTCTTCAAGCTTCTAGATGAGTTCTGGGGCCACGCCGGGTTCCTTGAGTGGATGCTACATATCCGTAGAGAGTACACTGAGCGTCGGGATTTTATGGTGCGAGTTTGCGAGGAGCACTTGCCGCGGGAAATCGTCTCATGGGAGCCGGCACGAGCGGGCATGTTTGTGAGTACTACGTCTTTGCTTGCGCAAATGATGTTCTTTTACTAAACCCTTGCAGCAATGGCTGGGCGTGGACTGGCAAAAACACCCCGATGCCTCGACGAAGTCTCCGAGTGATATTGAAGAGGAGATATGGCAAGAGGCACTGGATCAAGGCGCTCTCATTGCTCGGGGTAGTTGGTTCAATGCCAACAAGCACATCCCGCTGAATGAAATTTTCTTCAGGACCACATTCGCTGCCGCGCCACTGGCTCAAATCGAGGAGGCAGTGAATCGGTTCGGAGCAGCGTTGAGGAAAAGCTTCCAACTATGCTGAGTTGATTTAGATCTTGAATTTCGCAGTACTAAAGAGGTTTCGAGAAAAATTAGGCGGAGAACGATAATGAATATGAAAGTGAAGCTTGTTGAGTAATAGAACTATGAATATGCGTATATGTGCTCATTCAAGTCTCTTGAGGATACGCTTGGTTAACGATTGCAACGAAAGACCTCTAGGCAAAAGGTGAGATTGGCCGATGGCTATTGCTGCGGCACATGGTCCTCGATGGGAATGGCCTCACAAGCCAATTGGCCTCAGTGGGGGCACTAGTAAGATCGGACTCAGCCAATGACATATTACCCTGGGTGACAGGGGGCTCTGGCTTACAACTGCCTTACCACCCATTCGATACCTACTTATGGAACCTCTCAGCTGGATAAGGAAGTTGAATGGATTCACGTTCACACTCGAATTCTCCCAGACATATTCGCTTCCAAGTTTACATATCCGAGGTTTCTCGGTAGCTTTTTACTGAGGCAAAATCTCCCCAACAACACCACCACCAAAAGATCAAACTGCTAGGAACCGCCCCGATGGCTCAAAAGGATCAAAGACGAGCCTATGCCTCCATGGACTGTACCACAAACTCAACACACCTCTTGGACTTGCCCTTGGAATGCCTTGATCAAATTTTCGGAGATGTCGTTGCTTATGATGAGGAGAGCGAGTTCAATTTGAGAGACGCAACTCGTCTTCTACGTGTCTCGAGTGAGTGTCCTCCCATCACGCTCAATAGATTCACGCCATGAAAGACAATAATTTTCCATTAGCAGGGCTAATCGAAGATCAGAGATGTTCGAATTCATTGTCATGAGAGCCATTTACAGGACCAAACTTCTTCACAAGATGAGGCGCAATCCAGAAGTCAGCATTCTTGCCCAACAAGGCCACTCGCACATGGTCTCACGCCAGTGCCGCGTGCAACATCGCGGTGATGCAAGCTTCTTCCTGGCAAAGTACCTCATGATCCAGTCATATCATCACTTGCCGTGGAACACAAACCTAGCTACAGTGATCAACGCCATCACTGACAGGACAATGTTACATGATGGCTTGAACCTCGACAGCGAAGAACGGTGCAGGCGCATCCATCATCTTTGCAAACAAGCTGTCCACCTTCCAGATCCAGTCAAACATTATGGAATTTGGGACCTCTTCAGTGATTATTTTCAAAAGCTTCTTTTCCCTTCGGATCCTGTCATCACAAATGAGCCATTCAAAGACTTGGTATTCCTTGCCAAGTTCTATCTGCAATCAGAAGATGCGGAGCGGCTTGTGCTGCCTCAGATCCTGGAGAAAGGTCCTAAATCACTATCGTCTATCGGGACGGCAAAGTCTCGGGCTGGAAAATACAGTGTTTCTTCGCTGATGGGATCAGTCATGGAAGCTGCGATCAGGAGTGGCAGTCCGAATCTTGCTGTCCTTCTGATCAACTACGAGGTCAATACCTCACAAGAGAAGATAACGAAGACGGTCCGAGGGAAGGAAATAGAGGGAGTCAGATTTCACGATGTCCACTTCTGGAGGCTAGCCATGGCTTTTGACGACTTGGAGACTATGAGTGCTCTTTTGGATGCCGCAGACCGAAGAATACCAACCAAGACTTTGAGTCAAATTCTTCTGGAAGCTGTGTGCGCGCCACAGCTAGAAATACTCCAACTGCTAGTCGATAACCAAATGCCTCTTGGCAAGAAGGAAATCACTATCAATAATTATTACAGCAGTAATAGGAGGAAAGACAGGTTGAAACAAGCCATGGACATGTGCCTTGAAGAGGCCGTCGACCATGGGCACCCCATGGTGTTCAACGTACTCGCACAAACGCCTTACGCTCTAGCAAGAGACTTTTACCGACATAACTGGAAAAGGAAATGGGGGTTCGACCCTTCGATTCAGTCGACTTCAGATGACTGCCGCCCCGCTAGGTCACTTATTGAGGTCGCTGCTAGTCGCGGAGATGAGGTGACCATCCGTAAGTTGCTCTCCAAAGGACTTGGCCCATATGGACTTAGGGACAACGCAAAACCTCACCATTGGCTGAACCCATACCACCGCCTCAGCCACCTCCGTGGTCTCATGCCAATGATCGCCGCCGCAAAGAGTCGGCATGTTCGCGCCGCACTTGCTCTAATCAGGGGACACTTCAAGTGTGATGAAGTCAGGTGGCTCTTGATCATCGGAACGGTTCTGGAAAGCAGAGACCAACAGCAACCCCACAGCAGACATGACAACTCGAAACCGTCCTCTACGTCAAATATTGATGTAGACGATGGAGAACGGCGGGTCCAGTGTGACAGAGATGTCAAATTCTGGCAGGAGTTGATCGACGCAGGGGTTCTGGATCTGCAACATTCTGCCAAAGGATGCCAATGTTCCGAAACACCAATGGCAATGGCGGCAACCCATCCCACCCGTATGGCAATAGAGGCTGCCAGAAAATTCGTCTGCAAGCAGCTCGTCGTCCCTTTCGATGCCGAGTACCGCGGATGTGGTGACCAGCCATTCACTGGAGGGAACTCACGGCAATTCGCCGAGAAGTTAAGAACAGAAACTGATATTTTATTTGTCCTAGCAGTGAATTGATGAAGAAGCTAGAAAGAAAAAGAAGTTGTAGACGTCTGAAATAATTAAGTATGAGTCAGAAACAACTCAGATCATCATTCTTTGCTTCATAGCCCACAATCGAAGGTTTTATCCAAAGGTTTCTGAACAATTGCGTGCACCATTCAGCAGATGCCAGGAAATAAGGAAATTCGAACAGATGGATGTCGTCATATCTCTTGGGGTGCCTGATCAGGTTTGTAATCATTGAACTTGTCCTGATTTTGCTACTCATATGGGGAAGCTATGTGAGCTTGAGACTCGATCAATTGTCATTACACATGTATGGAGTCGGCGAAGCTACAGTGGCCACTGCCCCCTTTTGTTCATAAAAATCATATCCACGAAGTCCACGCCGCCCGATCCTACGCCAAAACCAACCCTCGCAAACAATTGCTGCTTCAAATGAGGTGGGTGACATCCGAGACATAGCGCTTGTTGGCCTTCTTCGCTGCCTGACCGCATTGGCCAGCGATGGCAGTTGTCTTGCCATTGACGGCGCACTGGCCGTTGGCGTTGCAAGCACCAGCTCCCTTTCCATCGGTGCAAGCCAAGCCAGAGAACTCGGCCTGGGACTTGCCCTTGCCCTTGGCAGCGTTGGCGTTGCCGGCGTTAGCGTTGTTGCCCGCATTGGCATTGTTACCAGCGTTTGCGTTCTTCTTCGCCGCATTGGCGTTCTTCTTCTTGGCAGCAGCGGCGGCGCCGTTGTTCTTCTTCGCAGCGGCAGCGGCACCAGTATTCTTCTTTGCCGCAGCGGCGTTGGCAGCGTTCGCCTTGGCGGCGGCAGCGCCATTGTTCTTCTTGGCCGCCGCTCCGGCAGCCCTCTTCTTCTTCGCTCGGGCCTCGAGGTGGGCGGCGTCGTTTGCGACGAAGTCGTCTGCACGGACTTCGATGGGGAGGGCAACATCGTTTCCTTGGACCGCGGGGGCTATGGGGTCATATTAGCACACTAGACTCAAGGGATTTGAAAGTGATCAAGGATGTGCTTACCAGAAATGACGTTGCCAGCCAAAAGGCCAATGGCGAAGAAAGCGGCAGTTGAGAACCTCATGTTGACTGTAAGGTCGTATTGGTACTTCGTGATAGGGAGTGGTATTATTCGTGCAAGTGACACCAGGTCTTAATGAATGAGAGCTCAATTAAAGAGAGCCGCGCACAGCACGGAGTGAATGTAATAGCAAGGAACAGAACGGAGATAGCCAGACAGACGCTCACAGTAGAAGGGAAACCTCACGCTGGAACCGGAGATTCTCTTCATGTTCTTATGTATGTTGAGATCCAGTCCTCGGTGGTATGCCACCACCACCTGCTCAATGCTTACATACAGACTTTGCTGTCACACCCTGAAACTCCGGATGGCGGTGTCACCTGAGCGCCAGTGCACCACTACATTGAGCAACACTCCAGATGAGTTTCTTTGACTCGAGATGACAGCCATGAGCCTCATCCTGCAACAAGACCTGTTCAGATGCCTGATCATCCCGTCACATCAGCAGCTCAAACGAGGCTTATTGTGCCGCAGGCCAGGGTAGCCCCGGCTCTTCGGCACACCTCAAAGTCGGTTAGGTCGGACTCCCCTTCACCAATCCTGTCGCAAAAGTTATCCGCATCGCCGTTTCAAGCTTTAAAGTTAATGCAACTCGGGCTACAATTGGACCGCTGATGGGACCAGATTTTTTCCACGGGTCTCGTTGCCCAGGGCCCCTGGCGGGCCTCGAGACCAGATTCAAGCTTGTTCTGCCAAACGCGAATCCCCGCACTTCTGGTTTCGCGGTGCATGATTTTGAAAGAGGCCCAGTCTCTCTTGACAAGAGCCAATTGTTGGAATAACGTGGGAACCCTACTTTAAGCTTGCTGCCTTCCCGTATTAGAAATGACGCTTGTTTTGGGGTGACCTCTGACCTCTTGGTGGTCAGGGATTCCGGAAGCGAGGCCGTCTTCAAACGCGCGATGTTCTAGGAGCAGACTCTTGTTTTCGCCAAGAGCAGAACAGAAAAATGGGCTCCCCCGGAATTGTGCATTATTCTCCGGTCGATGGCAGGCCTGGGGCTGTCTTTGCCTAGAGGGGATCGGGGCCGCCGGCCACCGACTTTGTGGTGATCTACAGCCATTTGTCACGGAATGACTCGAATCACGGTTGGATTTCTTGGGTGAATAAAAATAATCAGAAACGGCCACCTCAATGATTGAATCATTTGCCTCGCTGAAATTCCGTTTCCGCGGCGCAGTCCTCGGGTCTACCCAGACAAGTCCCTTCCTCCCAAAAATTGATCGTCCAAACCCGTCTTAAGAACATGTCATTAACGCTCTCATTCCAGCTCATCTTGTCTTGCGCCGACTTTGGGATGAGTCTGGGTGATGCGAAATTCAGGAGCTGAGGCCACACAGCCACAGCCCACCAATGCCACCTGATCTTACTCTGTCGTGCTGTTGTTGTTACAGAGTGCAGACTGCGAGATCGTCGCTCTCGGTACGGATAGAGGATGTGCCTATCCTTGCCTGGCCCCCAGCTCCTGAACCTGTGCCTGTATCAGGTCCGCGGCAAGTTTTGCCGTGAACAGGACCATGTTTCCGCATCCTGGTCGTGATCAGGAGAATTATTCTCAGCCACTGAATTGCTCAATTCTCCAATCACAGAGGTGATTCAAAGTTCCAGATGAGGTAAATTTTCTTGGCATAACAATTTTAGCAATTTTAACCTGGTGAGTTCCTAGACTTCGCTCTCTTGACGTCAGGAATAGACTTATTGTTCGCTAAACCCAACTCAATCCACCGGCCCAGGTGATGCACCTTGGCACCGTGGATTTACACAAGCAAAAGCAAATCGCCTCAGTCAACCCCAGTGTAGTTCACCTTGGCATTGCAGGAAGATCAATTACGTGAAACCTAGTCACGTGCAACTGCCGTTTTCCTACTATTGACATGTTGTCCAATTGAACAGCCGCCAGTCAACTCAGCTTATTGCATCGTTCAACTGTTCTCCTGCCTTCAGAGATACTTACCTGGCACGAAATGCGAGAAATAGTGCACGATTTTCTACCTAGGTACTAAGTCGTACTGGAATATTCAACTTGAATGTACATCAGTTATATGCTCCGACACCACATGTAACTCCACCCGAGCATATCACTTGAGTGCACTCTTCTTGCCATGTTGTTTTGTGTCCATTCACTTAAGGGGAAAAATCTCTAAACTTGCCGATGCTTTTGCCTGCTCCTCAACCTCAAGGCTTAAGTATTCGGCACGTGGTTTCTTGCTTCAGTACAGGTTGATCACTTTCACCATTAACCGCAAAATGGGTCGCACTTCCATGCAAACCAATCAACAGTATTAGTTGATTCACGATGGCTTCCGTTCAGCCGATGCCAGATCCGGTAATCGGAGGCCAAGCTCTCCTTCCGGTGTGATAGTATACATTTTTGGTCTAGACGACGGGTAAAATGTTAAGGCAAAATCTTTGCCGCTGCAAGAGCGGGACGGCTTGCAGATCTCAATTATCGACAGTATTTCTAGAGATTGCAGTGCCGCTGTACCCCAGATTTCGTCGGCCGACACACCTAAATATTGGATTTAGCCTGAGTCCCATCTCCCGGTGCCAAGCTCCCAAGTGCTTAGTGTACCAAACTTGGAAGGCAACTGCCGCGTAACGCCGAACTTGTCACGAGGGCGGTTTTGTAATCACCCAGTCATGTCGACATCTTCTCCAACAACCGCGATGTAGCCATTGGGTGTAAGAGTAATTGATGTGGTTGCTGTCAGACACGTTTAGCCTTATTAAGTTCAACTCTTCCTATCCAGTCAAACGATAATGGCATCTGATCTCAAATTATAAAAGCGGCATCGATCCGGTGAACGGCAGGACGAGAAAATTTCTAACTCACCAGCCAGAGCATAGTAGACCACATTGATCAAGCAAAGCCACCAAAATGGTTTCGTTCTCCAGAGCACTTGTTACCTTGGCGACTGTCTTCGGAGTCATTGCCAGTCCTACCGGGGAACTGATCGAGAAGCGACAATCCACTCCAAGCTCGACCGGATACCATAACGGATACTACTACTCATGGTGGACTGATGGAGGATCCCAAGTAACTTACACCAACGGTGCTGGTGGTTCCTACAGCGTCAACTGGGGAGGTGGGGGCGGCAACTTTGTCGGAGGCAAGGGTTGGAACCCGGGAGGCTCCAAGTAAGTCCGAATCCTTCCATGCTAACAATGAACTTGGTTCTCTAATCAGTTCATATTGCATGTTCTCAGGACCATCAACTACTCTGGCACATACAACCCCAATGGAAACAGTGTAAGTAAAGACCACAAAAAATAGAGGATTTAAGGTATGCATCTTGAAACTGACCTGTTTGACAGTACCTGGCTGTCTACGGCTGGACTCAGAACCCTCTGATTGAGTACTACATTGTCGAAAACTACGGTACCTACAACCCAGCTTCCGCTGCCACGAAGAAGGGTTCTGTCACCAGTGATGGAGGCACCTATGACATCTATGTCAGCACCCGCGTCAACCAGCCCAGCATCGAGGGCACTAAGACATTCCAACAGTACTGGTCCATCGTAAGTCCCCTGTGTAGAAAGTCCCCCAGGCCACTTACAGTGTTGGAGAAGTTCGGACTAACGAAACATCCAACAGCGAACCTCTAAGCGCACCGGTGGTACTGTTACGACTGGCAACCATTTTGCGGCCTGGGCGTCAGTCGGACTCAACCTTGGAACCCACAACTACATGATCGTGGCCACCGAAGGATATTACAGTAGTGGGTCGGCTAGTATTACCGTCAACACTCCTGCTTGATGATTGGGAAACTTCATCTGAAAGACAGCCTTTGCTTGATTTCAATTTCTGATGGGCAATACTACCTTTCGTGAAAGGTGGAGCCACCAGCTCCCAGTTCCTTTCTGCTGTACATATCACTCATTTCTTTTGAACACATTTGACACTCAAGGTAGTGGTCAGTAGTGTACATAGTCTTCTTGGAAAGAACACAAAGGATGTTTCATTCCATACTCTTCGGCGGAGAGGGCCATTTTCACTTGACGTTTGATTACTTTGAAAGACTTCATGTCACATATTTTGCAGAAAAGTGCTGCACTGAGTGGAAATATCTACATTGAAATATCTGTTGTGACTGATGTTGAAGAACGATGAATCGTAGAAAGTAATGAGGTGACTGGTGGTACGCGTCATAGTGGCCGCACATGTCTCCAGATGTCAAAGGTTGTGTTGGCACCAAATATCTCCAAGTGTTCAGGGTGGCCCGTTGATAGCTTCCTCCTCGGCCTTCTTCTCCGCGATCGCTGCAGCCTCCTCTGGAGAAATATTGACAAAGGCTTCAGTGGTATCAACATTCTCTGCCTGAGAGATTGCATCCGCGCGAGCTCGGCCATACCATCTGCCAATCTGGCCTCGCTTCTCGATCTCCAAGCCCCGAGCTGCGGCGCAGACGGGGGGCTCAATGAGCACGCCCGTTTGCGGGAATGGCTCGAGGGGACCCCAAACATTGCCATCATCGTCAGCGCCGACACCCTTCGTCAGGAACTCCATCTGAGAGAAGTCATATGAGACTGGCGGAACACCAGGCACATCCTGTTCTCCGGGCACCCATACGTTGACGGGCTGCACGTATGTTCCGGCAGTAATCCCGTTCTTGGTCACGCGGGTCTTGGCCACACCGTCAATCTCAGCGGTGACACGGTACTCTCGGGTGTATCTGAAGAGAATGTTGTTGCGGTATTCAAACTTGTTCTGGGCATTCCGGCCTCCTCGAAGTCCCATGGAGGCAATGATGCGGTCGGTAGTCGCGCCTGTACAGGGATCGACGTCCATCGCGTACAGAGAAACTGTGGCGCGGTTGTTGGAGACGAAGCCGATGAACTGCAGGCTCAATTGTCAGCAATTTTATCAACCTGGATGCTTAGTGTTGATCGCACTTACTCGAGACTCTGCGATTTCAGCGTTGGGGTTTGGGTTGTCAATCCCCAGTAGACCAAGTTCCATCCTCACGTAGACAACCTCACCGAGAGTGTTGATCTGTACGTTC